TTTGGCCCATCTTACCTGTCCAAATGGATCACCCTCTATAAACCATCTCAGGGGTTAAGGTGAGAACAGAGCCTCATCCAGAGAGGCCCTGTTCTCAGTCCCACCTCCTTCGCAGGCACAGTTGGTGGGGACGAGAGACAGGGCATTCTCAGTGGTGGCCCCTCGTTTGTGGAACTCCCTCCCCAGCAACATTAGATTGGTCCCCTCCCTTCTAGACTTCAGGAAGAAAGTGAAAACTTGGCTTTGGGATCAAGCCTTGGGAGAATAGTGCAGTGCCATAACAGATACGGAGTATGTGCAATGACTATGGAACGGTCTTGGACTACGATTATGGATGGAGTGGTTTTAATATTGATTGTAATATTTTAAAATGTTTAATATGTATTAATTTTAATGTTTATTGGAATTGTATGTTGCTCAAAGGGATTGAATATTTGATTGTTCATTAATTTATTATTTGTCGTGTCAGGGCAGCCAGTCAATTATATTACATTTCTAACAGAACAAAGCAAACAAACAGACAAAATACAAAATTTGTGAGTTTGGTAGTTGATTAAATGTCCTTTGACCAGTATCTGGCCACTTGGAGTGCTTCTGGTGTTGCTGCAAGAAGGTCCTCCATTGTGCACTGTGGCAGGGCTCAGGTTGCATTGCAGCAGGTGGTCAGTGGTTTGCTCCCTCCACACTCGCATGTCGTGGATTCCACTTTGTGGCCCCATTTCTTAAGGTTGGCTCTGCATCTCGTGGTGCCAGAACGCAGTCTGTTCAGCGCCTTCCAAGTCGCCCAGTTTTCTGTGTGCCTAACAGGGAGTCTCTCATTTGGTATCAGCCATTGATTGAGGTTCTGGGTTTGAGCCTGCCACTTTTGGACTCTCACTTGCTGAGGTGTTCCAGCGAGTGTCTCTGTAGATCTAAGAAAACTATTTCTTGATTTAAGTCGTTGACGTGCTGGCTGATACCCAAACAAGGGATGAGCTGGAGATGTCTCTGCCTTGGTCCTTTCACTATTGGCTGCAACTTCCCGGTGGATGTCAGGTGGTGCAATACCGGCTAAGCAGTGTAATTTCTCCAGTGGTGTAGGGCGCAGACACCCCTGTGATAATGCGGCATGTCTCATTAAGAGCCACATCCACTGTTTTAGTGTGGTGAGATGTGTTCCACACTGGGTGTGCATACTCAGCAACAGAGTAGCATAGCGCAAGGGCAGATGTCTTCACTGTATCTGGTTGTGATCCCCAGGTTGTTTATATATAAAGCTGCCTTGAGTCCCCTTCGGGGTTGAGAAAAGCAGGGTATAAGTAGGGCAAATAAATAAATAAATAAATAACCTGTATTATAATTACTTTATTTTCTCCCCCTGATTTGGTGTTGCAGTCACTTGGCGAGTGCGAAAAAAAAAAACTGGGGGAAAAGTCATAATTTTAGCAAAGCACTATTGATTGTCCCTTACATTTACCAGATCTGATTCCATCCCTTCTCTTGTTCCACGAAGGAACAGAACTATGGTGCAACTAAAATGGAATTCACTGGAGCAGCAGAAGAGGAACACACACACACACACACACACACAAACCACCCCTGCCACGCGTTGTTGTGGCCCAGTCTGGTGATCTGGAAAACAGAGTAATGAGAAAGTGTTGATTTCTTTATGCTTGTGAGTAAACACTATTTCTTGTTGTTTCTTTGTCAGTGTTGATGTGGAGATTGTCTGGTTTGCCTACTCCGGAACATGCAAGATATCCTTGTCCTTCTTTAGGGATCCCTTTCAAATCTATGATACTATATCTGTTATGTATAGATATATCTATATCTATGACTGGATGGCTCTTTGTCAGGAGGGCTTTGATTATGTTTTCTTGCCCTGGTGAAAGGAGTTGGACTGATTGCCTTAAGTATTTTCTGTTGGTCATGGAGGTTCTGTCTGGGAAGTCTGCCCCAATTCTGTTGTTCAGAATGCTCTTTGATTGTAGGTGAAGTATAAATCCGAGTAACTACAACTCCCAAATCTCAAGGTCTATTTCCCCCAAACTCCATTTGTGTTCATATTTGGGCATATGGAATATTCGTGCCAAATTTGGTCCAGATCCATCATTGTTCAAGTCCACAGTGCTCTCTGGATGTAGGTGAACTACAACTCCCAAACTCAAGGTCCATGCCTACCAAACCCTTGTAGTGTTTTCTGTTGGTCATGGGAGTCCTGTGTGCCAAGTTTGGTTCAATTCCATCGTTGGTGGAGTTCAGAATGCTCTTTGATTGGAGGTGAACTATAAATCCCAGCAACTAAAACTCCCAAATGACAGAATCAATTTTTTGAGTGATGGTCACAAAAACTGAAGACACTCCAGGGCAGTTTCCTCCTTCTCTGCTAGAATAGGGATTCAGGTTGGTGACTGTAGGAAGAAGGTGCAGATCTGGGTAATGACAATAAGACTCCAGTCCAGTTGAGGCAGATATTTAATTTTGTGCCACAGTTCACAGCATTCCAGATCATTCACTAGGCCGACTGGGGCTGATGGAATGTGAAAGCCAAAATATCTGGAATGCTTCCCCAGATTGGAGGAAAGTAAGACTGTGGAACCAGATGTGCAATACCAGATGGAGGCCCCTTTTATACTGCCATATGAAATCCAGATTGCTTTGAACTGGATTATACAGCAGTGTAGACTCATATAATCCAATTCAAAGCAGATAATGTGGACTATCTGCTTTGATAATCTGGATTATACAGCAGTGCAGACTCATATAATCCAGTTCAAAGCAGATAATGTGGACTTTCTGTTTTGATAATCTGGATTATACAGCAGTGCAGACTCATATAATCCAGTTCAAAGCAGATAATGTGGACTATCTGCTTTGATAATCTGGATTATACAGCAGTGCAGACTCATATAATCCAGTTCAAATCAGATAATGTGTACTATCTGTTTTGATCATATGGCAGTGTAGAAAGGACCTGAGCCTCCACCCAGTAGCTACTCCCAACTGAATCAGTGGTATTTATTTTATATATACAGTAGAGTCTTGCTTATCCAACCTTCGCTCATCTACGTTTTGTATTATCCATCACAGTCTTTGTCTCCCACTCAGATCTACAACTGTTTTAATACATTGCGATGTCTGGTATAGACACCGAGAACTGGTAAGCCCTGGCCTTTGAGGTCAGCTGTGCCCAGCAGTGCTGTAAAATTTGAAGAGGCACGAATGGAGGGTGAAAGAGAGAAACGTGCCAAGAGGAAGGTGTGCCAAGCCAACTCCGACCGGGACCGCCTTCCACCTGGAAACCAATGCCCTCACTGTGGCAGAAGATGCAGGTCAAGAATAGGGCTCCACAGTCACCTACTTACCCACCGAAAGAACACCAAACTTGGAGGTAATAAGATTAAGAACGGAATGTTGGTGGGCAGGAAAAGAGATTTAAAGATGGACTCAAAGCCAACCTTAAAAACTCGGCATAGACTCTGACAACTGGGAAGCCCTGGCCCTTGAGCGCTCCAGCTGGAGGTCAGCTGTGACCAGCAGTGCTGCAGAATTTGAAGAGGCACGAATGGAGGGTGAAAGAGAGAAACGTGCCAGGAGGAAGGCGCGTCAAGCCAACCCCGACCAAGGCCACTTTCCACCTGGAAACCAATGCTCTCACTACGGGAGAAGATGCAGACCAAGAATAGGGTTCCACAGTCACCTGCGGACTCACCAGTACACTGATCCTGGAAGACAACGAGGGATCACCTAACTAACATTGCAATGTTTGGGTGGCAAATTTGTAAATACAGTAATTACTGCATAACGTTACCGTGTATTGAACTGCTTTTTCTGTCGGTTTATTGGATGTTTTGGTGCTTAATTTGTAAAATCATAATGTAAATAGCCGTCCCCTGCCAGGCATTGCTGTGGCCCAGTCTGATGATCTGGAAAATAAAGTAATGAGAAAGTGTGGGTTCCTAATATATGTATCTTGATGCTTGTGGGTAAACAGTATTTCTTGCTGTTTCTTTGTCAGTGTGGATGTGCAGATTGTCTGGTTTGCTTACTCTGGAACATGCAACATATAATTGTCCTTCTTTAGGGGTCCTTTTCAAATCTATTATACTATATCTGTCTGTGTGTATCATATCTATCAATATCTATGGCTGGATGACTCTTTGTCAGGAGGACTTTGATTATGTTTTCTTGCCCTAGTGAAGGGAGTCGGACTGGATGGCCTTAAGTATTTTCTGTTGGTCATGGGGGTTCTATGTGGGAAGTTTGCCCCAATTCTGCCGTTAGCTAGGTTCAGAATGCTCTTTGATTGCAGGTGAACTATAAATCCCAGTAACTACAACTCCCAAATGTCAAGGTCTATTTTTTCCAAACTCCATTTGTGTGCATATTTGGGCATATGGAATATTCATACCAAGTTTGGTCCAGTTCCATCATTATTTGAGTCCACAGTGCTCTTTGGATGTAGGTGAACTACAACTCCCAAACTCAAGGTCAATGCCCACCAAACCCTTGTAGTGTTTTCTGTTGGTCATGGGAATTCTGTGTGCCATGTTTTTTTAAATTCCATTGTTGGTGGAGTTTAGAATATTCTTTGGTTATAGGTGAACTATAAATCCCAGCAACTGCAACTCAAAAATGACAAAAGCAATCCCATCCCAGCCCCACCATTATTCAAATTTGGGCGTATTGGGCATTTGTGCCAAATGTGGTCCAGTGAATGAAAATACATCCTGCATATCAGATATGGGAATTTTATGAGCATTTTGTGTTGAACGTTTGGTTCAATTCCATCATTGGTGGAGTTCAGGATGCTCTTTGATTGTAAGTAAACTATAAATCCCAGCAACTACAACTCCCAAATGACAAAATCATACGGTTTTGAGTGATGGTCACTCCTTGTGTTGTGAGACGTTTTGTTTCCAAATTTGGTGTGATTTCGTTCATTGGTTCTTTTGTTTTTAAGGTACTCATTACGCACAGAACATTTTTATATATATACATAGATTTGGTGTTTAATAAGCTTTTCCTTAATCCCTCTTTATTATCCAACATTTTTGCTTATCCAACATCCGTTTATGTTGGATAAGCCAGACTCGGTGTTCTTCAGCACTGGGTTCAAAAGCTCTCCTCCAGTTTGGACTAGGAACTGAGTTCAGGCACGTGTTCTACCATTTCTTCTTCTTCGCAGGGTGGTGTGGACGGCCCTTCCGAGGAGATACAGCCAGCACCAAATCTGGCTTTATCTTGGCACCGTCAGTCGTATCCTTCTGGCTAGGCAGGTTGGCATCCTCCGCACTGATGGGGCGGATGATGTGCCCCGGCTGGGTGACGACGCGAGGGGCGGTCAGCTGCTGGAAAGCCCGCTGGGTGTTCCAGGTGGGCCCCACCGGTGCTTGGATGCTGCGCTCAAACTGCTTGCTGTTCTCAAAGGGGAAGGGCAGCTGGTTCACCTGGAGGGAAGAGAGGCCCACTCTCAGCTTGGGAGCGGAAGGCTGAGCATACTGAACTTCAACGGATTAGATTACTGTAATGCGCGCTCTACGTGGGGCTGCCCTTGAAAACGGCTCGGAAATTCCAACTGGTTCAACGGGCGGCGACCAGGATGTTAACTGGCGCTCCTTACAGAGAGAGGTCAACCCTTCTGTTTAAGGAGCTCCGTTGGCTGCCATTTACCTACCAAACCCAATTCAAGGTGCAGGTGCTTACCTACAGAGCCCTAAACGGTTTGGGACCTGCCTACCTGCATGACCGCATCTCCGTGTATGAACCCACACGATCCCTTCGTTCATCTGGAGAGGCCCTGCTTACAATCCCACCTTCGTCACAGGCGCGTTTGGTGGCGACGAGGGACAGGGCCTTCTCTGTGGTTGCCCCCCGACTCTGGAACACCCTCCCCAAAGATATTAGACTAGCACCCACGTTGGCAGTCTTCAGGAAGAATCTGAAGACCTGGCTATTCCGATGTGCCTTTCCGGAATAGGATAATCTCCAACACTACGTCCCAGAAGCACTTTATTAGAGTTTAAGACTCTCTGCACATGGCACTTGCCCGGAAATCCAAAATACCACCTGCCACACCCAGCACTTTTTTAACCTGTACCCATCACTGGCCCGGCCCTGGTTTTTATTGCATCATTGATGTATTGTTTTCTTATTGCTTATGTTTTAATTTGCTTTAAATTGTATTGTTATTGTTTTGCTGTTGTTGTGTTGAGGCCTTGGCCTTTGTAAGCCGCATCGAGTCCTGCGGGAGATGCTAGCGGGGTACAAATAAAGTTTAATAATAATAATAATAATAATAATAATATTAGTCCCCAATCGGCTATTGGGAACTGTTTGTAAGGAGACATTATTGCTCTGCCCTATCCACTTCCAAAATCGAATAATCTTGGCTGCCGATAAGTTGCCGAGGCAAATTCAAGGTGCAGGTCATGACCTATAAAGCCCTACACGGTTCGGGCCCCGCCTATCTCCGCGATTGCATCTCCTTCTAATGAACCGGCACGAGCTCTAAAATCTTCCGGGGAGGCCCTCCTTTCGGTCCCACTACCATCTCAAGTGTGGTTGGTGGGAACGAGAGAGAGGGCCTTCTCGGTGGTGGCCCCCCGCCTCTGGAACGCCTTTCCAAGGGAAATAAGACAGGCCCCATCCCCCCCTCCTTTCGTAAGAGCTTGAAGACCTGGTGGTTTCAACAAGCCTTTGAAAATGGCCAGTTCTAACTCAGCCCCACACATTGTCGAATACAGCCTTACTCTTTCTACCAATTACCCAGATCATTTCCTCTAGTCGGCCCCGGAATGAACAGCCACAGACCTGTACCTAATATTATTGTTGCCTGCCATAGCATTGCACTTAATTCCCGGGCCCCCTAGAATTTTTGGGCTTGCACAAATCTTGGCCCGGCCTTTAAATTTTAAATGTGTGCATATATTTGTGTATACATGTGTGTGTTTGCGTATATATATGTGGTTTTGTGCATGGGATGTACCACTGAGCTAACCCCCTCCCCATTAAATGGGTTGTAATGTGGTTTTTTGTTTTGTTTTTTTGGCTTTTTAAGTCTCTTCTGCTGTGTTTTTCAGTGTTTTTATGAGTGATGGTCACTCGTTGGCCTGAGAGGTGTCTTGTGTCCAAATTTGGTGACCATTCGTCCAGTGGTTTTTGAGTTATGTTAATCCCACAAATGAATATTACATTTTTATTTATATAGATACTAGCCGTCTCCTGCCACAGGTTGCTGTGGCCCAATCTGTGTATATGTGTTTTGTGTGTGTATATATGTGTGCATATATATTTGTGTATATGTGTATATATGTGGTTGTAATGTATATATATATATTTTTTTTTACTTTTTATATTTCTTCCGCTGTATTTTTCCACGTTTTTATGAGTGATGGTCACTTGTTGGCCTGATAGGTATATATGTGTGGTTATGCACATGGTTGTAATGTGTTTGTGTATGTATATGTATGTGTGTGTGTGTATATATATATATATATTTGCTTTTTATGTTTCTTCTGCTGTGTTTTTCCACGTTTTTGTGAGTGATGGTCACTTGTTGGCCTGATAGGTGTATATGTATATATATGTGGTTTTGCGCATGCGTTGTAATGTATATTTAATTTTTTTGGCTTTTTATGTTTCTTCTGCTGTGTTTTTCCACGTTTTTATGAGTGATGGTCACTTGTTGGCCTGAGAGGTGTCTTGTGTCCAAATTTGGTGTCAGTTCACCCAGTGGTTTTTGAGTTATGTTAATCCCACAAACGAACATTAAATTTTTATTTATATATACTAGCTGTACCCTGCCACGTGTTGTTGTGGCTCACATGGGGGTTCTGTGTGGGAGGTTTGGCCCAATTCTATCGTTGGTCTTTCTTCTCTCCTTCTTCCTTCTCTTCGCTTTCCTTCCTTCCCCCTTTTTCTTTCTCTTCTGCTTCTCTCTTTTCTTCCTTCTCTCTCCTCCTTTCTTTCCCTCCCTCTTTCTCTACATTTTATCCCCTTCCTTCGCTCCCTCTTTCCTTCCTTCTTCCTTTTTCTCTTCTGCAGTCTCTCTTTTCTTCCTTCTCTCTTTCCATCTTTCCTTCCCTCCCTCTTTCTCTACATCTTCCCCCCTTCCTTCGCTCCTTCTTTCCTTCCTTCTTTCCCTTTTTTCTTTCCTTCTCTCCTTCCTTCTTTCTCTAACTTTCCTTCCTCCCCCTTTTCTTTCCCTCCCTCTTTCTCTCCTTTCTTCCTTTTCTACCTCATTCCTTCCTTCTTGCCCTCCCTCTTTCTCTCCTTTCTTCCTTTTCTACCTCCTTCCTTCCTTCCTTCTTTCTTTCCCTCCCTCTTTCTCTCCTGTCAGGGGTGATTTGAATGCAATATTTCTGCTTCTTGGCAGAATGGGGTTGGACTGGATGGCCCATGAGGTCTCTTCCAACTCTTTGATTCTATGATTCTATGATTCTTCCTTGACAGATTAGAAGGGGGCGTGGCTTGGAGGTAACGTGAGGAGGGAGGAGGGGAGGGGGGGGATGGGTTTAGAAGGGGGCGTGGCTTGGAGGTAACGTGAGGAGGGAGGAGGGGAGGGGGATGGGTTTAGAAGGGGGCGTGGCTTGGAGGTAACGTGAGGAGGGAGGAGGGGAGGGGGGGGTGAGGAGGGGGGAGGGGAGGGGGGATGGGTTTAGAAGGGGGCGTGGCTTGGAGGTAACGTGAGGAGGGGGAGGGGAGGGGGGATGGGTTTAGAAGGGGGCGTGGCTTGGAGGTAACGTGAGGAGGGAGGAGGGGAGGGGGGATGGGTTTAGAAGGGGCGTGGCTTGGGGGTAAGGTGAGGAGGGGAGGGGGGATGGGTTTAGAAGGGGGCGTGACTTGGAGGTAACGTGAGGAGGGTAAGAGGGAGGAGGGGAGGGGGGCGCGCGCGGGGGGGGAGGAGGGGGCGCGTGCGTGCGCGTGTGTGCCGGGGGGGGGTTGGGGGTGCGCGCGCGTGTGTGCCGCGCCGGGTGGGAGAGGGGGCACGTGTGTGTGTGTGTGTCGCGCCGGGGGGGGGGAGGGGCCGTGCGCGTGTGTGTGTGTGTGTGCCGCGGGGGGGGGGGGGAGGGGCCATGTGTGTGCGCGCGCCAGGGAGTTTGCGCCAGTGCGCATGCTCAGTTGCTTTGCCGTTTATTGTGGTTGTTGTTGTGTGTTTTTGATTTCTGAGTGGATTAGTTTGTACCTTGTTGGTTGCCCTTGGGGCATGGGAAGTTTGGTGGAGTTTCGTTGGGGGGTTTTAGAGTTTTGTTTCCTCATACGACGCCAGGAGGAAATTTATATATATAGATAGGCTGGAATTACACTCTGGTATTCATAACTTGGGGGCTACCTGTACTGGGTCCATCTAATTTAGTATTTTTGCCATCTTCTGCATGTAAATAAGGGGATGCACCACTGAGCTAACCCCCCTCCCCATTAAATAAACCCCTTAAGAGCACTTTCTTTCAAGAGGAGCCTCCCAGGGTGAAAAAATGTCCTCACCTGATAACCTGCAGCCAAAATATTGCGCTGTTCACTCAGAATAACATGAGGCAGGTGCTTGTCCTTCCTTTGGGTCTGAGATGCTGGTTTGATAAAGAACCTAAAAGAACAGGAGAGTTCAACAGTGACAAATGCAAGATACTCCACTTTGGCAGGAAAATCGAAATGCAAAGAGACAGAATGGGGGATGTGTGGCTCGAGAGCAGTACGTGTGAAAAAGATCTTGGAGTCCTCGTGGACAACAAGTTAAACATGAGCCAACAATGTGATGTGGCAGCAAAAAAACCAATGGGATTTTGGCCTGCATCAATAGGAGTATAGTGTCTAGATCTAGGGAAGTCATGCTACCCCTCTATTCTGCTTTGGTTAGACCACACCTGGAATATTGTGTCCAATTCTGGGCACCACAATTCAAGGAGATATTGACAAGCTGGAATGTGTCCAGAGGAGAGCGACAAAATGATAAAAGGTCTGGAGAACAAGCCCTATGAGGAGCGGCTTAAGGAGCTGGGCATGTTTAGCCTGAAGAAGAGAAGGCTGAGAGGAGATATGATAGCCATGTATAAATATGTGAGAGGAAGCCACAGGGAGGAGGGAGCAAGCTTGTTTTCTGCTTCCCTGGAGACTAGGATGCAATGGAACAATGGCTTCAAACTACAAGAGAGGAGATTCCATCTGAACATGAGGAAGAACTTCCTGACTGTGAGAGCCGTTCAGCAGTGGAACTCTCTGCCCCAGAGTGTGGTGGAGGCTCCTTCTTTGGAAGCTTTTAAACAGAGGCTGGATGGTGATTTGAATGCAAATATTCCTGCTTCTTGGCAGGGGGTTGGACTGGATGGCCCATGAGGTCTCTTCCAACTCTTTGATTCTATGAAGCGATGATCCTATGAAAAGCAGAGCTCTGGCAAACTGGGAGCAGAATGGTCAACGATGGATACTTTTGACTTCGTTTGCAAACGTACCGTTTCTTTTTCCTGGCGCTCGGCCGTAGCCCGGTGCCTCCCCACTCGCCCCATCCTGGGAGAACCAAATCAATTGCTTTGGGTTTGCTAGCCTCTTCTGCTCTCCGCTTCTCCTTCATGAAATCCGCCATCACGTTGTCATTGGCAAAGGCCTCCCGGATGACACGCCGCTGGTCGGTGTCTGTATCAAGCTGTGGAAGAGAACAAGGTAAGCTGTCATTTTGCTACTGTTATGAATCGTCATGTAAATATCTGATATGCAGGATGTATCTTCATTCACTGGACCAAGTTTGGCACAAATACCTGATACGCCCAAATTTAAATACTGGTGGGTTTGGGATTGATTATGTCATTTGGGAGTTGAAGTTGCTGGGATTTATAGTTCACCTACAATCAAAGAGCATTCTGAGCTCCACCAACAATGGAATTGAACCAAACTTGGCACACAGAACTCCCACGACTAACAGAAAATATTGGAAGCGTTTGGTGGGCATTGATCTTGAGTTTGGAAGTTGTAGTTCACCTACATCCAGAAAACACTGTAGACTCAAACAATGATGGATCTGTATTGTAAAAGGCTTTCATGGCCAGAATGATTGGGTTGTTGAAGGTTTTTTCGGGCTATATGGCCATGTTCTAGAGGCATTTTCTTCTGACGTTTCGCCTGCATCTATGGCAAGCATCCTCACTACCTCTGAGGATGCTTGCCATAGATGCAGGCGAAACGTCAGGAGAAAATGCCTCTAGAACATGGCCATGTAGCCCGAAAAAATCTACAATAACCCAATGATGGATTTGGACCAAACTTGGCATGAATACTCAATATGCCCAAATGTGACCACTGGTGGAGTTTGGGAAAAACAGACCTTGACATTTGGGAGTTGTAGTTGCTGGGATTTATAGTTTGCCTACATTCAAAGAGCATTCTGAGCTCCACCAACAATGGAATTGAACCAAACTTGGCACACAGAACTCCCATAACCAACAGAAAAAACTGGAAGGGTTTGGTGGGCATTGATCTTGAGTTTGGGAGTTGTAGTTCACCTATATCCAAAGAGCACTGTGGACTCAAACAATGATGGATCTGGACCAAGCTTGGCATGAATACTAATACAACCAAATGTGAACACTGGTGGAGTTTGGGAAAAACAGACCTTGACATTTGGGAGCTGTAGTTGCTGGGATGTATAGTTCGCCTATAATCAAAGAACATTCTGAAGCCCACCAACGATGGAATTGGGCGCAACTTCCCACACAGAACCCCCATGACCAAAAGAAAATACTGTGTTTTCTGATGGTTTTTCGCGAACCCCTCGTGACCCCCCCCAGGGGTCCCGACCTCCAGATTGAGAAACGCTGCTGTAGACCAAATACAGCTTCCTGTTACATCCAAACACACCGAACTGTGGCTTAGGCCCATACTACACTGTCATATAATCAAATCAGGTAATCCATATTGAACTGGATTATATAAATCTATGCTACCATATAATCCAGTTCAAAGCAGATAATCTGGATTTTATATGGCAGTGTAGAAGGGGCCTTATTTGAACTATGACTAAAGTCAAGATAAAGGTTTTCCCTTGACATTAAGTCTAGTTGTGTCCAACTCTGAAGAGCCAGTGTTGTCCATACACACCTCCTAGGTCATGTGGCCGGTATGACTGCATGGAGCGCCATTACGTTTCCACCGGAGCGGTATCTATTGATCTACTCAGATTTACATGTTTTCGAACTGCTAGGTTGGCAGAAGCTGGGCCTAACAGAAGGAGCTCACCCCACTCCCCAGATTCAAACCACCAACCTTTCAGTCAGCAAGTTCCCGTCAGAGCGGTATCTACTGATCTACTCACATTTTGAACCGCTAGGTTGGCAGAAGCTGGGGCTAACAGCGGGAGCTCACCCGAATTCGAGTTGTCAACCTTTCAGTCAGCAAATTCAGCAGCTCCCCAATGTCATGTGGCCAGCATGACTGCATGGAACGTCATTACCTTCCTGTCAGAGCAGTACCTGTTGCTCTACTCACATTTGCATGTTTTCACACTGCTAGGTTGGCAGAAGCTGGGGCTAACAGCGGGAGCTCACCCGAATTTGAGCTGTCAACTTTTCAGTCAGCAAATTCAGCAGCCCCTAATGTCATGTGGCCAGCATGACTGCATGAAGCATTGTTACCTTCACGCTGAAGCGGTACCTGTTACTCTACTCACATTTGCATGTTTTCGAACTGTTAGGTGGGCAGAAGCTGGGGCTAACAGCGGGAGCTCACCCGTCCCCTAGATTCAAACCACCAACCTTTCAGTCACCACATTCAGGAGCTCAGCGGTTTAACCTGCTGCGCCACTGGGGGCGCATTGGCGTCTCTCTGGATGGGTTTGCATCTGTACCACCCTCTCCCATCCCAGTGGTACAGTCCATAGAAAACTTCACTACTTTGGCTGATTCACAGCCAGGGGTTATTTCCTCACTGATGCTCACCTCATTCTGCACAACACTGGGCACAAGTGGGCACTTCACAGCCTGGGGTGCCTCTGCGAGGACCGCCTTGAGATCAATCAGGGCCTTCCGCTTGGCTGGCTTCTTCCCCGCCTTGGATGTGGCCTGTGGGAGGTCTGGGGCTCCAACTGATGACTTGGCTTCCATGGGCTCCAATAGCACTGCCTCCTTGGAAGGCGAAGCTTGGACTTCCTGGGATTCATCCTCTAGCTCCAAGGCCTCCGCTTCGTTCAAGTTGTGAAGCAGATTTAGAGTCTCTTTCAGGAAAGGCTCCTCTGGTGCAGGGCTTGGAGGCGCTGGAGGAAGCACGTCAGGCAGCATGGGAATCGCTTCCTCTTGCCCGGGACCTGTAGGAATAGCAAGACAGTCCAGCTTGCCCCAGAAGAGACCTCCCTGAGCACAACAACTGCGACTCTGGCCAGTGTGAAGGCAGAGGGGAGCAGAAGACAGTTCCATCTTGTCTTTACTAATAATATAATATAGTATATTGTATATACATATATTTGTGGGATTAACAGAACTCAAAAACCACTGGGCAAATTGACACCAAATTTGGACACAAGACACCTAACAATCCAATTAGTGACCATCACTCAAAAAAATTGAATTTGTCATTTGGGAGTTGTAGTTGCTGGGCATTCTGTAGTTGCAAAGAGCATTCTGAACTCCACCAATGATGGAATTGAATCAAACATGGCAAACAGAACTCCCATGACCAACAGACAATATTGGAAGGGTTTGGTGGGCATTGACCTTGAGTTTTGGAGTTGTAGTTCACCTACATCCAGAGAGCACTGTGGACTCAAACGATGATAGATCTGGACCAAACTTGGCACAAATACTCCATATGCCCAAATATGAACACAGATGGAGTTTAGGGGAAATAGACCTTGGCATTTGGGAGTTGTAGTTATTGGGATTTATAGTTTACCTACAATCACTGAGCATTCTGAACCCCAGCAACGATAGAATTGGGCCAAACTTCCCACACAGAACCCCCATGTGGGCCACAGCAACATGTGGCAGGGGACGGCTAGTAATATTATAAATATTATATAATACTAGTAATAATAATACAATATTATAATTATATATTTACATTACATGTAATACTAATAATATTACAATGTAATGGTATAGTGCAATATAGTCATATATAATACTGATATTGTACTATGCTAATAATATAATATATTTTATGCATATATATCTTGTAAGCCGCTCTGAGTCTCTTTCGGGGTGAGAAGGGTGGCATAGAAATCTTGTAAATAAATAAATAAACAAACAATGCCCATCTAAGCCACAACAGTCAAGCAAAGGCACCCACAAAGGCAACAAGAAAGAAACTACCATTGGTATTGTCGAAGGCTTTCATGGCTGAATCACTGGGTTGCTGTAAGTTTTTCGGGCTATATGGCCATATTCCAGAAGCATTCTCTCCTGACGTTTCGAGCCCCCAGTGGTGCAGTGGGTTAAACGCCTGTGCCGGCAGGACTGAACCCCCATGTGGGCCACAGCAATGTGTCGCAGGGGATGGCTAGTTACTAATAATATTACAGTATAATGTTATAGTACAATGTAATATATAATATTAATATTGTGCTATGATATTAATATAATATATTGTATTTACTTTTTACTTGTAAGCCGCTCTGAGTCCCCTTCGGGGTAAGAAGGGTGGCATAGAAATGTCGTAAATAAATAAATATCTCCATGGCATCCTTCTTCCAACTTGACACAAGGCCCTTCCCAAATCTTGGCAGCTCACCTTGCAGTTCAGGACTGCCTTGCAGGTTCTGCTCATGCTCCACAAAACCTTCCAACACCGCCCCCTCCTTGGTCATGGGTGGTGTCGCCTCTCCGTCACTCTCCTCACTGTCATTGGGTTGAGCTGGTGTATCCTCTTTCGGGTTTGCGTAAGTCTTTCCCAACATCCAGGGGTTGTCTGGATTCATCCCAATATGCCCATCATTGACAACATCTGGGACGAGACCCCCTTCAGCGTCAGAGTTGTTGCCTCCGTCCTCGCTATCTGATTCTATGAGTATTTTCTCGGTCAGTTCTTTGTTCCGGGCCAGCTGCTCTTGCATCGCTTGCCTGGCCTGCGGACGAAGGAGGCAGATAGTGTTGGCTTATTTATGGCTTATGTGGATGAGGAAAAAAATATATTACTTTTTCCCAGATTGGCCCTCCCCGCAAAGTCCCTTACCTCCAGGTTGTACTTTGCCATGAGGACAGTTGACTTGGCCCACCTGCCTTTGTTCTGATGTTTGAGGCTCATTCTCTCCTGTGTAGAGAAGAGAAGGACAATGTTAGGATGGTGAAATCTATATATATATAAATGCTCTATGCATAATGAGTATTTAAAAACAAAAGAACCAATGAACGAAATCACACAAAATTTGGCAACAAAACGTCTCACAACACAAGGAGTGACCATCAATCAAAACATTATGATTTTGTCATTTGGGAGTTGAAGTTGCTGGGATTTTTAGTTTACTTACAATCAAAGAGCATTCCGAACTCCACCGATGATGGAATTGAACCATGACCAACAGAAAACACAATGAACGAAATCACACCAAATTTGGCAACAAAACGTCTCACTACACAAAGAGTGACCATCACTCAAAACATTATGATTTTGTCATTTGGGAGTTGTAGTTGCTGGGATTTATAGTTCACCTGCAATCAAAGAGCATTCTGAACACCACCAACGATGGAATTGAACCAAACTTGGCACACAGGACTCCCATGACCAACAGAAAATACTAGCAGCGTTTGGTGGGCATTGACCTTGAGTTTGGGAGTTGTAGTTCACCTACATCCAGAGAGCACTGTGGACTCAAACAATGATGGATCTGGACCAAACTTGGCACAAATATTCCATATTCCCAAATATGAACACAGGTGGAACTTGGGGGAAGTAGACCTTGGCATTTGGGAGTTGTAGTTACTGGGATTTATAGTTCACCTTCAATCAAAGAGCATTCTGAATGAACCCCACGAATGACAGAACTGGGGCAAACTTCCCTTGCAGAACCCCCATGACCAACAGAAAATATTTAAGGCCATCCAGTCCACCTCCCTTCACCAGGGCAAGAAAATGTAATCAAAGCCCTCCTGACAGAGAGCCATTCAGCCATAGATATAGATAGATATATATGATTCAAACACAGAGAGATAAAGTATTATAGATTTGAAAGGGACTCCTAAACATGGACAATGATATGTTGCATGTTCCAGAGTAGGCAAGCCAGACAATCTCTACGTCAACACTGTCAAAGAAACATCAAGAAATACTGTTTACCCACAAGCATAAAAACATTACATATATTAGAAATCACCACTTTCCAATTACTTTATTTTCCATATCACCACACTGGGCCACAGCAACACGTGGCAGGGGACCGCTAGTACATTATATACTCAAGTACAAGCTGACCCGAATATAAGCCAAGGCACCTAATTTTCACCACAAAAAACTGGGGAAACATAATGACTCAGGTATAAGCCCAGAGTGGGAAATGCAGCAGCTACTGGTAAATTTCAAAATAAAAATAGATACCAATAAAATGACATTAATTGAGGCATCAGGAGGTTAAATGTGTTTGAATATTTACTGTAAACTAGCTCTGTAAATGGAAAAGTAGGGTCAACAAAAATAATATGGTATAAACAATAGCATAATAATAATAATAATAATAATAATAATAATAATAATAATAATAATAAATAGACCTTCATTCATATCCTGCTTTATTTCCCATTGGGGACAGGCCGGCTTTCAACAGTAACAGGCAAACTTTTCTTGCCTATATAAACAATGCAGAGCTATATATAGATCTATAATTATATATATTAATTTCACATATGCATTTCCCTCTGAAACTTTTGCAAATCCTCTCTCTCTATATGTGCATTTCCCTCCTGCAATATTTGCAAGTCCTATATATCTATGTTTATATCTATCTAGACATCTCTATGTGTGTGCATTTCCTCTGCAATATTTGCAAGCCCTCAATATCTATATTCCTATCTATCTAGACATGCCTATATATATTTGTGTGTGCATTTTCCCCCTGTAATATTTGCAAACCCTGCAAAGTCTGTTCCTCACCTCAATACGTGCTTTCTCCATCTTCTCCAGCTGCTCCAGAGCTGCCCCGGGATTGCTTTTTTGGAGCATCTCAAACTCTTGAAGGACTTTGCGACTCTTGCCTTTCCTCAGCACTCTGTGATACCTTCAGGGGAGAGCAAGGATATTAAGGACTCAGGCACCGAGAGCCTGGTTACAGGGGAAGGAGTCATGGTGCCCAACTCCAGACACAAAAGTCACTATTCATGACTGATTTTGTAATACAGCGGTTAGAGCAGGACCAATGATTTTGTTTGCTCTAGATATCTCCATCTTCCTTTTTAATTTTCTTCCTATTTATTATTTTTTACTGTATACAAAAGACAAACAAATACAGATACTACAATTCCATATCAAAACAGAAACAATTCCCCTGTTTTTTCAGTTAATAATAATAATATAGGAAAACATGAAAATGAACAAATCAGGACAGTAAACAAAGAGCAACACTCAAAAAACAAGGGAATTCCAGGCAGGATCAGCTAAAACCACCTAACAAAGGATCCCCCAGGCAGGAAGCAGCCTGTGCTGGTACGGCTGTACCAGGAGCTTCAGCTTCATTTTCTTTCTATTAAGTGTTTGCATATATTCTAAGGTTCCATGCATTTGCAACAAGGTGGCTTCCCTTAGTTTGCAATCATAGGGCTAACCACCTGTCTATCATTGTTAAGTTTTGGTTCCGCCCCTTTCCCCAGGGCCATGGGAAGAGAGGGAGCCATTTTTAGTTCAGTCTTATAGTGGAACGCTAAGCTACAGGACGTGGATTAGCTCCATCCATAGAAAAGCTTCATTTCCTACAGCATCCGGGGCAGAAATTCCGGGGGCAAACAGTCCCAAAGCTCTGGCTGGGAGCTTACAGCCTCTCAGCTTTACAGCATCTGAGGAAAACAGTCCTAAAGTTTTGGAAGAAAACAGTTTTACAGACCCAAAGAACTCCAGCTGGAGAATCTACATAGCCTTGACTGGTAGGTCTACTCGGGACCCAATCTAGAACCGGTAGTAGAACCCACATCAGCAAAGCTTAGACAGTAGATTGCCTGGGAGGGGTTAAAAAAGGGTTTTCCTTGTTAAAGAAAGAAATAGTTCTCCAAGCAAGGTGCCTGTCCATTTTGGGGCAAGTTAAGAAGCATTTGTTTAATCTGTTGAAGATCCAAAAAGTGTTTGTCGTTTTATTGAAGACCTAAGCAATAATAAAGGACTCTGTTAAACATTTCAAGCCTTCTAAAGACTGTGTATGGGGAAATCCTTGAAGGCCTCTCACCCAAGGCACCCCGCTGGGCACAAAGAGCACGTCCTGTTTGAAAAAATAAATTATTACAGGCCCAGCGCGTGGCAGCACACAGCCAGTCTTTGAAGCTGCAAGGCCATTCAATACTAATCAAGGTGGCCAATTGCAACATTCACACTTGCCTCCAACAAGCACGAGTTCTTTCTCCCATCCTGGACAGTATTCCTCACTTGCCTAGTTTCCAACAGACTTCACATCCTCTGAGCATGCCTGCCATAGATGCAGGCAAAACGTCAGGAGAGAATGCTTCTGGAACACGGCCATACTGCCTGGAAAACTCACAGCAATCCAGTGATTCTGGCCATGAAAGCCTTCGACAACACATTTTTTACACATTTTCTCTAACAGATTGAGCTATTGAAAATTCAAATACTCCTTTCCATGGATATTCCAATTTCTCCAAAACCATATTTTCCCCTAGGTCTCCCTATAGATCTTTATCTTCCATAGCTATAATGGATGGGGGATGATGGGAGTCAGAGTCCCATAGCATCAGACAGCCTCCCCACACACATACACATAAATCTATGACTGGGAAGGTTCACATTACAATTTCCAGCAGCCAAGAAGCTTACAAAGTGGCTTTTGGGCAAGTTACTGTCACAGTAACCTGCATGGAGAGCCGGAAGAGAAACTGAGAAAGGGAACCACCTGTGCCAGCCTTCCACAACTTGAGTTTGGAACTTCAACACCCATGATCCTTCATCACTAGCATCAGCGTATTTGGAGAGCACTAGGTTACAAAAAGCTCGATCAATCCCTTACTTTTTGCTCTTGATCTTCCCTTTGCGTCGTGCTTTTGCTTCATAATAGGACTGAAGGGCTCGAGCCCTCTGGAGCTCCATCCGGCGCAACTGAGCCTGAAACACACACAGAGGTTGTAGGCACCAAAGAAGACCCAAATCCACAAGAGTGGACAGAGGGAGGGGAAGACAAAGCTGGCTCACCTCCTCCAGGCTCATGGCCTGCAGCGAAGCCTTTTCATAGGGCGTCAGGAGAGGATCCTTCACTGGCTGATGCGTTTTGTGAAGGAGACTAAAAATCTCTTGTTCCAGGGGTGTCCGTGCCTTGAGGGTCCAAGAAAGGACATAAGAGAAGCAAGAATGGAAGTGAGTCTCAAAAAGGGAAGTTTGTCTACAGTAACTAAAAAGTCATCTTGGCTGAAGCAGTGAAGTTGTCTAGAAGAGAAACTCATAGGAAGCAAAATGTCATGCCATAGAGGAAGGGCAGAGTGAGACTGACCGACTCACAACCATATATGGCAGAGATATTAAAAAATTAACTAGGTATTTCTAATTACAAAAATGTGAGTCAAGCACTAAAAGGGTTAAATGGATTCAATGACTCAGCAAAAGCTGCAATTCAATGTAAGCATGTAAACAGGTGTGTCTGTAGCTTAGTAGCCCTCAGAGTGAGAGAGCCCTCAGTGTGTTAGTAAGCCTCAGTATGAGAGAGGCCTCAATCTGAGAGAAACCCCAGGTAGGTCCCATGTATGAAGCTTCAGTGTGAAGGCTACTGCGTGTAAATCTACTATATATATGTCTATTTGTGTTATGGAAACCTAGTTCTTGTAAATCAGGGGTCTTCAAACTTTTTAAACAAAGGGCCAGGTCACAGTCCCTCAAACTGTTGGAGGACCAGATTATAATTTGAAAAAAACATGAATGAATTCCTATGCACACTGCACATATCTTATTTGTAGTGCAAAAAACCACTTAATATAATAATTAAAATGAAAAACAATTTTAACAAATATAAACTTATTAGCATTTCAGTAGGAAGTATGGGCCTGCTTTTGGCTGATGAGAGAGGATTGTTGTTGTTGTGTGCTGTCAAGTCGTTTCAGACAGGTTGACCCTGAGCGAGGGCCGGGTAAATGACCTTGGAGGGAAGCATCCAGCCCTCGGGCCTTAGTTTGAGGACCCCTGTTGTAAATAGTGCAACTGAATTAAAGTTATAAGGCACTTGCATGCTGGAAGTGCTGTATTAAAGATGGTGGCACAAACTTCCTCCAATTGCGGTAACTATCCTATCTTTTTCAATTCAATGGCTTAACTGCATTCTTTGAACACCAGGGTTTATGGCAGTGTTTCTCAACCTTCCTAATCCTGTGACCCCTTAATCCAGTCCCTCATGTTGTGGTGACCCCCAACCATAACATTATTTTCGTTGCTACTTCATAACTTTCATTTAGCTAGTGTTATGAATCATAATGTAAATATCTGATATGCAGCATGTATTTTCATTCACTGGACCAAACGGCACAAATACCCAATACACCCAAATGTGAATGGTAGTGGGGTTGGGGGAGGACTGATTTTGTAATTTGGGAGTTGTAGTTGCTGGGATTTATAGTTCACTTATAATCAAAGAGCATTCTGAACTCCACCAGCAATGGATTTGAACCAAACTTGGCTCCCATGACCAACGGAAAACACTGGAAGGGTTTGATGGGCATTGATCTTGAGTTTGGGAGTTGTAGTTCACCTATATCCAGAGAGCACTGTGGACTCTTGCAATGGTGGATCTCGACCAAACTTGGCACAAATACTCAATATGCCCAAATTTGAACACTGGTGGAGTATGGGGAAAATAGATCTTGACATTTGGGAGTTGTAGTTGCTGGGATTTATAGTTCATTACAATCAAAGAACATTCTGAACTCCACCAACAATAGAATTGGCTCAAACTTCCCACATGGAATCCCCATGACCATCAGAAAATACTGTGTTTTCTTATGGTCTTTGGTGACCCCTCTGACACCCCCTCGCGACCCCCTCAGGGGTCCCAACCCCCAGGTTGAGAAACACTGGTTTATGGGGTCATCTCTCCCCTCAATGCTGCAGAAAGCAACTCCAACCCCTGCACATGTTGCCAATCCCTGGCAGACATCACACTTGGCCCTTGGAGGCCAAACAAAACCCACCTGCCAACTGCTTATTACTTCTTCAACAGGCGCAACGCTCACACTTTCCTGTTGCAGTGGGAAGACAATCTGTTCAGCACGCCGGTTTTGCCGGACTACCGGATCCCACTTGGCCAGGTCTTGGGCTGTCTGTGTGTAGGCCGCTTCCCGCACTACCTACAGAAAAGATAGCACATCACTGAGCAAAATATCCCTAGCAGTGTTATTTCATTAAGGAAACACTGGGGGGGGGGGGGGGATCTTTTGGATTCAAACTCCAATGAGTAGTTGGCAGCCATGTAGGTTTGGGAATCCTAATCCACTTTTCACAGATTTAGATCCAGCATGAATGGGAAGAACCTACTTCTCATGCGCTCAAGCACTGTAGTGATGCCACCAGCCAAACTGTAAACTCTTGTTCAGACACTCATCCAAAATGCATTTTGGAAGGCTCAGCTTCATAGAACTATATTGATGCTGCACTCTAGGACAGGAAAAGCCCCCTGACCACACGTTGAATAGGAAAAAAAATTCCTTTTATTGGAGATAATTAAAAAGCAGCAAAGTAAAAAGCACTTTAAAGAAATAGGTACATCCAATTAGGTAAGAAGATCGGCAGGAACAAAATAGTCCAGGGAAAAATTCAGCAAAGTCCATGAAAACAAAGTCCACACTTCTCTAATATAATCCAGAAAACCAGGAAACATTAATCCAAGACATGAGTATGCAATCATAAAATCCAAGAGTCAAAACCATGAAACAAGAAATATTTAGCATGAATCTTTCAAGCAAGGCTTCCATAAAACAAGGACAAAAACTTAACTTGATTCCAAACAATGCTTCATCTGGCTACATTTCCCGTACTTGGGATTTTTATCCCCTTATAAAGCTATCCCAAACACTCAGAAATTGGTTTCACTTTAATTGAGATTCCCTTATCTTTTTCTATCGAAGCCTGGCAGAACACCGAAGGCACTGTTCACCTTGTCTGTTTTAACTAATCTCCTGCTGTCTATCTATTTGCGCATTAACTTCTGCAAGTGCAGAGTTATTTTCAAGCCCCAAATCCTGGGAACTCTGGTAGCAATTCAGGGATCTCCTGGTCATTCTCTGCATCAATATCATTGACCAAACCATTGCCATCTTGAAGCTCATTGACATCACTCCCCACATCCAAAGCACCCTGATCCTGAAACACAATCACAGGTTTGATTTAGAATCCATTTGCATGTAAAAAGATGGCTACGGTCAAGAATAGCACCTACTGAACAAATGAATTTGTGAGCTGTAAGATTTGGGGGTTGCTCCAGATTTGTTATATTATATACCTTCAAGTGGTTTCCAACTTTTGGTGACCTTAAAACTGAATTAGATCAAAACACAGAGAATGAGGTTTGCAATGACCACTGGTCAGGTTGACTATTATCGTCATGCCTCACGGCATTTATTTATTTGCTAAATTTATATGCCACCTTTCTCACCCCGAAGGGTACTCAGAGCAGCTTACAAGACATACACACATATATATACATACATACAATACATTATACCATGAGCACAATACAATATCAACGCTATACATCACTATATTGTACTATACAATTATATTGTAATACTAGTAATATTACATATAATATAAAATATATAATTATAATATCACATTATTATTATTAGTATTATACTGTATTACATTATAATATTATATTTATATACAATATATTATATTATATTATATTATATTATATTATATTATATTATATTATATTATATTATATTATATTGGCATCACCTATAAGGTCAACAGTAAACTTGGATAATCCAGTTAAGTTCAAATGGTGGAGGACAAAAGCAGGAGAGGCCTACTGGTTGGTCAGCATGAGATGCTAGGCATGCCTTTGGTTGATTTACTGATAGGATGATGTTTACACTGAATAGTGTGGTACCTCTGAGGCTAGGTAGCCATTGCACTCTCTTCCAAACACGATTCTAGGAATCCTACCACTACCATAACCCAAGGCAACGTTTTCATAAGCTACAGCTCTGCAATAGCTATGTCTGTTAGTATCATTTTGTCAATAAAAGCCCCAGAAACATTAGCATTTATAAAAACTACCCACGCAAGCCAGAGGATTCTGCAATTTAAAGTGCCAAAGAAGGAACTTCTCCAAGCTCTTCCTGAATCTCAGCATGCCAGCCTCTTCCTCGTCCCTATAATGTACATCTGCCTATGAACCATTTCGTAAACTCACCCGTTCATTCTCCTCCTTGCTCAGAGGGAGGTTGACAGCCTTCTTTTGCTGGGCTTTGTTCAGTTGCTTCCGAAGGCGGCGTAAAGCTGGTGATGTGGAAGCAGGCTGCAGGAGCTCCGAAAGGAGCACTTTTTCGTCAGCACCTGAAATAAATGTTAGGCGAGTGGGCTTATTAACAAAAGACCCTCCCCATGCATGTACAGCAGAGGAACTTATTATCCCCAGCGTGACCCAGCAACACTATCCAAAAGTGGTAAAAAGAACAAAAAACAAAACACAGACCAATGTTATTTCTTCCTTAGGAAGTTTTTCTTTATATCAAAATAACATGATTGAACTATTTACAAAACAAGGTTTCCATAACACAAATAAAGTATTTTATACTTCCTTCTTTGCTTCCACGCTGGGTTTCTTTCTTATGCAGATAAACAGCTTCTAGCTTCACTCTCACACCAAACTTACACAGGAGTTTCACACACGAGGCCTTCAACCTGGAGTTTCTTTTACCAAAGCATCTCACAGCAGGCCTCTCACACTCTGCCTTCTTAAAGCCTACCTCACACTGTGAGGGCTACCTCACACAGAGGCTTCTCTCACAGACTGAGACTTTTCTCCAACTGAGGCTTCTCTCACAGAATAAGACCTACCTCACACCATGAGGCCTTCTCACAGACTGAGACCTTTCTCTCACTGAGGCAAACAGAGGCCTATAAACTACAAGCACACAATATTTTATAGAACTGCAGGTTTTTCTGAGTCATTGCATCCATTTAACCCTTTCAGTGCTTGACTCACATTTTTGTAATTAAATATACCTAGTTAATTTTTAATTTTTCTGACAACAAATAGCAATATTCTGTAGAACCCAACTAGAGCAATCTACCTTATAATAGGACAAAGCCTAGTCTGGGATTAGAGCAGTGTTTCTCAACCTGGGGGTTGGGTCCCTTGGGGGGGTCACGAGGGGGGGTCAGACGGGTTGCCAAAGACCATTGGAAAACACAGTATTTTCTGTTGGTCATGGGGGCTCTGTGTGAGAAGTTTGGGGCAATTCTATCATTGATGGAGTTCAGAATGCTCTTTGATTGTAGATGAACTATAAATCCTAGCAACTACAACTCCCAAATGTCCTACTTTCCCCAAACATCACCAGTGTTCACATTTGGGCATACTGAGTATTCGTGAAAAGTTTGGTCCAGATCCATCATCGTTTGAGTCCACAGTGCTCTCTGGATGTAGGTGAACTACAACTCCAAAACTCAATGCCCACCAAACCCTTCCAGTATTTTCTGTTGGTCATGGGAATTCTGTGTGCCAAATTTGGTTCAATTCCATTGTTGGTAGAGTTCAGAATGCTCTTTGGTTGTAGGTGAACTATAAATCCCAGCAACTACAACGCCCAAAATGACAAAATCACCTCCCGCCCCAATCCTACCAGTATTCAAATTTGGGCATATTGGGTATTTGTGCCAAATTTGGTCCAGTGAATGAAAATACATTCTGCATATTGGATATTTACATTATGCTACATAACAGTAGCAAGATTACAGTTATGAAGTAGCAATGAAAATAATGTTATGGTTGGGGGTCACCACAACATGAGGAACTGTATTAAGGGGTCGCAGCATCAGGAAGGTTGAGAACTACTGATTTAGAGACCTCTAAGCATGAGGACAAGTTCAATCTGTCCAGAGCTCCTCAAATGGTGCATTCCCATGAACATGAAGCATTTCAATGGCTTTCATAGATTCTAAAAGGGGCAACTGCATCTACCATACACATTAGTTACTGGCTATAAAACCTTTCCGAGCACAATTCCGAGCACAATTCAAAGTGCTGGTTTTGACCTACAAAACCCTACACGGTTCTGGCCCAGTGTATCTGTCTGAACAGATCTCCCTCTACGTCCCATCCCGGAGTCTAAGATCTTCTGGGGAGGCCCTGTTCTCGACCACGCCTCTATCACAAGTGAGGTTGGTGGGGACGAGGGGCAGGGCCTTCTCGGTGGTGGCCCCCCACCTATGGAATTCACTCCCCGGGGAAATTAGATCAGCGACATCACTCCTTTCCTTTAGGAAAAAACTGAAAACATGGATTTGGGATCAGGCATTCGGACAATCGGGCAGATAAAGAAAGGGCTTTGATAATGGTCAGGAAATGACTAATGGAATGGAACTATGGAACTCTGAAAGACGAAACGCTGAGCATGAGAATAGTTTTATATGATGTGTTATTTACTGATTGTTTTAACTACATTATGTGTAATTTGTATAGACATCGAATTGCCTTTTTGTAAGCCGCCCTGAGTCCCCCCTCGGGGGTTGAGAAAGGCAGGGTAAATGTACCTGAAATAAATCCTAAATATGATAGTATTTTGGCTCACCCAAAAGTTTCACTACACCTGATTGTGACCCTCAGGCTGATAGAGACCGGTCACCTTTGATCTAGTCCAGGGAATGAGAACACAGAACTCCCTATGAATGTTGTTGACAGCTCTCGGAAATATTAACCACTTGCTATTCTGGCTAGAGCTATACAAACCTGCAAACAACTGGAGGAACTAAATATTGTCTAAGCAACTAAATATTGTCCACTCTGACTAGTATCTCATGCAATACAGTCTTTCTTATTTTATGTTATCTGATCCTTTTAACTAAAAATACAAGGAACCGGAGTTCCTCTACAAGCAAAGCAGCCATTCTGCCCCTTCCTTTCACTAGGGACTGACAAGTAATGTGCGGATAAGGACCAAGCCTCCCTCTTATGAGTAACAAATGCAACATCCATGTCAGGAACTACGGTATATACTCGAGTATAAGCCGACCCGAATATAAGCCAAGGTGCCTAATTTTACCACAAAAAACTGGGAAATCGTATTAACTCGAGTATAAGCCGAGGGTGGGAAATGCAGCAGCTATGGGCCAATTTCAAAATAAGAAATAGATACCAATGAAATTAAATTAATTGAGGCATCATGGGGTGAAATATTTTTGAATTTTTGCATAAAACTGTAATTTATGTCAAACTCTGATTAAACCATAATTCTAACCTTCTTCAGGGTAAATGTGCTTGTGTATCCTTCCAATAATAATAGAGAGATCAAAATAATAAATGTCATAAAAATAATAATAGAGTAAAATAATGGAAATGTAAGAATAACAGTAATAATAGAGTAAAATAACAACTGTAATAACAATAGTAGTAGTAGTAGTAATAATAGAATAAAATAATAAATGTAATAATTTTTTTTTGTCGTGTCAGGAGCATCCTGTTGTGAGAGAATTGGCTGTCTGCAAGGACGTTGCCCAGGGGACGCCCGAATGATTTTGATGTTTTATCATCCTTGTGGGAGGCTTCTCTCATGTCCCCGCATGAGGAGCTGGAGCTGATAGAGGGAGCTCATCCGCCTCTCCCTGGAATCGAGCCTGCGACCTGTTGGTCTTCAGTCCTGCCGGCACAGAGGTTTAACCCACTGCGCCACCGGGGGCTCCAATAAAATAATAATGGAGTAATATAATGTAAATATAATAATAAAGTAAAATAATAAATGTAATAATGATAATAATAGAGTAAGTGTAATGTAAATGTAATAATAATAACAAATAGAGTAAAAGATTAAATAATAAATAATGGTAATAACAGAGTAAAATAATAAATAACATTGGCTCGAGTATAAATCGAGGGGGGCTGAAAAACTAGGCTTATACTCAAGTATATACAGTAACTCAAGCCTGCACAACCTGTTGCCCTCCAGATATTTTTTATCCCACAACTCCCAGAATTCCTGGCTATAGGACAAGCTGCCTAGGCTTCTGGGAGTTGGAGGCCAAAACAGCCAGAGAGCCGTGGGTTGTTCAGGTCTGGTCTACTTCAAAGCAACAGGTAAAGGTGGAAATATCTTACCTCTTCCAACATCAAATTCTGAGATCTGCCTGCTTGCCTCAGTACGCTCAGTGGCTCGCAACCTGTAAAGAAGCGAATAAGTGAGAAATAGAAAAAGGCAGTTATTTGCATACAATTCTCATCACTTAAGACCAGGATACAGGCAGTCCCCAAGTTACAAACAAGATAGGTTCTGTAGGTTTGTTCTCCTCCCTCCCTCGCTTCCTCCTCTACTTCCTTAGGGTGCACATTAGATCCTCATAATATGGTAATCTTAGTTCTGAGCCAAAGCAAAAGATGACGCTGCTTCAGGAGCATCTGGAGCTCCTGTTTGTGGAATATCACCTCTAATTTGTAGTTTGGTGAGCTACCAGCATTCCTTGGCAGAGAAGACTCAAGATTTTGTGAAACTACATGACTATCAACAACAATATTTATAATGGTACATAGACCCATCAATTTCACGAGAATAAAGACGAAGATCCACCCAGAGGAACCACTGACCGCATAGGGAAGTTGATGAGGAAACACAACATACAAACCACCTACAGACCCACCAAGAAAATCCAACCAATGCTACGTTCAGCAAAGGACAAGAGGGATCCTCTCACTTCTGCAGGAGTCTACCGTATACCATGCAGCTGTGGACAAGTCTCCATAGGGACCACCAAACGCAGCAGCATTGCCCAAACCCGAATCAAGGAACATGCAAGGCACTGCAGACTATTTCAACCAGAGAAGTCAGCCATAGCGGAGCACCTGATGAAACAACCTGGACACAGCATTTTATTTGAGAACACAGAAATGCTGGACCACTCTCACAACCACCATGTCAGACTACACAGAGAAGCCATTGAAATCCACAAGCATGTGGACAATTTCAACAGAAAGGAGAAAACCATGAAAATGAACAACATCTGGCTGCCAGTATTAAAAAACTCTAAAATTACAACAGCCCAACAACAGAGAGGAAACAAACAAGGACATCTAATCACCTCTCAACAAAAGTTTGCTTTAGGCACTGTCAGGCCATTATATGCTAATCAAGGTGGTCAGTTGAAACATTCACACCTAGCTCCAGCAGACAAGAATCCTTTGTCCCACCCTGGTCATTCCACAGATATATAAACCCTTTTTCCTAGTTCCAAAAGACCTCACTACCTCTGAGGATGCTTGCCATAGATGCAGGCGAAACGTCAGGAGAGAATGCCTCTAGACCATGGCCATATAGCCCGAAAAAACCTACAACAACCCAAAGTTTATTATTATTATTCATTGTTTTGAAAATGGAGGTGTGCATTAGTTTCGATGGCACATTAGACTCGAGACAATACGAATATCTCTGTTCCCTCTTACCGTTTTCCTCCAGACAAAGTACTGAGTGTATCCACAAGCTGGCGATGTCTCTTTGCTGCCTCTTCATTGCCTGCCTGGAAAACAAAACAAAACACGGCCAGTGAATAGGGCTCAAGGTGGAGAGGATGAAGCAAAAGGCAAAGCCACAGAAGTTGGACGAGAAGAAGTATAGAGATTTTTAAAAACTCATTAGAAATAGGGTTTATAATACAACTAACTGTCCCCTGCCAGGCGTTGCTGTGGCCCAGTCTGTTGATCTGGAAAATAAAGTAATGACAAAGTGTTGGTTTCTAATATATGTAATTTCTTTATGCTTGTGAGTAAACAGTATTTCTTGCTGTTTCTTTGTCAGTGTTGATGTGGAGAGTGTCTGGATTGCCCACCCTGGAACATGCAACATATCATTATCCTTCTTTAAGGGTCCCTTTCAAATCTATGATACTATATCTCTGTGTGTGTGAATCATATCTATCTATATCTATGGCTGGATGGCTCTTTGTCAGGAAGGCTTTGATTAAGTTTTCTTGCCCCGGTGAAGGGAGTTGGACTGGATGGTCTTAAGTATTTTCTGTTGGTCATGGGAGAACTGTGTGCCAAGTTTTGTTCAATTCCATTGTTAGTGGGGTTCAGAATGCTCTTTGATTGTAGGTGAACTATAAATACCAGTAAGTACAACTCCCAAATGTCAAGGTCTATTTCCCCCAAACTCCATCTGTGTTCATATTTGGGCATATGGAATATTCGTGCCAGGTTTAGCCCAGATCCATCATTGTTTGAGTCCACTGTGCTCTCTGGATATAGGTGAACTACAACTCCCAAACTCAAGGTCAATGCCCACCAAACCCTTCCAGTATTTTCTGTTGGTCGTGGGAGTTCTTTGTGCCAAGTTTGGTTCAATTCTATCATTGATAAAGTTCAGAATGCTCTTTGATTGTAGGTGAACTATAAATCTCTGCAACTACAACTCCCAAATGACAAAATCATAATTGTTTGAAAGATGGTCACTCCTTGTGTGATTTCGTTCATTGGTTCTTTTGTTTTTAAGGTACTCATTATGCACAGAGCATTTTATATATATAGATGTTGTTGTTCATTCGTTCAGTCGTCTCCGACTCTTTGTGACCTCATGGACCAGCCCACGCCAGAGCTCCCTGTCGGCCGTCACCACCCCCAGCTCCTTCAAGGTCAGTCCAGTCACTTCAAGGATACCATCCATCCATCTTGCCCTTGGTCGGCCCCTCTTCCTTTTACCTTCCACTTTCCCCAGCATCATTGTCTTCTCTAAGCTTTCCTGTCTTCTCATTATGTAGCCAAAGTACTTCAACTTTGTCTCTAGTATCCTTCCCTCCAGTGAGCAGTCAGGCTTTATTTCCTGGAGGATGGACTGGTTGGATCTTCTCGCAGTCCAAGGCACTCTCAGCACTTTCCTCCAGCACCACAGCTCAAAAGCATCTCTCTTCCTTCGCTCAGCCTTCCCGAAGGTCCAGCTCTCACATCCGTAGGTGACTACAGGGAAGACCATGGCTTTGACTAGGCAATGGATCTTTGTTGCCAGTCTGATGTCTCTACTCTTGACTATTTTATCGAGACTGGACATTGCTCTCCTCCCAAGAAGGAAGCGTCTTCTGATTTCCTGGCCACAGTCTGCATCTGCAGTCATCTTTGCGCCTAGAAATACAAAGTCTGTCACGGCCTCCACATTTTCTCCCTCTATTTTCCAGTTGTCAATCATTCTTGTTGCCATAATCTTGGTTTTTTGATGTTTAGCTGCAACCCAGCTTTTGCGCTTTCCTCTTTCACCTTGATTAGAAGGCTCCTCCTCGCTTTCGGCCATCAGAGTGGTGTCATCTGCATATCTGAGATTGTTAATGTTTCTTCCAGCAATTTTCACCCCAGCTTTGCATTCATCAAATATATATAGCATCAAATATATATAAAGCCCTGTAGGGAGCCTTCAATGCAGAGATCTCAAGCAGGTCTCACCTCTTCTTCTTCCTCTTCCTTCTCCTCTGGGCCGCTCAGATGCGGCTCATCCTCTTCTGCCTCCGCCATTGGGGAAAGCAGGCCACCAAAACTCTTCCTTCCTCGACCAAATGGGAAGAAATCCACGACACGTGCTGCTTAGCCCCTCTGGCAAACTGCTTGCCGCAAAACGAGGCAGCGCTTCCGGTCCTGAAGTTACCACCTTGCAGCACTTCCGCCCTTTGCTGGAAATTTGAATACGGAGGCGGAGCTGACAAGATGGGCACGCCCCCGAGTCTTTCCCGAACCAATGACAAGCCATTCTCTTGGAGACTCCGCCCCCTCTCGCTTTGGAAATCCTAACGCCTGTCATTTCTTTTGAAAGACGTGCGGCTTGACCAATCGGAGGCCGCGTTTGGGAGAGCGAGAGGCCCCGCTTGCCTTCCCTCAGAAACATGGAATCGAACACGCGTGTAACTCGTTTTCCCGTCTTGAATAAACTGTGGCAGCTTCAGGCAGGGAAATAAGAACCGCCGTCTCCGTTAACTGATAGCTGCTTTCGCCTTCCATGAGGAGAGTCCTGCTTGAGGACAGGCGACTCCCGGCCCCGCACCGCGCCTTTCCACCCCTCGGCCAATCATGTGAGCGCTTTTCATTTTGGAGGCGGTGCCCGACTCACCACGGGCCAATAGGGAGGCGCGGTTTGTCCCCTCTCACGGAGAGACGAAGGAGGCACTGGACTGACGCGACCCCGCCCCTTCTGTGTATAAAAGACACGCACGGCGGCCAATCACGTGAGCGTCTTTCACTTTGGAGGCGGTGCTGGATCCACCGCGAGCCAATAAGGAGGCGCGGTTTGTCCCCCCTCACTGAGAGAGGCAGGAGGCACTGGAGTGACGCGACCCCGCCTCCTTCTGTGTATGAAGGACACGCACGGCGGCCAATCACGTGAGCGGGTTTCACTTTGGAGGCGGTGCCTGACCCACCGTGGGCCAATAGGGAGGCGGGGTGTGTCCCCCCTCACGGAGAGAGGCAGGAGGCACTGGATTGACGCGAACCCGCCCCGTCTGAGTATGAAGGACACGCCCGCCGACCAATCACGTGAAGGCCTTTCACTTTGGAGGCGGTGCCTGACCCACCGCCGGCCAATAAGGAGACGCGGTCTGTCCCCCCCCCCTCATGGAGAGAGGCAGGAGGCGCTGGACTGACGCGACCCCGCCTCCATCTGTGTATGAAGGACACGCACAGCGACCAATCACGTGAGCGTCTTTCACTTTGGAGGCGGTGCTGGATCGACTGCTGGCCAATAGGGGCGCGCGCTGTCTTTTCCCTCACGGAGCGAGTCCTGGATAGAGAGAGAGAGAGAGAGAGGGGCAGGCGCCACTAGACGAGGCGCGACCCCGCCCCTCTGTGTATGAAGGACACGCACTACGGCCAATCACGTGAGTGGATTTCACCTCGGAGGCGGTGCCTGACCCACCTCGGGCCAATAGGGCCGCGCGCTGCCTTTTCCCTCACGGAGCGAGTCCTGGATAGAGAGAGAGAGAGAGAGAGAAAGCGAGAGGGAGGCGCCTCTGGAGGGAGCCGGCCTCGCTGGAAGAGAGGTGAGCGAGAGAGAGAGCGAGAGAGAGAGGCGGCTTGCTTCCCCAATCCATCCCCGCTCCGCCTCTGGGCCTGGCCTTCCTCGCGGGGCGGGCGGGGGTCCCGTGGTGGCACGTGGGGAGCCAGGGACGCGCGCCCTGTCCAGGTGGGAAAGGAACAAAGAGAGGCCTGCCATGCCATGCCTTGCCTTGCCTTGCCTTGCCTTGCCATGCAGCGCGCGCGCCTGCCTGCCTGCCTTTGTGTTTGGCTGTCACCGCTGCCTCTTCTCCTGGGCGGGGAGAGGACGGATCAGGACAAACAAAGCGGGCCTCTGGGGCGGGGGACTGCAGGGAGGGAGGAAAAGGAAGGGAAGGAGAGGAAAGATAGAGGAAGAAGGAAGGAAGGAAGGAGAGGAAGGAAGAAGGGAGGAAAGGAAGAAGAGGAAGAAGGAGGGAAGGGGAAGGAAAGGAAGGAAAGAGAAGGGAGGGAGGAGGGAAAGAAGGAAGAGGAAGGAAGAGAGGGAGGAAGGAAGGGAAGGGAAGGAAGTAGAAGAGGAAGGAGGGAAGGGAGGGTAGAGGAAGGGAGGAAGAAAAGGAAGGAGAGGAAGGAAGGAAAGAAGAAGAGAGGAAGAGGAGAAGAGGGAGAAGGAGGAAAGGAAGAGAGGAAAGAAAAAGAGAAGGAGGAAGGAGGAAGAAGAGAAAGAAGGAGGAAGGGAGGGGAAGGAAGGAAAAAGGAAGAGAGGGAGGGAGGAAAGGAAGGAAGAGGAGGAAGAGGGAAAGAGAGGGAGGGAAGAAAGGAAGGAAGAGAGAAAGAAAAAGGAAGGAAAGGAAGAGGAAGGGAAGAAGGGAGAGGGGAGGAGGAAGGAAAAAGGAGAAGAGAGAAGAGAAAGAGGAGGGGGAAGGGAAGGAGGAAAGAAGGAAAGGAGAAGGAAGAGGGAGGAGGGAAGAAGAGAAGGAAGGAGAGAAAGAAAAAGGAAGGAAGGAAGAAGGAAGGTAGGAAGGAGGAAAGGAGAGAAGGAGGGAAGGGAGGAGGAAAAAAAGGAAGGAAGAGAGGAGGGAAAAGGGAGAGGAGGGAAAGAAAGAGGAAGGGAAGGAGAAAGAAGGAAGTAGAGGAGGAAGGAGGGAAGAGAGGGAGGGAGGAAAGGAGGGGAGGAAAGGACGGAAGTAGAGGAGGGAGGGAGGGAGGAAGCAAGTAAACGAGGCTGAAAGGAAGAAAGGCTGAAAGGAAGAATGAAGGAAGGAATGAATGAAGTAAGGAAGCAACAAAGCAAGCAAGGAAAGAAAAAAGGAAGGGAGGAAGGAAAGTAAAAAAAGGAGGAAAGAAGGACTTCATTAGGCAGCAGGTCACTAAGAGAAATGCATTTGATAATTTTGATCTGTGCTGAATATGACAGTCCCCAAGTTACGAACGAGCCTGGTTCTGTAGATTTTGATCTTCTTAAATGGAATGTGTATGTAAGTCAGAACAGCTACTCATTCTTAAGTGTCACTCCAACCAAAGACTTCCTGTATCTATTTCAGATTCCAGTATTATTGTCAAAAATACGTAGTATGATTTGACGTAGGATTTGTGCTACATTAGAACAGTAAAGACAAATATCATTTTAAGTAAAAGAAACATTAAATATTAAATATCAAAAACAATGTGTTTGCAAGTACATTTTAAAGTGTAACTCCAGCCAAATTTGTGTGTGTGTGTGTGTGTGTATACATATATCCTTATATATGTCCCTATATGTATGTGTGTGTGGATATATGTGTGTGTGTGTGTGTGTGTGTGTGTATGCATGCTTTGGATAGCATAGGAATAAGTGAACATCCCTGTAACGTTCATTCAAAAGATTTTGCCTCACTTTCTTTCCCTGTGACAATTAGATTTTGAAAATATTGCCTTGTTGTGGAAACAAGGATTGCTGGTAAAGCTTCAGTGGAGACGCCTTTCCAGAAGTGGATTTCCATTCCTAAGGATAGGTTTCTCTCACTTCCTGTTGTCTCAACCCCATTCTTAACTATTAGTTGTTTGTAGGTTGCATGTTTAACCCAGGGACTGCCTGTATTCTACTTCTAACCAATAATCAAAGCTTTGTTTGTTTTTAAATTTTGTTCCTTAGACAAGGGACACATCTATAGATCTTAAGCAGTTTGACACTAATTGCTGTGACTCTTTGCTAGGGAAGCCTGGAAGCTGTAGTTTTACAAAGCTTGTTTTTTTTGCCATGACAAGGACTCAGTGGAGCAGTGGGTTCAAATTATAGGAAAAGAAATTCCATCTGAATATGATGGAGAAGCTCATGTTAAGAGCTGTTTAGCAGTGGAACTCTCTGCCTCGGAGTCAGGTGGAGGCTCCTTTCTTGGAGGCTTTGAAACAGAGGCTGACCATCTGTCAGGGGTGCTTTGATTGTGCTTTTCCTGCATGGCACAAAAGGGTTTGGTCTGGATAGCCTTTGGGGTCTATTTTTGCCTGCCCAGCCATTGTTGTGCATTGGGATTGTCACCTAGAAGCTTGTTATTAAAGACGGATTCATTCTTTCTAAAACATGCTGCCAGTGTGAGAACAAAGCATTGGTCCTTTTAAAAAATACTGGCATGAATACAAAAAGTTTGCTTAAGCCTCAGTCCAGAATCTTAAATGACAACTATCATTTGTTGGTAGTTCACAGTGGTATATATATATCTATGAATAGGTGGGGCCTTACAAAGTGAAGAAGAAAGGGTAGATTAGTTCTAAATAACTGCCTTGTTGGATCAAAGGTAAACAAGAGCTTGAGAAGCTGTAACAATGATGATAGAAACATGGGAAGGGCTTGATTCTAATTTTAACTTCTGTTAAAAATTACCGGTCGTTTTGAAAGTCAAATGCAATCTCACACTAAGGGAACTCTTCCATAAAGCACTGGAGAAATAACCTAAAAGCCCAGTGTTTGTTTCAAGCACTGTTTCATCAACATGACCTTTGTGGTGCAGGCTATTAACCAGTGTGTATTTTGGCTGAGAAATCCATGTGTCATTATTTGATTACTATGAGAGTCTAAGCAACGTAACACAGTCTACCCTTTGGGCGAGGCTTCACTCTGGTCATTCCAAATACATAATATAATACATGTAATATTGATAATAATATTATAATGTAATACAATATAAAGCTAATAATACAATATAATAATTGTATATTATATATTACTAAAAATATTTCAGTATAGTGGCATAGTACAATATAGTAATATGTAATACTGATATTATGCTATGCTAATATAATACATTGTATGTACATATAGTATTGATCATAATATAATGTAATACAATATATTACTAACAATAACACAATATAATAATTGTATATTATATATTACATGTAATATTACTAATAACATTGCTATATAGTGGTATAGTACAATATAGTAATATATAATGCCAATATTGTGCTGTTGTAATAACATAATATATTGTATGTACAATCATTGATGATAATATTATAATGTAATACAATATAATACTAATAATACAATATAATAATTGTATATTACATATTACTGATATTGCTATATAGTGGTATAGTGCCATATAGTAATATATAATACTGATATTGTGCTATGTTAATAAAATAATATATTGTATGTACAATCATATTGATACTATATTGTAAAACAATATAATAATAATACAACATAATATATATTATGTATTACATGTAATATTACTAATAATATTGCTGTATAGTGGTATAGTACAATATAGTAATATATAATACTAATATTGTGCTGTTGTAATACCATAATATATTGTATGTTCAATCATATTGATGATAATATTATAATGTAATACGATATACTACTAATAATACAATATAATAATTGTATATTACATGTTACTAATATTGCTGAATAGTGGTATAATACAATATAGTAATATCTAATACTAATATTGTGGTATGCTAATAATATAATATATTGTATTTACATATAACTTGTGAGCTGCTCTGAGTCCCCTTTGGGGTGAGAAGAATGGGATATAAATATAGTAAATAAATTAAATAAATGGGATGACATTTGAAGGAGTGTAAAGGTTTAAGATGATCCTATAGTTCAAAAGGGCTGATGTGACATTTAGGGAAGGATGTCAAGGCCCAACACCAAGTAGGGATTTTTGAGCCAGTATCATTTGCCAAAAATAACAGGAAAGCATTGGCAGTGAACAGATTCGCCTCATATTAGGAGCTACAGAGCAAGACACATTGTTTGTTTCCTGTTGAGCAAGATGGCACTTCTGCCGCTTGTGAAGGTAAGTGACTAAACCTGAAAATAGGATGTGGGTGTGCCAGGAAAGATATTCTCCCATACAACATAGCTCGGGCAGTCTGAGTTAGGTATCTTATGGCTACCGATGCTAACTGGTTTCCTTGTCTCTTGTTTCATCAGGGGCTGAGGCTGGCTCTCTGAGAATGGTGTGTACATCCCAGTGGCTGGAGAGGAGGAAGCCCATTGCCCAGTTGCCTTATCTTCTGTGAAGACGCAGCCATGTCTGTAATGATAGCGAGGAAGAAAGTGACACGGAAATGGGAGAAGTTGCCAGGAAGGAACACGTTTTGTTGCGATGGGCGCATCATGATGGCCCGACAGAAGGGCATTTTCTACTTGACCCTCTTCCTCATTGTGGGAACGTGTGCCCTCTTCTTTGCTTTTGAGTAAGTTCACAGTGGATGGAACTTTTTCTTGGGGGGTGGTGGTGGGTGGGTTATGAGATTGGCATAGGTTGGTTGAGCCACAGTTCATCTTCCAATAAGATAGGATGGCTCTTTTCTTGGGGAATCCTTAACAGCTGTTAAAGGAGTCAGTGAATATTAATATAGGACATAAAGTGGAATTTTAGGCCATGTATGAATATTGTTGTCTCACTGTCTTTCTTCAGAAATTGAGCTAATGCCTGTTCTTGTGGCTGAACTACTGAAATCAACTTCTGAATGATTTTATAGTGATGTAATTCTAATTTTTATCTTAAACTTTATCTTTTGGCATTGCTGAATTGCACTTATAAATTTAATAAAGTGCCAGTTAGCCTCATCTCTTACAAATCAGTGAATATGTTAGACATCAAAATATTTACAAGAGTGCTGTTCCTGGCCAGTATGGAATACTGTATTGAAGGGAAATATTTTATTATTGTTTTGATGACTGAGAGGATATGAGTTCAGTCCCACTGGTATGCTGTTGCCACTGTGGATCAAGCCTGAATTGCTGTTGAATGAATGCTTCTCTTAATATGAGTCACATTTGAAAAGATTTGCTGACTATGATGGTTTATAAATTAGACTATAGTACAAGTATATTTTTTTAAAAATGTCACTGCAGCTTATTCTGTGCCAAGGATGCTTACAGCATCCTTTCTGAGAACTGGCTTGCTCTAGAAATGAACTATTCAGGTGCAGTTGGGAAGGCAACTCATGTACTGCTCTGCCGAATTTCTTGGCTAATGGCTCCATAGCTAGTCATTTCTCCAGGATATATAAAAACCTTTCCAGGAAGTAGCTTCCTACACTTACTGCTGCAGCCAGTCTGTTACTTTTAAGTGTGGATTTGTATGTGAGGTACAATTGTCAATAATGTTGGAAGACAATTTTTGAAGAAAAGTGAGATATAAATATTTAAAAAATCAACCGGTGAGCTCTCTTAAGTGTTGAAATTAGTAATTTATAGTCCCTTAAGTGATCTGTCTATATTGTTAAAATAGTGATGTAAGTTCCTTGTAGACATTTGCTGAATTGATTCAAAGAATGCTTAATTAGTTATATTAATAACTTTTTTTTTTGCCTGAATGAAACATGTAGTATAAACTGAACATATTATGTAGCTGACAATGAAGCCAGTGTGTCGTCCCTAGATTAGGAATAGATTGAGGTGTGAAAAAGATCTTGGAGTCCTTGTGGACAAGTTAAACATGAGCCAACAATGTCAGCTTAAAAAGCCAATGGGATTTTGCCCTGTATCAATAGGAGCATAGTGTCTAGATCCAGGGAAGTCATGCTACCCCTCTATTCTGCCTTGGTCAGACCACACCTGGAATACTGTGTCCAATTCTGGGCACCACAATTGAAGAGAGATATTGACAAGCTGGAATGTGTCCAAAGAAGGGTAACTCAAGTGATCAAGGGTCTGGAGAACAAGCCCTATTAGGAGCAGCTTAAAGAGCTGGGCATGTTTAGCCTGAAGAAGAGAATGCTAAGAGGAGACATGATGAGGGCCATGTAGCAAGATGTGAGGAGAAGTCATAGGGAGGAGGGAGCAGGCTTGTTTTCTGCTGCCCTAGAGACTAAGACGCAATGGAGCAATGGCTTCAAACTACACAAAAGAAAGGAGATTCCACCTGAACGTGAGGAAGAACTTCCTAACTGTATGAGAGAGCAGTTAATCAGTGGAACTTTCTGCCCTGGAGTGTGGTGGAGGCTCCTTTGGAGGCTTTTAAGCAGAGGCTGGATGGCCATCTGTCGGGGGGCTTTGAATGCGATTTTCCTGCTTCTTGACAGAATGGGATCGTACTGGATGGCCCAAGAGGTCTCTTCCAACTCTGTGATTTAGTTGGAATATGAAATTCCTCTGATTATCTTGTGATTTGGCACATTTTCATTACAAGGACATTGATCCCAATTTTGGGGTTGGTTCTGTATATGCACATGGTAAATCTCTAGTTGATGCCATGGGATTTTTAGTTTGAATCAGTTTGGTGTGAGATATTACACATGTGTAAATAAGAATGCTGTTGATAGATGTTCGAACAGGCATTTGGTTAATCGGTGCAATGAATGTGATGATTACAGGAATGGTAATATGGACGACGAAACTGGATCACGATTTTAGTCATGAGATGCATTGGGTTGTTATTGTTGTGTCAAGATTGTGTATTATGCTTTTATGGTTTTAAATTGTATATTGTTGACTGTTGTACCTTTGTTGTAAACCGCGTTGAGTCGTCTGTTAGGCTGAGAAACTGCGGTATACAAGTAAAGTAAATAAATAAATAAATAAATAGGAATTCATCTTCTGTCCCATATGTCTGTGCTACCGTTGATTCTCATCTGCTATACATTATTGTTGACAATTCATTCAAGACCGAAAAAATAGGAATGCATTAGTTATTCAAGTGGTGCTCCTGTCTTAAAGGGAGAGTAAATCTCTAAAACAAGAAAAGTGGGTAGAACATGACATCTTTCGCAAGTTTATTTATTATTTAATCATTCACATATCTGCACATATAGAAGACCCTGTCAATAGAAGAATGCAGAGTAGTGTGTCCTGAAATGAGGGAAAATGTTTCAAATGACTTAAACATTTTAAAAAATGCAAAAAAATGTATATAGACTCTTTTCTCCCTGTCTTTGAGAAAGAGAAGCTGCTGTGAGCCTCATTCTAGTCTTAGATGTGGAGACTTAAAACCTTCACTTTTGCTCCATTATTCATCTTTAGTTTACTTTCAGAAAAGCTGTGCTTATTTTGTTCTAAGTTCAAGTGTTGTTCTCCTCTATTTCACATCACTTGTTTCTTATTGCACATCTGAGCCAGGTTGTACTATTGTGCTCGCTTGTACTGTTGGCAGAGTGTTTCAAAGTGGGGAGTGGGAAGTTTGAATTTTACTACCACATAGATGCTTTTCTGATATGTGTCCAAGGCCTTCCTGAATGAAATCCTGACAGGCACGTCACACAGGCACAGCATGAGAGGTGAAGGAGAAAATCAGAGATTGGTGTACATGCAGAACATAACCTTTAGAAATGTACAGTAGTGCTATTGTTATCAACTGCCTACCCTATGGGTGAAGGGTGACTGGCTTATTGTGCATACGTTTGTGGCTGAATCAAAAACAAAATGTTTTTAAATGCCCAAATCACAAGTTATACTTATGATCTTTCAGTAGAGTTCTTAGGGTTTGGGTGTTACTATGAAAAAGAGCCAACATTGGGGCAATAAATTTGCAGAAATCTTTACCCAATTCATTTCAGCTGTCATGTGAGAGACCTTTTAGGTAGAGCAATGTATTTTGCATGTTCTTCTGCCCTAGCAATATTTTTATTTGTCTTTTGGAATTTTATTGGGAGCTTGTCCTAATGAAATGTAGGAAGAGTGATGGGTAGCTTATATTCAAGTTCTGTTTGGTAAATGTCACCTTCTTAAAGCCTAGTTGTTTTAGGTGCTAGGTTCTCTCTAAAGGGTAAAGGTTTCCCCTGACATTAAGTCTAGTTGTGTCTGACTTTGGAGGGTGGTGCTCATCTCCATTTCTAAGCCGAAGAGCCGTCATTGTCCGTAGACACCTCCAAGGTCATGTGGCCAGCATGACTGGATAGAGTGCCATTATTTTCTCGCAGAAGTGGTACCTATTGATCTACTCAAATTTGCATGCTTTCGAACTGCTAGGTTGGCAGAAGCTGGGGCTAACAGCGGGAGCATACCCCGCTCCTCAGATTTGAATCACCAGCCTTTCGGTCACCAAGTTCAGCAGCTCAGCAGTTTAATCCGCTGCACCACCGGGGGCTCTCTAGTCACAGTGAAATACAGGATTAATTTACAACATTTTTATGCATTGTGTAAGCTTAAAGTTCTTTACATCGCTTACTCTAAATAAACATACTGTTAGCTACAAAATAAAAATATAAATGCAAAATAAATGTTTTAATTTGTAGCTAAAAGTATGTTTATTTAGAGTAGACTGCATTTGACATTGCATACAAATATGCCATGTCAAAGCTTAACCAGACAGATAATTATATTTCTGTTTGTCTGACTTGCAATCTGTAACTGTTGCCACCTGACAATTTGACCCTGCTCTGCCCAAAAAGTAACACACTAAATGAATTAAGTATCTATTTTCACAGATCTATTGCCAAAATATAACGAAAATGCATTAATTGTAGAATCAAAGTCATGATGAAAATAGATAACTTTACATTGAAAACATTTTACAGATGTGTATTTGCTATCTAGGATTTTGACATATGTTAACCAGTTCAATTTTTTGTAAGTCCCTACACCACCTGGAAATCTTGTGTGTTTAATGAGGATGCAGTAATAGGGAACAATTTCTTCAACTTTCTTCACTGCCACATATCTGGCATATCATGGGTTTTTCTCCATCTGCATTTTTCTGTCTTCCCATTTGCTTCATTAATTTTGGATCTTCAGTATGCGAAGGAGCAGCACAGACATTATTTGGGAGAATACAATGCTTTGGAGCAGAGGAGTCTTGAAAACAACTAGTACTAACCACTCCAGACAAATTATTATATTTCTGTTTGGCCTGATTTGCTATCAGTAACTGTTGTCGCTTGACAACTTGACTTTGCCCTGGGCAAGGTGCAGTTGTGTTGCGTATCTTTCACTTCAGGACCATCTGCACCTCTTTCCTTATTCATTTTGGCAAGGTGCCTCCTCAATTGTAGTTCTTAAAAAGCTGATGTAATGAGTTAAACGCTTGGGTATATATTTCTTGGTTTATGTCTGCAAGAGGTAATATTTGTAATGGTTAATAAGTGATATGCTGTCAGTTTAACCATAGCATTTTCAAGGTCATTTTGGGTAGATATCTTTCATGTGCAGCCTCATGGCTACCTGCTCATTGGCTATCTTGCCTCCTATCTGCCACCAATTTCTCATTGCAGAAACTATTTATCCCAGTGGTTCTCAACCTGTGGGTCCCCAGATATTTTGGCCTTCAGCTCCCAGAAATCCTAACAGCTGGTAAACTGGCTGGGATTTCTGGGAGTTGTAGGCCAAAACACCTGGGGAACCACAGGTTGAGAACTACTACTTTACCCTGATTGTCTCAAGTTAGGACTGGGAGATTGAGTTGAGCTGTGCTTTTCTAGGTTGGCAGCTGTAGTTGAAAATCTGTGTTAGTAGTTTGCTCACTTATCTTGCCATATAAAGCTACTAGTTCTTTTAGGCAGAAATGGGAGCCAGTGTAATCATCTTGACTCCATTCTGCATTTCTGTATGGAAAATTGAAACACTAGCTCACTGTTATCTCAGAATTACTAGATAGTAGTAAATAGCAGTAAATAGCTAGGAGAAGCAGCAGCATAGGGAAGTGCCTTACCAGTCCTGACTAATTTTACAAGTTTGTGTTAGCAAGTGTGTGGCTTGCAATTTCCTACCCGATGAGCAGTACTTCAGAACTAGTTTGTATTGTAGTTTCATTGCTTCCAGCAATGTATTGTTGTTCTTCGCTAATAGGATATGACTGTTGATAGAAGTAGATGCTTTCCAAGTTCTCACTCTGCAATTCGTTTGCTATCTTTCAGTCTCTTCTTTTGTCTCTTTACCCCAGTGGTTCTCAACACATGGGTCTCCAGGTGTTTTGGCCTTCAACTCCCAGAAATCCTAACAGATGGTAAACTGGCTGGGATTTCTGGGGGTTGTAAGCCAAAACACCTGGGGACCCACAGGTTGAGAACCACTGCTTTACAGGAAAAAAGTGAAGTAAAAGAGGTGTTGAACAGTTCTGCCTTTTCATTATTATTTGTTGGCATTTTACTATCCTTGCTGAGCAGCGGTCCCACCATTTTCTTGGTCATCCTCTTCTCTTTGTTTCTTCCTACTTCTCACCTCATGCGCAATGGAGGACCTCCTTGCTTGTTGCACTCCAAGTGGCCAGCTACTGGTCAAAGGACATTTAATCAAATACCAAGCTTGCAAACTCTGTTTTGTCTGTTTGTTAAAAAAATGTTAAAAATGTAATACAATTGTCTGGTTGATACTGACACAATAAATAAAATAACCTCATTTTGAGTTTTAGCTCTCCTTACGCTGTTTCTGCAAGCTTGGTTGCACCCTTATTCTATTCCTTGCAAATTCATCCATCTTTCCATTCCTTGAACATACTTTTCCCCTTTTCTCTTTTCCTCAAGTTTGCCTGCTTTGGGTGTTTTCCATTTTTTTTTCTTTCTGATTCCATGCTAGAGAAGTTGCACAGTAGCCTTTCCTTGCTGTTTGTTTGTTTATTTACTTTATTTGTATACCGCTCTTCTCATCCCTCAGGCAACCCAGGGCGGTTTACAGTGGCAACGATTCGATGCCCCAAAACACCATAAAACATTTAAAACATTAACACATAATATAAAACCATAACTAGAATATTAAAACAGATCATTTGCGTCTCTTAATAAAAAATGTTCTCCCATCTCGTTGTCCAGTTGTTCCAATTCCTATGTCTTTTACCTTGCATTTTCAAACGCTTGCTCAAACAACCAAGTCTTGACTCTTTTATGAAATGTTAAGAGGGAGGCGGCCAATCTAATGTCCCCAGGAAGGGTGGTCCATAGCCAAGGGGCCACCACTGAGAAGGCCCTGTCTCTCGTCCCCACCAAACCTGTTTGTGATGCAGGCGGGATCAAGAGCAGGCCTCCCCGGATGATCTTAAAGTCTTAACAGGTTCATAAGGGAAGATGTGTTCAGACAGGTAAGTTGGGCCAGAACCGTTGTATGTCTTCAAGTTGTTTCTTGCTTACAATGACCCTAAGGTGAACCTAACAGGTTTTTCCCTTGGCATGATTTGTTCAGAGTGGGTTGCCTTCGCCACTCTCCTGAGAGAGTGTGTGAGTGTGTGACCTGAGAGTGTGTGACCTGGCCAAGGTACGCAGTGAGAGTGTGTGAGCTGAGAGTGTGTGACCTGGCCAAGGTACGCAGTGAGTCTCCATGGCCAAGTAGAGATTTGAAACCTCGTGTCCAGTGTTGTAAGCTGACGCTCAAACCACTGCATCATTTCCTTAGGCATTAATTCAATAGAGGAGGGAAAGAGCTCCCAGTGGCGTAATGGGTTAAACCCATGTGCTGGCAGGACTGCTAACCGAAATGTTGGCGGGTTGAATCGGGAATGGAATGAGCTCCTGTCTGTCAGCTCCAGCTTCTCATTCAGGGACATGAGAGAAGCCTCCCATAGGATGGTAAAACATCTGGGCGTTCCCTGGGCAACGTCCTTGCAGACAGCCAATTATCTCACAACAGGAGCAACTTGCAGTTTCTCAAGTCGCTCCAGACACAAAAAAAATAGAGGAGGCATTATAGAGGAAAAGAAAAAAAATACTTTAAAATAGTACAGCTTCTGCATTTGTGGGACTGCTACGCACAATTTCCTCTATGTACGAGTCATTAAATAAGATATGTCCTCTCTAGCAATTTTCTAGATACTCTAGGTGATTCTATCGTATGCTTCTGTCAGAAGTTACCAGAGAGTCACTGTGAAAAACCCAGCAAATTCCTAGTGAAGTTACTCTCTTAGAATTATATAAGTCCTCCCTTTATGACTCTGGTAACTTTTGGCACATTGTCTTAAAGCAGTCTTGAATGTCTCCTGAAGCCTAACTTTGTCGCGCAGCAGTCTTTGTGTTTAATCGCCCTTCCTATGGGCTTCTCTCTTGCTTTAGGTGTCGCTACCTTGCTGTCCATCTGTCCCCAGCGATCCCTGTCTTTGCAGCCATCCTCTTCTTGTTTGCAATGGCCACACTCCTCCGGACAAGTTTCAGTGACCCAGGAGTGATTCCACGAGCCCTACCAGATGAAGCAGCTTTTATTGAGATGGAGATTGGTAAGTGGGTGATAGTTTCCTCGGGACTTGCAAAAATAGTTCTAGCCAACTCAGGTTGTAGATGTGGCTTGGTTCCCTCATTGCTCTTGGATGACAGAGTAGGTGTGGGTGGATGGGCAGGCATAACTTGGCCTAAGCTCCATTAGGAACACTTGGCTTTCATTTTCAGAGGCGACCAATGGAACGGTACCTCCTGGCCAGCGGCCACCCCCACGCATTAAGAACTTCCAGATCAATAACCAGATAGTGAAGCTGAAGTACTGCTACACCTGCAAGATCTTCCGTCCACCCCGTGCCTCACACTGCAGTATCTGTGACAACTGTGTGGGTAAGTGGTTACCCAAAGCCTTGTAGATCTATCCTGTTGACTGAGAAGGAAATGTAATACGGTTGTCCCCCTTGCTTGGTAGTGGGGAAAAACCATGAGTACTGAGCAATGCAAGCACAACAGGGTCCCAAGTTACGAGTTGTTGAACTTCAGTATTCACAGTAGAGATAAGAAACTGAATCTCCGTTCTGCTTAAATGAAATTTCAGTAAGCATGGTCTCCACACCTTAGCCCTCTCTTCACCCATAGGGACTGGTGTAGTTTTTTATTAAATGAAACCGGTAGTTCTCAGCTCCTAACTTTTGTGCCTACAAAAAGGAAGTCAGATAGTCTATGTGTGTTATGATGGGAATCTCCTTCCAACACAATTTATATTGGTTCTAGTTGGGCATGGAATCTTTTTGGTTTTGTTCATGGTAATTACTGAAGAAGATGGCAGTAGTTGTGAGTTGATAGCAGCTAGTTTTAACTACAGGTGGTCTTCATTTTTAAATTGTGTTGTTTTATTTTATTTTATGTGTTGATAGTGGGTTTTTTTTAATTTTTATGTGATATTGTTTTATACTCATGTATTGTTTTATGTTACATGCTGCACTTGGAGTGCCTTGTCAACTGCTCCGAGTCCCTTTTGGGAGATTGTGGTGGTATATAAATAAATATGATGATGGTGATGGTGATGATGATGATTGTATTGTGCTTATCCTCTTTCCAAAAAAAAAAAATGCTTTCTGGATATTTGTCTGAGAATTTTCAAGCTGTGGTTGCTTGAATTTGTGGATATAATGGGACAACCATATATACATAAATCTCATCATATGATAACTTAATCTGTGACAGAGACTTCATTCATAGAATCAGTTTTTGCCATGTAGGCATCAAAGAAAAATGTTGCTCTGGACAACTTTTCCATTTTAACAATTGGTGTATGTTTCCTAGCCAGTGTAGGACAGAGACATGTGATGCATGACTGGTTTGTTAGTGGAATTTTGATACACATGTTGACTTCTTTCTACAAATTGTATTATTAGCATGGAGGGGGATTAACTAGGTATTTTTAATTAAAAAAATGTGAGTCAAGCACTGAAAGGGTTAAATGGAAGCAATTACTCAACAAAAGCTGTAGTTCTATATAAGCATGGGTGCCTGTAGCTTAGTTGGCCTCAGTGTTAGTTTGCCTCATTATATGAGAGGTATCAGTCTGAGAGAGCCCTCAGTGTGAGAAGGCCTCAGTGGGAGAAAGGCCTCAGTGTTAGTAGGCCTCAGTGTTAGTAGCCTCATTTTGAGAAGGCCTGGTGTGAGAAGCTTCGGCGAGAGAAGCTCCAGGTTGAAGGCCATAGTGTGTGAAGCTCCAATGGGAAGGCTGCTGTTTATAAAGCTACTTTTTGTAAGTTTGGTGTGAGAAGAAGTCCTGTGAGAGCCAAGCTGTTTATCTGCATGAGAAAGAAGGCCAGCGTGGAAGCAAAGAAGGAAGTGTAAAGAACTTTATTGGTGTTGTAGAAACCATTGTTATTGTAAATAGTGCAACCATTTTTTACTACAAAGAAAAGCCCCTATGGAAGAGATAACATTGGTCTGTGTTTTGGTTTGTTTTATCACTTCTGGCTACTGGTGCTGGGTCACGCTGCTGCTAATAATTTACTCTGCTGTACAATTATGAGGAGGGTCTTTTGTTAAGAAGCCCACTCGGCCAACAGAGATCACTGACATGCTTTTCTGACTCTTCTTGCAGAGCGGTTTGACCATCATTGCCCCTGGGTGGGGAACTGCGTGGGGAAGAGGAATTACCGCTACTTCTACCTCTTCATCCTTTCCTTGTCTCTTCTCACCATCTACATTTTCTCCTTTAACATTGTCTACGTTGCCCTCAGTGAGTCCATGTTGGGGTTGAGGGGATTTGTATTGTGGAAAATGGGCGGGACATTTGAGAAAGGGTCGTTTTGGTGCTGACTTTCTGAGTTTGGTCGTTACTGGTCAACTCCTTATTTTTCTCTACTTCAGAATCCTTGAACATTGGATTTTTGAACACTCTAAAAGAAACTCCGGGGACATATCCTTTTTACCACAGCTACCTCTAGTTTGCCTGTCAGAGGCAAGGAATGGGAGAGATGTTTCCGATCTCTCCTTAACTGAGGGGAGCAGGGTAAAATGTGTGATTTGTGAAGTGTATGTAGTGCAGTCCATAATCCTTAACTCAGTTGCTCACAGCCCTGGAGGTTTTGATCTGCTTTTTCACACTTTGGTCTGTGGTGGGTTTAACCGGCTTCCACACTTTCCTGGTAGCACTGAACCAGACAACAAATGAAGATGTGAGTATTTTCTGTATATACTCGAGTATAAGCTGAGTTTTTCAGTTCTTTTCTTAGGCTGAAAAAACCCCCCTCGGCTTACCTCGAGTCAAGGTTATTTATTATTTTACTCTATTATTATTATTATTGTTATTATTATTATTGTTATTATTATTATTATTACATTTACATTATTTTACTCTATTTATTATTATTACATTTATTGTTTTACTCTATTATTGTTGTTATTACATTTATTATTTCAATCTATTATTATTGTATTTATTATTTTATTCTGTTACTATTATTACATTTTCATTATTTTACTCTATTATTTTTATTACAAAGGAAAACATGACAAGCAAAACCAGTATAGCTAACATATCAGAGGGTTTTTTGTTTTTGTTTTTTGTGTCATCATGAAGATCATTACTGATAGTGGTTCAGGATTCTTTTGAAACTTTTTTATGTTGGTTGCTGTTCTTTTCAGATCAAGGGTTCCTGGACTGGGAAAAATCGTGTGCAGAATCCCTACAGTCATGGAAACATTGCAAAGAATTGCTGTGAGGTTCTTTGTGGGCCTTTGCCTCCCAGGTAATACTTGGATAGAGGATCCAACGAAGTGCATTTGAAAAATGATGGCTTGAAGATATGCAGTTTTTTTTGTGGTCTCTATCATTGTGGCTCCCCCAGTGGTGCAGCAGGTTAAACCGCTGAGCTGCTGAACTTGCTGACTGAAAGGTCGGCTGTTCGAATCCAGGAAGCAGGGTGAACTCCCTGCTTCTGCCAAATTAGCACTTTGAAAACATGCAAATGTGAGTAGATCAGTAGATCTCACCTTGGCAGGAAGGTAATGGCGCTCCAAGCAGTCATGCTGGCCACATGACCTTGGAGGTATCTACAGACTACGCTCGCTCTTTGGCTTAGAAACGGAGATGAGCACCACCTTCCACAGTCGTATACGACTAGACTTAATGTCAAGGGAAACCTTAACCTTTTTACCTCTTTCCAGTTCATATCCACTGCTTTGCAGGTCAGAGTCACAAGGGGCAAGTAGTGCCTTCAGCATAGCCACTTGTCTTGGCCAGTTCTTGATAGCACTTTGCAGTGGGCAGAGGAAGGGTTTCTTCATTTCCTCCCTGCTTCCTCCCTTATAGCGTCTTGGACAGGCGGGGCGTCTTGCCACAGGACAATGCCATACAAGACAGCAATGCTGGGCAGGGCTCCACCACACAAGCCGATAGGAACCCTGACGCCAAAGCCCAGGAAGCCAGTGGTGCCTCAGAGGGTGACAGTGCCCTCCCAGAGGAGAGTTTGGTAAGTGTGGGAGAGGCTGGCTTGCTTAGAATATATTTTCCCCCTCCTCCTGCTGAGGCTTGACACAAGCTCTGTCTTCCCCTTATGGTCAGGGGTTTGTCTGGGGGATCATTTCTGTACAGTTTATTATTTATTTACTTCATTGGTATACAGCTTTTCTCACTCTGGGGGGTGGGGGGGGGCACACACTCAAAATGGTTTCCAACATATACATACCAAAATTCAACTCCTAACACACATACGAGAAACGTAACATGAAATAACAATAACATATAACTATCAATTAAATTGTAAAACGTAAAAAAATTGCATTAAGATTTATCCATATGAGATGGGGGGGGGGGGGGAGTAGCTGGTGGTACTATGGCTACTATCCAGATTAAAACAGTTCTTCCTAAAACATAGTAACCAATAATCCTAGTTAATAGTTTGCATGGATTTTGCTTTGAAAATGTCTTGAATTCTAGTGAATGGTAAAGTATGTTATACTTATTTTGCACAACTTGCCATTTGAATATAGGTCTAGACATGTTTCATTATTTTTGAATGTATAATTTCTGATTGTATATTAGATTGTTTCTATCAATAATTAAAAGGGGAGGTTAAAAACCTATTAATATAAACATCAAAATCACATAATCTGAAAATCATAATCTAAGGCCATTCCAATATCAATTGCACATAATCCCTGTTCATTCCTTGTATTGCTTACTGCCCAAAGGCTTGGTCCCACAGCCACGTTTTCCCTTTTTTCCTGAAAGCCAATAATTGTGTTGGGGAGGGAGTTCCATAGTCAAGGAGCCACTACTGAGAAGGCTCTGCCTCTTGTTCCCACCAATCGCATACACGAAGGAGGTGGGACTGGGAGCAGGGCCTCCCCAGATGATCTTAACCTCCTTAATGGTTCATAGAGGGAGATAAGTTCAGACAGGTAAGCTGAGCTGAAACCATTTAGGACTTTATAGGCCAAAGCCAGCACTTTGAATTGTTATCAGTCACAGACTGGAAGCCAGTAGAGCTGGCATAACAGGGGGGTTGTGTGCTCTCTGTACCCCACTCCGGTGAGCAGTCTGGCTGCCCCTCCTTTAGAAACCTTTAAAAAGAGTCTCAAGACCTGGCTTTGCCGTTGCGCCTTTGGAGAGTAGTCACACAACCCTGTGCTATTGCTCCCTCAGTGTTTTGTCCCAGAAGTTTCTCCTCCCCCCACCCCTTGTATGTAGGTTTGTTTATCATCCCGTCTCTCCATGAATTCTCCCTACAATTAGTTTTACCCTCTTATCACACGGAGAGCTTTTAAATCACTTTATGTACATGCGGCCCGCTCTCTGTTATTATGTTTTGGTTTTGTGTGTGTTGTTTATATGTTTTGGTTTTTTCCCTTTATTATTATGTTATTTATTTTATTATAATTTTGTATTTTTTGTATTGTAATTAGTTGTTCGGGCTTGGCCCCATGTAAGCCGCTCTGAGTCCCCATTGGGGGAGATGGTGGCAGGGTATAGATAAAGATTATTATTATTATTATTATTATTATTATTATTATTATTATTATTATATTGGACCAACTGGAGCTTCTGAACATTCTTCAAAGGCAGCCCCACATAGAGTGCATTGCAGTAGTCTATTCCGGATGTAACAAGAGTTTGGACAACAATGGTCAAGTCTGACTTCCAAGTCAATGGCATGTAATGCCTCAAAACAATTGGAAATGAGAGGATTTCTTGAAAGGAGCATTTCTGATAGGAATCTGTTGTGATTCACGGTTTTTCTTTCCCTCGCCAGCTCTCTGTGCCAGCGTGCAATGTGCCACCTGCTGCTGCGGAACCGTCTGTTCCATCCTCGGATCATGAAAGGGCAACACATTAGCCTCTGAAATGGACACAAGCTCTGCCTTTGTTTGGCGTTCTTCTTGTGAAGTTGCAGAGTGGACAAGGTGGGAACAGCTGGCCGGACAATGGCCCTGTGGTTCCCTGTGGCTGTTCGTTTAACGGTGGTTGTGGCCTGTGTCTACATACTGGAGGGGTGCCAGCACTCCCTTTTCCTATGGATGCTGAGCACTTCTTGGGCTGCTGAAAAGACTCTTCGTTGAGAGGCAGTTGCTGCTGGTTGAGTCAGCCTCCCTGTCACCTGCATTTCCTCTCTAATATTATTAAGTGCATCTCCAGCCGAAACTCAGACATCTCAAACGCATGAAATCTGCTGGGAAGAAGATGGAGCTGAGGGCAGTCTTCTGTGCCAAGTTTCTGCCTTTGACTGCAGTATTCTGTTTGCCTGGACTTGGTGGCCAGTGGAACCAGGTTTCTAAAGATAGCTATAGCCAACCATGTATCTGTCAAACAGTGCCATGTGGTATCTGAGAGCCCCAAGTGACTGGAAATCCTAAAATAAGCGGTCAAGGGAGTTCCAGGTCCTTTGTTGCTCCAGGTTCCCTTTGTTATTAAGTATTGGAATTTCTCTCTCTTCCTTTTCACCCCTAGTCAGTCAGCCTTTCTGGGCATCTCTGAGCCCTTGCTTCCTGCCTCCCTCCATTTTTTACAGCCTTAGTTGCTTACATTGGTTATTAGTAATTGTTGGCTCTCCTTGAAAGGTGCACAAGGGTAGCAAGGTGATAAGGGAGCAACATAACTGGTTGCACTTCGCTAGAAAGGCAATCCCTGCACAGGAAATAAGAGATTGACACTAATTTTGTGACTTTTTTTGCAACTCTCTGGTCCTGCTGTGTCCTGAGCTCAGTTGACCCAGTTGTAAGCGTGCTTTTTTGGTCGTCTCGGAGTAAACAGTAACTGGTTTGTCTAGTCCATCTTGTGTCCCTCAGCCTCTTCCCTCTGACGACGTGGAGGGAGAGCTGTGAGAAATCGGGTTGATAGCTGGCCCTTGGAACCATTTCAGGCAAATTCATTCAGCGCCATATGATTTCATTGTAAATGTGCCAGTCCCACTGAAGGTGGGAAGTCTATTTTTATGCTCCCTTGTAAAAACAATAACATGCCATATGAAAAACTGATGTGTGTGGAAGAAGACTAGCTGGAACTCTGACATACTCTCTTCATGCAGGAGGGCAATAAAAACAGACACTGTGTAATTCCACCACTGATTTGAATGTCTCCCAAATGCAAAGGGCCTGGAGTAAGAACAGAGCAACCCCAGCTCCCAGGTTTCCTGACCATTGGAAACGCTGGCTAAGGCTTCTGGGAGTTGGAGGTCCAAACACCTGGAGGGTCACAGGTTGAAGAGGCCTGGAATAGAGAATTGCTGACCATCTATTCTTGTCTCCAAGGTGGAACCATTCTTCAGGAGATAATTGTACAATTGTTACTCCCCTTATGTTGGTGAGATTTGGATGTACTGAGGCTCTATTCTTGCATGCTTTGGGTTAGCTGAACTCTAAACTGTTCTGGCAAGGCTCTCACTGTGTCTCCGGATAGCAAGATGTTTTGGCTGAGCTTGTGATAATATTTTATGTAAAAGGGGAACATCGGAGAGTTTGGGTTGCTGTGAGTTTTCCAAGCTGTCTGGCCATGTTGCAGAAGCATTCTCTCCTGACGTTTCACCCACATCTTTGGCAGGCATCCTCAGAGGTTGTGAGGTTTGTTGGAACCTAGGCAAGTGAGGTTTATATATCTGTGGGTATATGTCACATTTGCACACTGGCACATTTATATGTCCAGGGTAGGGAAAAGAACTCTTGTCTGCTTGAGGCAGGTTTGAATGTTGTAATTGTTCACCTTGATTAGCATCAAGTAGCCTTGCAACTTCAAAGCCTAGCTGTTTCTTGCCTGGGGGAATCCTTTGTTGGGAAGTGTTAGCTGGCCCTGATTGATTCCTCTCTGGAAATCCCCTATTTTCTGAGTGCTGCTCTTTATTTACTGTCTTGATTTTAGAGTTTTTTTAAAAAACACTGTAACCAGAATCTGTTCATTTTCATGGTGTTACCCTGCTTTTTCAGTCTCACTCTTTATTAACTGTTCCGATTTTAGAGTTTTATATTTTAGAGTTAATAAAGAGCAGCACTCAAAAAGCAGGGAAATTACAGACAAGAATCAGTCAGGGCCAGCTAACATCTCCAAACATAGGATTCCCCCAGGCAGCAATCAGCCAGGCTTTGAAGCTGCAAAGCCATTCAGTGCTAATCAAGGTGGCCAATTGCAACATTCACACTTGCCTCAAGCAGACAAGAGTTCTTTCTCCCACCCTGGACATTCCACAGATATATAAACTTCACTTTCCTAGTTTCCAACAGACCCCCTCAACCTTTGAGAATGCCTGCCATAGATGTGGGTGAAATATCAGGAGAGAATGCTTCTAGGACATGGCCGTACAGCTTGGAAAACTCACAGCACCCTAGTGATTCCGGCCATGAAAGCCTTCGACAACACATCGGAGAGTTTCTTTGCATTGTCTTTGATAGACAGGGGAAGGACTCCTTTCTCTTTTATTTTGGTCTCTGTGGCTTCCTTCTTCCCTCTCGCTGCACAGAGAGACGGACAGGAAGCGACAGGTGCCCATCCAACAGCTTTTGTTAGGCTGAAGCAAGGTTGGAGATTGCCACAACTTTCTGACTGTTAACTGAATCTCAATAGTGTTGCCACCATCATCTTTAGGATCTATTTTACGATGTACTGTGTCAAATTGGTCTGGGGACCAGATGATGTGCGCCTCCAGTCTCAGCAATGAAGGCATTGGAGTTTGGTTTGAAGAGTGTTTTGTATGTTTGTATGTCTCTGTGTGTGCTGCCTTGGCACCAGTGTGCCTCTGCTGCTTGGTGTTGACTCTGTACCACAGCTCCACTTGGCTGTCCTCCCACCAGGTGTGGTTCACCATTTACTTTAACTGCCTCTCTTATAATAAAAGGCAGCCTGCCTACACAAAGTGAAGGTTTTCCAGGTCACTTGCCTTTGGATTCAAACTAGGGGGCCGTTGACTTTTCCTGATTCAAAATAAGAGATTGGATGATTGACATTAGATAATTCCTTAATCAGTGTTTTTCAGACATGGCTTTTGAGGTGTCTCTAGAACAGTGTTTCTCAACCTGGCGGGGGGTTCCGAGGGGGGTTTAAGGGGAGTCACCAAAGACCATCAGATGCAATTTTTTGAAACCCCCCCCCCCCCCAATAACCAAATTGAATCTAAAGTTGACCAAAAATTGATTTGTAACACTTTTGGTACTAATGTTGGAGAGTGATCCCTTTTGTGCATATTCAGCTTGTGGTCTACTAAGATTCCTAGAACTCTCTCAAGTCAGGGATCATCCATCCCATATCGGTGCATTTCATTTTTATTGTCTTACATGTAACAGCATCCATCTCTTCCTGCTTGGAAAATTGCCTTTGCTATAGCAGGAGAATTTGAGGTGGCTGAATGTTTTACTACTGTTTCTAAAGAAATGTTTTGTAGTTTGAACCACAAGAAGCTAGATCTGTGCTGGGGGGGATAAATGTGGCTTACAGAAAGATCTCTGTTGGAGAATAAATATGCCCAAACCCTTCCTTTGTTTTGCTAAACAGTACTTGCAACTCTGCTAGCTCAGGAATTGCACCTATCTGTTGGTGACCAATATGTTATCCTAGCACTTCTCATGACTTAGAAAAAGACTACACCTAGAGAGAGTAAGTGATGCAGTGGGTTAAACCCTTGTGTAGACAGGACTGAAGACTGACAGGTCAGAGGTTTGAATCCGGGGAGAGCGCAGATGAGCTCCCTCTGTCAGTTCCAGCTCCCCATGTGGGGACATGAGAAAAGCCTCCCAGAAGGATGATAAAACATCAAAACATTTGGCGTCCCCTGGGCAACGTCCTTGCAGACGGCCAGTTCTCTCACACCAGAAATGACTTGCAGTTTCTCAAGTTGCTCCTGACACAAAAAACAAGACAGTAGGGAGAAGCCAGGTTTCCATAATCTTTCCCCTGCAAAAACAGGCCACCTTTTTTCCTAGTGAGGTTATTTCCTCCTACCACAACATGATTCTGAGCACCACAATTGAAGAGAGATATTGACAAGTTGGAATGTGTCCAGAGGAGGGCGACTAAAATGATCAAGGATCTGGAGAACAATCCTTATGAGGAGCAACTTAAAGAGCTGGCCATGTTTAGCCTGAAGAAGAGAAGGCTGAGAGGAGACATGATAGTCATGTATAAATATGTGAGAGGAAGTCATAGGGAGGAGCCCTGGAGACTAGGACGCGGGACAATGGCTTCAAACTACAAGAAAGGAGATTACATCTGAACATTAGGAAGAACTTTCTGAGTTTTTATTTTTATTTATCGTGTCAGGAGCAACCAGAGATTTGTATTACATTTTTAACAAAACAAACAAACAGACAGACAAAACACAAAGTTTGCAAGCTTGGTATTCTATTAAATGTCCTTTGACCAGTATCTGGCCACTTGGAGTGCCTCTGGTGTTACTATAAGAAGGTCCTCCATCGTGCATGTAGCAGGGCTCAGGTTGCATTGCAGCAGGTGGTCAGTGGTTTGCTCGTCTCCACACTCGCATGTCATGGATTATACTTTGTAGCCCCATTTCTTAAGGTTGGCTCTGCATCTCGTGGTGCCAGAGCGCAGTCTGTTCAGCGCCTTCCAAGTTGCCCAGTTTTCTGTGTGCCTAGGAGGGAGTCTCTCATTTGGTATCAGCCATTGATTGAGGTTCTGGGTTGGAGCCTGCCGCTTTTGGACTCTCGCTTGCTGGGGAGTTCAGCAGAGCTATTCAGCAGTGGAACAGCTCTACCCTGGAGTGTGGTGGAGGCTCCTTCTTTGGAAGCTTTTAAACAGAGGCTGGATGGCCATCTGTCGGGGGTGCTTTGAATGCAATTTTCCTGCTTCGTGGCAGGAGGTTGGACTGGATGGCCCATGAGGTCTCTTCCAACTCTATGACTCTGTAACTGGAAGGGGAAGGGGAAGGAGTGAGGCAGCAGTAACACCTATGCGCTGCCCATTTCTTCCCAGGAGTGAAGGCACTCTTTTCTTTCTACCCTAACTTGACCCAGGAGGAGCTGGAATTATTGGGGCAACTGCAGTCATTCCTGACTCTTATGCATATTCAGGTTGCCGGAGTAAATTCAAACAAATATGACCTTCCTTGAAAGCTCTAGTATTTATCCAGCCCATCCTCCCAGGACTTGTAAGGCTGGAGCAATGCTCTTACTTGGTCCAAAGCGGAAGACTACGTGGCATAGCCGTACCTTCTGGTTGAGAGGCAGACATGCCTGAACAACAGCTTGCAGTGGCTAGGATGCAAGAAAGGGAGGCTTATCTCAGCAGGAGTCAGCCAGAGACAGAGAATGTAGCCCTTCCTCCAGTTTAGAGTCCTCCCGCCCATTGTCCAATGTCTCTGACCCTTCAAAGCAGCCAGAATCCCGCGGAATGTCCTCTTTCGATTCATCTTGGGCAAGCTGGGCCTCCACACGTCCTCCGTCATCTTCGGCCTCACTGCAGGCTGGAGAGAGAGAGAGAGAGAGAGAGAAAGTAGCTGTTGTAAAGAAGTCCCACTGCTGGAAAGGGCTAATGCCAGGATACAGAGCATCACGTGTCTTGTTATGGCATGAAAAAGGAGCTAGAGGACTGATGCATGTTGTGCCTTCTGGGGCAACCTAACAGAAGCAGTATCTTTTCAGGGTCTCCCCCTTGCACCATGGAAGGAAAAAATGTGCAGCTAGAAGGGTAGGCCTTGTTAGGACTTGGAAGCAGGACTTGCCACATGCTATACGCTGTGTTTTGGAAGAAGGCAATGGCAAACCACCTAAGAAAACCCTGTGGAAATTCCTGAGGTCAGCCTGAGCTGGCCAGTGGCTTGGCGGTAACCATGTGCATGCACACATCCATTGACTTGGATCAGACCACATACCTGGCCCGGCATTACTCACTCTGCTTTGTGGGAGCTCCAACAGTCTCTCTCACCATCTGATAGTTTCTTAAGGCTCCTTCAGATAGGACAAATGTGTTGTCCTATCTGAAGACAAGAAAGGAGATTCCATCTCAACATGAGGAAGAACTTCCTGACTGTGAGAGCCGTTCAGCAGTGTAACTCTCTGCCCTGGAGTGTGGTGGAGGTTCCTTCTTTGGAAGCTTTTAAACAGAGGCTGGATGGCCATCTGTCAGGGGTGCCTTGAATGCAAAATATTCCTGCTTCTTGGCAGAATGGGGTTGGACTGGATGGCCCATGAAGTCTCTTCCAACTCTAGGATTCTATGTTCAGAGGTTGCGGCATTTCTTGTTGTATTTTTTAGGTTTTCAAAAAGTATCAAGCCCTTTTGGATTATTTCCTGACAATTCCAGTACCAGCTGCAACATTTTTGTTCGCTCTTTTTTATTCCAAGACATACGAAAATAAAGTTCAGATTCCAAGCTATATTAGTCCTTTTTATTTCCTTCTTTTTTTAAAAAAGGGTTATAATGCATCAGTGAGATTGTAAAATAGCACTGTTCTAATATACCCCCCTAATGGTGCAGTGGGTTAAACTGCTGAGCTGCTGAACTTGCTGACCAAAAGGTTGGTGGTTTGAATATGGGGAGTGGTGTGAGCTCCTGTTGTTAGCCCCAGCTTCTGCTTTCCTAGCAGTTTGAAAACATGCAAATGTGAGTAGATCAATAGGTACTGCTCTGGCTGGAAGGTAACCGCACTCTATGCAGCCATGCTGGCCACATGACCTAGGAGATAAGCACCACCCCCTGTAGTTGTACATGTCTAGATTTAATGTCAGGGGGAACCTTTACCTTTTTACCTCTCTCATATTGTTACTTTCCAATTCATGTCCACTGCTTCCCAGATTAGAGTCACAAGGGACAGGTAGTGCCTTCAGACTTAATGCCAAGGGAAATATTTACATTTACTATGTCACTATTAAGGTATTTTTTTTAATCAGAGGAGTTTTGTCTTCCAAACTATAGGATCACCTCAGTAAACACACTGATTTTTAAAAAGCTTGGAAGAGCCCAAATGTGTCTATTGCAAGAAAGGACCCCCAAAATGAATGGAATGAGTGTTTACAGAGGTGACAGCAACCAGTGAAACTCAAGGAGCTTTACTGTGCAAAGTCATGTTTCTTTAAACCAACCTGGAGGAGCGCTTGGTATCTTCCCTGAGTCCCTCTGGGGAGATAGGGCAGAATATAAATAAAGTTTTAATTATTATTATTACTATTTGAAACACAACAAGATGAGTCGACAGCAACAATATCACTTTGCTGGCTGTTGTATTGGATCACACGTCGGACACTTCTCAAGTGTCTAGGACTGTGTGATGTATCGGCGAATAATGCAGCAGATCCCAGTAAGGTAGCCTTTTGCAGCTGGCAGATGGTAATTTTGTCAGCGCCGATTGTGTTTAAGTGCAGGCCAAGGTTTTTAGGCACTGCACCCAGTGTGCCGATCACCACTGGAACCACCTTGACTGGCTTGTGCCAGAGTCTTTGCAGTTAGATTATTTATTTGTTTGTTTGTTTGTTTGTTTGTTTACTTTACTTATATACCGCTGTTCTCAGCCCGAAGGCGACTCACAGCGGTTCACAACAAATAAGAACAGCAAAAATTCAGTGCTACAGTGTAAAACAGTTAACAACCTAACATATTACACAATTAATAAACAATTACTACAATAACCATTCACTGTCGTCTCATCATCAGAAACATGATCCAGATTCGTCATCCATTGTTCCATTCCTATGTTCATTAACCAATCATTGCACTAATTATTCGAACGCCTGCTCAAACAGCCAGGTCTTCACTTTTTTGCGGAATACCATTAGAGATAGTGCTAGTCTAATGTCCGTGTGAAGGGCGTTCCACAGCCGAGGGGCCACCACCGAGAAGGCCCTATCTCTCGTCCCCGCCAGCCGTTATTATTATTATTATTATTATTATTATTATTATTATTATTTATTGGTAGAAATGGCAAAGATTCAGCTTGGTATCCTGTATCCAAACCAGATACAACTGGCCCTTTGAATTTGCAAATTCGATTAATATGTTCTGTTGAGGAATCTTTTGGTCTTCCAGAATGACTCTGTGGTCTGCTTCTGCCAGAGGTTGACTACGGAGTTGTGTTGGAGAACCTAGAGATTTCTAAACTAGTGTTTTCCTCAGTCAAAAAAACAAAAGCGTTGTCAATTTGCATTTCCCCCACTGCTGCAAGGGTCCTGTACTCCTAACCCCAGTGAATGTGGAGGATGACTGTCCTACTGGGCAAAGGAGGGGAAGCATCTGGGTATTTCTGGACCGCTTACTGTCATAATCCAGCAGTAGGTCTGCTGCCGTAAGCAGCTTGACCCGGTGCTGTGGGTCAGTGATGTTCAGCTCGTTCAGGTGCGTCTCTTGCAGCTCCTTGAAGTCCTCCAGAGTCTGATAGCCGTTTAGCAGCAAGGTGGAGGTGTGTTCCTGAAATGGGGTGAAGAAGGGAAATAAGAGACAGTAATGTCCTGGTCAGAGCTGATTGTGCAAACCGATTTGTCCCAATATAGCATGAATGCGTTCATGAGCTGCTGTTTTGACTAGTCAACTTTTGCAAAAGCATATATGCCATTTCCCAAACTCAAAGGGCTAGTTTCATCCTCAAAATTCGGGTGACACAGTGAGTTAAACCCTTGTGCCAGCAGGACTGAAGACCAACAGGTTGGAGGTTCGAATCCGGGGAGAGAGCGGATGAGCTCCCTCTGTCAGCTCCAGCTGCCCATGCGGGGACATGAAAGAAGCCTCCCACAAGGATGGTCAAACATCAAAACATCCCCTGGGCAATGTCCTTGCAGATGGCCAATTCTCTCACAACAGAAGCGACTTGCAGTTTCTCAAGTTGCTCCCGATACAAAAAAAATCTCCTTGAATTTAGGAATGCTGATGGGAGAATTGCTCCCCTTGTGCCTTAGTACAGGCCTAGTAATGTGGTTGATAGGAGTTACTTTTTAATACCTGGATGTACCTGTTTGGCCACCTCTGCTTGACTGAAATGGTGGGGGCGAATAAATGTTGCTAATGGTAGGATTGGATATGTTTAATTGTAAGACTCGATATACTCGGTAGTCTTTAAAGGAGACCCAACAGGGAATGCAGCAAATACCAGACTTTTGTGATGCCTTAAAGACTAACAAATACATTATGTAACAAGCCTTGCTAATGCCACCACTTTGTTTATCACATATCTAGTATTTTTAAAGCCTAGGCAGCATTTCCAGTTTAGCTTTCAGCTTGTGTGACACAATGCGGGCTTGGTTTTTTCCCCCCACCCATGTCAGGAGCAACTTGAGAAACTGCAAGTCGCTTCTGGTGTGAGAGAATTGGCCGCCTGTAAGGATGTTGCCCAGGGAGCGCCCAGATGGGAAGCTTCTCTTATGTCCCTGCATGAGAAGCTGGAGCTGACAGACAGGAGCTCACCCCACTCCCCGGATTTGAACCGCTGACATTTCGGTCAGCAGTCCTGCCAGCAAAAGGGTTTAACCCATTGCGTCACCGGTCGGGAAACCTGGCAGCTGGGACACCAGTGTGGGTGTGGACATTGGGCACATACCTGTCCCCTACATACCTGTTGCCTACATTTGCTTTCATTGATTTGTCTGGAGCTGTACTTTTTGCATAGTGTCTCTTTCATTTGCCAAATAATGGAAATTACACATATGGAAATTTAGACTGAGCTTTAGTAGATGACCATTTAATATCATAGTATGGTTATTAGTCTTTTAAGGTGACACTAACTTCTTCCTTTCACAGAAGAGAAAATGGGAAAGAGTTTCAATACAGTTTATTTGAATTGGAAACTTAAGGAAAGTTTTCCCCCTTATCAAATTAGGGCACAAAATGGGCACAGCATTGAGCTGCTGCTGTGTGCCATCTCTGAAAATTAAACTCTCTTCAATGAAGCTGGAGGCTCTAAATGGGCAGAGAGCTCACATCTCTGAGCCACTGACTGCATTCCTCTTTATCTTTTCATTATTACAGATGTTTGACGGTCACTGTTTGTTTTCTATTACTTAACATGTTTGTTTGTTTCTTGCTGGTTTGGGACTAGAGAGAGAATTGAGCTTCGTATTAAGGGCAGCCTTGTAGAAGAGGAGAATGAGTGCCTCTCATGAAAGGCACTACAACAGCATTTCTCAACAGGGGGGTCAGGACTCATGGGGGTGTCAGAGAGGTCGCCAAAGACCATCAGAAAACAGTATTTTCTGTTGGTCATGAGGGTTCTGTGTGGGATTCAGAATGCTCTTTGATGGTAGGTGAACTATAAATCCCAGCAATTACAACTTCCAAATGTCAAGATCTATTTTCCCCAAACTCCACCAGTGTTTACATTTGGGCATATTGAGTATTTGTGCCAAGTTTAGTCCAGATCCATCATCATTTGAGTCCACAGTGCTCTCTGGATGTAGGTGAACTACAATTCCAAAACTCAAGGCCAATGTCTAACAAATCTTTCCCGTATTTTCTGTTGGTCATGGGAGTTCAGTGTGCCAAGTTTGGTTCAATTCCAACATTGGTGGAGTTCGGAATACTCTTTGATTGTAGGTGAACTATAAATCCCAGGAACTACAACTCCCAAATGACAAAATCAATCCCACCTCAACCCCACCAGGTGAACTACAACTCCAAAACTCAAGGTCAATGCCTAACAATCCTTTCCCATATTTTCTGTTGGTCATGGGAGTTCTGTGTACCAAGTTTGGTTCAATTCCAAAGTTGGTGGAGTTCAGAATGCTCTTTGATGGTAGGTGAACTATAAATCCCAGCAACTACAACTCCCAAATGTCTAGGTCTGTTCTCCCCAAACTCCACCAGTGCTTACATTTGGGCATATTGAGTATTCATGCCAAGTTCGGACCAGATCCATCATCATTTGAGTCCACAGTGCTCTCTGGATGTAGGTGAACTACAATTCCAAAACTCAAGGTCAATGCCCAACAAACCGTTCCTGTACTTTCTGTTGGTCATGGGAATTCTGTGTGCCAAGTTTGGATCAATAGGTCATCTGAGTCCCTCTACGGAGGTAGAGAAGATCGGGGTATAAAAGTTTTAAATAAATAATAAATAATTCCACCATTGTTGGAGTTCAGCTATGCTCTTTGATTGTAGGTGAACTATAAATCCCAGCAACTACAACTTCCAAATGACAAAATCAATCCCAAACCCAAACCCCACCAATATTCAGATTTGGACGTATTGGGTATTTGTGCCAAATTTGGTCCAGTGAATGAAAATATATCCTTCATATCAGGTATTTCCATTACGATTCATAACAATAGCAACATTACAGTTATAAAGGAACAATGAAAATAATGTTATGGTTGGGGGTCACCACAACATAAGGAACTGTATTAAGGGGTCACTACAATAGGAAGGTTGAGAACTACTGCACTAGAAGACTGCAGGCTGCTATATCCAGAGTCATACTGTTGGTCTATCTTGTTTAGTATTGTCTGTGGGCAGTCGCCCTCCAGATGTGGGTGCATAATGACTGTTGGCAGACTGGCTGGAGGAGATGGGGATTTGGATCCAACAACATCTAGAGGCCCATAAGTTACAAAAAGTGAACTGACCAATAGTGATGGCTGTAGAATTTGAGTCTACAGAGCTTTCCTTGCACTTGCAAGAGATTCCAAAGACTGAAATGCAGACTTTCTGCATCCCAGCCAAGTCAATCCACTCAATACCCCCCCCCTCCCCAAGTAACAGCACTAAGATGATATGTTTCTCACCTCGAGATTCATGCGCTCCAGCAGTTCGTGCAGGGTTTTGGGCTTGGGCCTTTTGCTCCTGGTGCTGCGCGGACAGCTCTTTGTCACTGGTGCCAGCTCTTCTGGGATGACGTCCACGTAGATGAACTTGAAGGAGCCCACTTTGTTGTTCAGAAGGCCAGTCCAGGTGCCCACGGGGGGCTTTGCAATGATCTGGATCGTGTCCCCTTTCTAGGCCAGATGCAAAAATATGACATTTTTATGTGGTGTCCCTTTCAGCTGTTTGTCCTCCTAATAAAACACAATTTGAATACTTGGTCCTGCAGTATTTCGTATTGATTTGAGCCTGGTCTTGAAGGAGATGGGCAAGTCAGAGGGAAAGATATTTTGTGGGATGACAAATCTCCAAACCACTCTTAGATTTCTCTGGTGGGGGAAGTAATGGAAAGACATGGGAGGCCTGGTGATTGAGGCAGCCATGATAAAAACATATTTTATCATTGTTTGAGTTGTCCTCAGTTAAATGGGGAGGAAAGCCATTTGATTTCTATTTCCTGCACCTTTAGCATGGGTCTAAATTTTGGAGGAGGAACCTGTGGTATTCCAACTATTTTGGATTTCAGTTCCCAGAAGCCTCCGTTAGCATGGTTTGGAACAGCGTATCTCAACCTGGTGGTTGGGACTCCTGGTGGGGTCGCAAGGGGGTGTTGGGGGGTTGCCAAAGGCCATGAGGAAATACAGTATTTTCTGTTGGTCATGGAGATTCTGTGTGGGAAGTTTGGACCAATTCTATCGTTGGTAGGGATCTGAATGCTCGTTGATTTTAGGCGAACTATAAATCCCAGCAACTACAGCTCCCAAATGTCAAGGTCTATTTGCCCCAAACTCTGCTAGTGCTCACATTTGAGTATATTGAGTATATTGATTGTTGGCGAACAATACATTGCAGCAACTAAAACTCCCAAAATGTCAAGATCTATTTTCCCCAAACTCCACTAGTGCTCACATTTGGGTATATTGAGTATTTCTTCCATGTTTGGGCTAGATCTATCATTGTTTGAGTCCACAGTGCTCTCTGAATGGAGGTGAACTACAACTCCAGAACTCAAGGTCAATGCCACCAACCCCTTCCAGTATTTTCTGCTGGTCATGGGAGTTCTGTGTGCCAAGTTTGGTTCAATTCCATCGTTGGTGGAGTTCAGAATGCTCTTTGATTGTAGTTGAAATATAAATCCCAGCAACTACAACTCCCAAATGTTATGGTTGGGGGTCACCACCACATGAGGAACTGTATTAAGCGGTCATGGCATTAGGAAGATTGAGAACCACCGGTCTGGAACTGCACGATGGCCAAATGTCCTTCCTCCCTGGTTGTGTGATGATATGGGCTTGTCCTTTGAATGCTACAAAAGCCATTGAATATTTGGATATCAAAAGCTCCTTTGCACAGGGGCCACAGTGAAGTCTGCTTTCTATTTTTTGTGGTTATGGATGACACTTTGGTTTTGCAATTGCCTCCCTTATGGAACTTCACAAGGAGCCCAGATACCGTCTTCATACTTCTGGTGTTTTTCCACTCTACCTTTTGACTTCCGTTGAGGAGAGCCCTCAGGGCCCTCCATCGGGAAGCAGCCCAAAGGAGTTGCGTTACTCACCTGCAGCTTCAGGGAGTCTTTGTCATATGGGCTGGGAACGAAGTCTGTATGGACTCTGGCTCTTCCGCAAAAGGGGCCGCTGTATGGTGGCTCACTGGGCTCGTCTCCCTTCTTGTTGTGGGTACTCTCCATCAGTCTGGGACTGCATGTGTCACTCTCTGCTTGGACATAATAAGTTACGTGATTGAAATCTCACTGGAGTCATCTCAAAGGTGAAATTGCTAACTCCCCAAAAGTTGATAGACTGCAACCTTAGCCAGTGATGAAAATTGCAGAGAGTCAGAGGTGCCAGTTCCTGATCTGGACTTGAGAATAGAGGATGCTGAACTCTTGATGAGTTACCAAATTGCAGACATTTAGGGGTCAGTAAAAAGTAAAAGTTCCACTTTTTACATCCTATAAGACCAGGGGGTTTCTCAAGTGCTAATGAAAATGAACCCTCTTTTTACCAATGTAGACTAATACATTAATATTACAATAATAATAATGGTAAGACTTTTACTAATAGTGAAAGGATCAAGGTAGTGACATCTCCAGCCCATCCCCTAATTGGATATCAGCCAGCAAGCCAATGACTTAAATCAAGAAATAGTTTTCTAAGATCTCGCTGGAACACCACAGCAAGCAAGAGTCCAAAAGTGGCATATCATACGAAAGCTGATTGGCACAACCTGGGGATCACAACCAGACACAGTGAAGACATCTGCCCTTGCGCTATGTTACTCTGCTGCTGAGTATACATGCCCAGTGTGGAACACATCTCACCACACTAAAACAATGGATGTGGCTCTTAATGAGACATGCCGCATTATCACAGGGTGTCTGCGCCCTGCACCACTGGAGAAATTACATTATTTAGCCGGTATTGCACCACCTGACATCCGCCGGGAAGTAGCAACCAATAGTGAAAGGGACCAAGGCAGTGACATCTCCGGCCCATCCTCTGTTTAGGTATCAGCCAGCACGCCAATGACTTAAATCAAGAAATAGTTTTTTAAGATCTACAGAGACACTCGCTGGAACACTTCAGCAAGCGAGAGCCCAAAAGCGGCAGGCTCAAACCCAGAACCTCAATCAATGGCTGATACCGAATGAGAGACTCCATCCTGGGCACACAGAAAACTGGGCAATTTGGAAGGCGCTGAACAGATTGCGTTTTGGCACCACGAGATGCAGAGCCAACCTTAAGAAATGGGGCCACAAAGTAGAGTCCATGACATGCGAGTGTGCAGAAGAGACCACCTGCTGCAATGCAACCTGAGCCCTGCCACATGCACAATGGAGGACCTTCTTATAGCAACACCAGAGGCACTCCAAGGGACCAGCTACTGGTCAAATGACATTTAATAGGATGCCAAGTTTGCAAACTTTGTGTGTGTGTTTTTTAATGCAAAACAACTGTTTGGTTCGCTCCTGACACGATAAATAAATACCAATGTAGACTACTGTTGCTCCAGTGTAATGTGGAGAAAATCCAGTGTGACCCTCCAAATGTTGAAGGACTCCTACACTCCCTAATTAGGGTTTTTATTCATATCAGGAGTGACTTGAGAAACTGCAAGTCACTTCTGGTGTGAGACAACTGGCCATTTTCAAGGACATTGCCCAGGGGACCCAGATGTTTACCATCCTGTGGGAGGCTTCAATTATGTCCCTGAATGAGAAGCTGGAGCTGACAGATGGGAGCTCATCCCGCTCCCTGGATTCAAACTGACGAACTTTCGGTCAGCAGTCCTGCTGGCACAAGGATTTAACCCATTGTGCCACCAGGCGCTCCCTTGAAGAGACATGATCAGGGTGGCTAAAGGAAAGAGAAGATATAGTCTAGCAACATCTGCACAGCCATTGGTCCCTCAAAGCCTAAGTCAATACAAACAAACCTTTGCTTTTTATATACTTGGCCTCATTTCTGTTGAGATTTGAAGTCTATCAAATGCTTCCCCAACTGTCCTTGTTGGTAGAAAGCTAACTTGTCAAGGAGAAAGCCAAACACAGATCAGTAAACAAACATGTCAGGCATTTGCAATTGGGAGTTTTGAAGCTGTGCTGCAGAGTTATCATTTCCGAACTGGAACCTAGTAAGGTTACTGGGTTGTTTTGTGTTTTCTGGGCTGTATGGTCATGTTTCAGAAGCATTCTCTCCTGACTTTTCACCTGCATCTGTGGCATGCAATCTCTGAGGATGCCTGCCATAGATGCAGGCGAAACCTCAGGCGAGAATGCTTCTGCAACATGGCCAGACAGTCTGGAAAACTCACAACAACCCAGTGATTCTGGCCATGAAAGCCTTCAACAATACTAGTAATGTAATTTTTTGGGTTGCAGCCCTTAGAATTCCCTAGCCAATATTGGTGATATTATCGAGAGGATTCTGGGACTTGCATTCCAAGATTCTCTGTGTATCCATTGCCTTATTTAACCTTCAGAGGAGAAGGACAAACGCACCAGTTGGGGTCCGTGGGCTGCCGGTTTCTGGAAAAATAGGGGCTTCGCCCTCGATAGGGCTGTTGATGGGCGAGGATGCAGCACTATTATTTTCAGGACCGCCCTGCAACAGGAAAATGTGTTAGTTGTAAGGCTCCCCTTACATTAAGCTACAAATTAAAACATTTATTTTGCTTTTATGTTTTTATTTTGTAGCTAAAAGGATGTTTATTTAGAGTAAGCGATGTAAAGAACTTTAAGCTTTGACATTGTATACAAATACTGTAAACAAATCCTGTATTTCTCTGTGACTACAGAGCCCCTGGTGGTGCAGCGGGTTAAACTGCTGAGCTGCTGAACTTGGTGACTGAAAGGCCAGTGGTTTGAATCTGGGGAGTGAAGTGAGCTCCTGCTGTTAGCCCCAGCTTCTGCCAACCTAGCAGTTTGAAAACATGCAAATGTGAGTAGATCAATAGGTACCGCTCCGGCGGGAAGGTAACGACATGCCATGCAGTCATGCTGGCCACATGACCTTGGAGGTGTCTATGGACAACACTGGCTCTTTGGCTTAGAAATGGAGACGAACACCACCACCCCCAGAGTCGGACATGACTGGACTTTCAATGGGTACTGCTCCGGCAAGAAGGTAATGGTGCTCTACGCAGTCATGCTGGCCACATGACCTTGGAGGTGTCTATGGACAACGCTGGCTCTTTGGCTTAGAAATGGAGACGAACACCACCACCCCCAGAGTCGGACACAACTGGACTTTCAATGGGTACTGCTCCGGCGGGAAGGTAATGGTGCTCCATGCAGTCATGCTGGCCACATGACCTTGGAGGTGTCTATGGACAACGCCGGCTGTTTGGCTTAGAAATGGAGATGAACACCACCACCCTACGGACTGGAATTAATGTCAGGGGAAAACCTTTACCTTACCTTAAGGAATATACTAAGTGTCATGGACAGCCATATTTGTGTTCTGAATAGGAAGGATAGCAAGTGGTCCTGGCTGCTATTAGACTCAAAAGGAAAGCTGCCAGTGTTTTCTAACCAGGGCCAAAAGGTTTTTGTTGGCTCCCTGAAGTAAAGGGTTAAATGAGGATGGAGAACGGGGACTACTCAGGGAGGAGTGACCCATAGAGGCCACCTCCCCTTACCTTCCCACCTGAGACCAGGAGCGGACACAACCACATCCCTCACCTGCTCGGACAGCGCTTTGGCGGCTGCCTTGCCCATCTTCCTGTTCATGGTACGAGAGATGGCAGCTCTCCATCTCTTGCCCAACTTCAAGGTACTGCTTTGGCTGGGGTCATCCGGGCTGGGCAGCGAATTTGCCTGGTTGCCTTCAGGGATCTGCACAAAGAAGCAATGCATTTGATCCTCTGGAAAGGAGAAGTGGGTACTCCATGTTCGAGAAACCAGTTGGGGTAAACCAAGAGTAGTGATAGTTTCAGTTCATGGTCATCTCTTCCCAGCTTGAGAATCCCTTATTGCAAAATCCCAAATACTCCAAAATCCAAAACTATTCCCAAGTAACTGGCGTGGGAATAGTAGGGGAGAGTCAATGGACAGGAAAAGGTGCATTGGACCAGGGCAGGTGTACAAGTGACCACACATGAGTAGAGCTGGATGCTTGGGTTTGCATTATTAGACCCCCACTGAATCGAAAAGATTTTACGGACCTCATCACACTAGAGCAGTGGTTCTCAACCTTTCTAATGCGGCTACCCCTTAATACAGTCCCTCATGTTGTGGTGACTCCCAAGCATAACATTATTTTTGCTGCTACTTCACAACTACAATTTTGCTACTGTTATGAATCATAATATAAATATCTGATATGCAGGATGTATTTTCATTCACTGGACCACATTTGGCACAAATACGTGATATGCCCCAATTTGAATACTGGTGGGGTTGGGAGGGGATTGATGTTGTCTTTTGGGAGTTGTAGTTGCTTGGATTTATAGTTTACCTACAATCAAAGAGCATTATGAACGCCAACAATGGAACTGAACCAATCTTGCCACACAGAACTCCCTTGACTAACAGAAAATACTGGAAGGGTTTGGTGGGCATTGACCTTGAGGTTTGGAGTTGTAGTTCACCTACATCCAGAGAGCACTATGGACTCACACAATGATGGCTCTTGCCATGAATACTCAACATGCCCAATGTGAATAAACACTGGTGGAGTTTGGGGAAAATAGACATTGGCATTTGAGGGTTGTAGTTGCTGGGATTTATAGTTCACCTACAATAAAAGATCATTCTGATCCCCACCAATGATAGAACTGGGCCAAACTTCCCACATGGAACTCCTATGACCAACAGAAAATACTACGTTTTTGGATGGTCTTTGGCGACCCCTCTGAAACCCCCTTGTGACCCCCCCAGGGGTCCTGACCCCCAGGTTGAGAACTACTGCACTCGAGAATGAATCCACTTTAAATCCGGTTGCTGCCTCCTGCAGAATTCTGGGATTTGCAGTTTAGGGAGGAGCCTTTAACAGTCTCACTAAACTACAAAGCCCAGAATTCTGCAGGAGGCAGAAACTGGATTTAAAGTGGATTCATTCTCTAGTGTGATGAAGGAAGTCTATGCCCACTCACAATTACATTGATTTAGAAATAGCCCCTAGGCTTCAGGCCCAACTCACCTCCTCTTCCAGGCTGAATTCCTTTTCACTGGGCAGAGGGGAACTGGGCTTGGACTTTGCAAAGTCCTTGAAGCTGCTGGAGCGCTGCAGAGTCAACTGATGGAAGAAAGAAGAGATCAGTGTTTGCTCCATAGCTTCAAGTGGGGACGAGGGAGAGGGCCTTCTCCATGGTGGCCCCCCGACTCTGGAATTCACTCCCCAAGGATATCAGACAAGCCCCCACATTGGCAGTCTTTAGGAGGAGCTTGAAAACGTGGCTGTTCCAGTGTGCCTTCCCTGAATAAAGGAAACAATCCCCTGCAAAATACCCTGAGAAGCACTTTAGTTACCTGTTGGGTTGTTCTCTACTTTTGGTTTAAAACCCTCCTACTAGAGACATCCTCTGTTCATGGCCAGCATTTCTTTTTAAAGTTTTAACTATTACATCTGGCCCAGCCATAGGTTTTTAAATTCTTGTGTGTTATTGCCTAACTGTGAGTTATATTAACTGTATTGTTTATTTTTGTTTATTGCTTGTTGTTTTTATTATTGCTCATGGTTTTTGATGTGTTGTTGGGCTCGGCCTCATGTAAGCCGCTCCGAGTCCCTTGGGGAGATGGTAGCGGGGTATAAATAAAGTTTTATTATTATTATTTGTTATTCGAATCAGCGAGATGGATTGAGTTCCCTCTGTCAGCTCTAGCTTCCCATGCGGGGACATGAGAGAAGCCACCCACAGGATGGTAACACATCCGGGCATCCTCTGAGCAACGTCCTTGCAGACGGACAATTCTCTCACACCAGAAGCAACTTGCAGTATGTTCCCAAGCTGCTTCTGATACGATAAACAAAACAAAAATCTATATGCACATTTTACTGTATATACTCGAGTATAAGCCAACCCGAATATAAGCCGAGGCACCTAATTTTACCACAAAAAACTGGGAAAACTTATTGACTCGAGTATAAGCCGAGGTTGAGAAATGCAGCATTTACAGGTAAATTTCAAAATAAAAATAGATATCAATAAAATTACATTAATTGAGGCATCAGGAGGTGAAACGTTTTTGAATATTTACATAAAACTGTAATTTAAGATAAGACTGTCCAGCTCTGACTAAATCATTATTCTAATCTTCAGTGTAAATGTGCTTATGTATCCCTCCAATAATAATAGAGTAAAATAATAATAATAATAATAATAATAATAATAATGAAATCCAGCATATATACCACATTTGCTGTGTCATTTGCTGTGTCATACAGCATAATAATAATAATAATAGAGTAAAATAATAGAAATGCAATAACAGTAATAACAGAGTAAAATTAAAGTAAATTAATAAATGTAATAATAATAAATATAAATAATACTAATAATAAATAGAGTAAAATAATAAATGTAATAAAATAAATGTAAAATAATGTAAATATAATAATAATAATAATAATTTGTTGTTGTTCATTCGTTCAGTCGTCTCTGACTCTTCGTGACCTCATGGACCAGCCCACGCCAGAGCTCCCTGTCGGCCGTCACCACCCCCAGCTCCTTCAAGGTCAGTCCAGTCACTTCAAGGATGCCATCCATCCATCTTGCCCTTGGTCGGCCCCTCTTCCTTTTGCCTTCCACTTTCCCCAGCATCATTCCCTTCTCTAGGCTTTGCTGTCTCCTCATGATGTGGCCAAAGGACTTCATCTTTGTCTCTAGTATCTTTCCCTCCAGTGAGCAGTCGGGCTTTATTTCCTGGAGGATGGACTGGTTGGATCTTCTCGCAGTCCAAGGCACTCTCAGCACTTTCCTCCAACACCACAGCTCGAAAGCATCGATCTTCCTTCGCTCAGCCTTCCCTAAGGTCCAGCTCTCACATCCGTAGGTTACTACAGGGAATACCATGGCTTTGACTAGGTGGATCTTCATTGCCAGTGTGATGTCTCCACTCTTTACTATTTTATGGAGACTGGACATTGCTCTCCTCCCAAGAAGTAAGCGTCTTCTGATTTCCTGGCCACAGTCTGCATCTGCAGTCATCTTTGCACCTAGAAATACAAAGTCTGTCACGGCCTCCACATTTTCTCCCTCTATTTTCCAGTTGTCAATCATTCTTGTTGCCATAATCTTGGTTTTTTTAATGTTTAGCTGCAACCCAGCTTTTGCGCTTTCTTCTTTCACCTTGATTAGAAGGCTCCTCAGCTCCTCCTCGCTTTCGGCCATCAGAGTGGTGTCATCTGCATATCTGAGGTTGTTAATGTTTCTTCCAGCCATTTTCACCCTAGCTTTGCATTCATCCAGCCCCGCACATCGCATGATGTGTTCTGCATACAAGTTAAAAAGGTTGGGTGGAGAGTATACAACCCTGCCGTACGCCTTTCCCAATCTTGAACCTGTTGTTCCATGGTCAGTTCTTACTGTTGCTACTTGGTTCTTATACAGATTCCTCAGGAGAGAGATAAGGTGATTTGGTTGGCCCATACCACCAAGAACTTGCCACAATATTAATATATTAAAATAATTCATGTAATAAAATGATACTAATAACAAAGTAAAGTAATAAATAACCTTGACTCGAGTATAAGCCGAGGGGAACCTTTTCAGCCTAAAAGGGGGCTGAAAAACTAGGCTTATACTCGAGTATATATAGTATGTAACTTGCACTCCTTTTCAACTTTTTCTTTAGTGGCCATTCTAGGTCTAAGTGTGAAGTCAGCTCAGAAGTCGGCTCATACACCTCGTCATCCTCGATCAGTGTGCATCTCACTGCCACCCCCCAATTTTTGTAAGGTTGCCCCAAATCAACGCTTTAGAAGATGCTGTGGATCTCTGTGCCAAGCAGAGGAAGTGGGTTAGCTTGCCATGTGACCAGAAACTGCATCACTCTTGAAGCCGAAACACCTGGCAGAGAGGCAAAGGCTGGGGGCAGGGAGAGGCTTCCGGGCGTCTCGGTAAAGCGACGGAAAAACCAGCGAGTGTGCAGTATGCATCTATTTCAGGTCTGGAAATGCAAATAGATGTAAACCCAGACTGCACACCCCAGTGCAAACACGGCCGAGGCAGCAGCAGCATTTGCAGGATAGTGTTGCAGGCATTTTGCATTGCTCACAGTTCACAACAAAAGCTGGCCACTTGCAAAGGCCAAGTGAGAAGCCTTCCCTCTTTCTCGAGGGAAACAGGAACCAGACCTCAGCATGCGTACGTGTACAGTCATTTCTTTGCGGTAGGCCGTGGCCACACTTCTCGGGGCTGGTTTCAGCTCAGTCTGGCTGCCACTTCTGCAACTCTGCAAAGGAGGTTGATTTAAAGGGCCCCAGGGCCAAAAGGAAGGCAGGCAATTGCAGCCACTGGGTTGTTGTAGGTTTTTGCGGGCTATATGGCCATGTTCTAGAAGCATTCTCTCCTGACGTTTTGCCTGCATCTATGGCAAGCATCCTCAGTTTGGGTCCAAGCCTTTCCGCGTGACATAACCAAGAAGTGGTTCATGGCAGCTTTGTTGTGCCACAAGAGAAAAGATGGAGGAAAATGTGTGTGTATGGAAGGGCTGATGCTATCCCAAAAGGGATTGAAATAGCACACATATAAACACACATACTTCTTGAAAAAAATTTGGACTGAATATCCCCACTAGGGATACAAATATCTGAAATAAATAAATAAATAAATAAATAGGTTTGCTGGCTCAGATCTCAGATAATCCTCAGATCATTCTAGCACCCTAAAGTAACTTTTCCAAGCTGTGCCCTTACATACATTGAAGGAGTCTCCTGGTGGCACAATTTATTTTATTTATTTACAGTATTTATATATCGCCTTTCTCACCGCTGGGGGGACTCAAAGCGGTTTAAACCCTTGTGCCAGTTGGACTGCTGATTGACAGGTCAGCAGTTCCAGTCTGGGGAGAACAGGGTGAGCTCCCTCTGTCAGCTCCAGCTCCCCAAGCGGGGACATGAGAGAAACCTCCCACAAGGATGGTAAAACATCAAAACATCCAGGTGTCCCCTGAGCAACGTCCTTGCAGACGGCCAATTCTCTCACACCAGAAGTGACTTGCAGTTTCTCAAGTAGCTCCTGACATGAAAAAAAAAAACATACATTGAATACAACCTTGCCATGTTAACAAATAGGCTTTCAGTTGGAGACATGGCTCAAGTCAAGGACCATAGAGCATCCTGTTCCATCTAAAGACTCCAAACACATATGCAAACACTGCATATGTGTTTGCACCTAACTTGGACCCTGATGATGATAATGATAATAATAATAAACTTTATTTATACCCCGTCACCATCTCTCCAAAGGTGACTCGGGGCGGCTAACATGAGGCCAAGCCCAAAGATACAACACAGCAAAATGAAATACAAAAACAACCAAAGTTACATCACAAAATAATACATAAATTAACAAAATAAGATAAACAGTGAAAAATAACATAATAAAAGTAAAAACACAATAGACGAGATAAAAAGATAAAACCTTGGATGAGATAGGAATAAAAAGTGAATTTGTGCCAGAGGAGCTCAAAGAGGCCGGGCAGTGAGGTTAGACCTTCGTTAAGGATGGGGGAAAGTGCATCATGAGGACAACACTGTAGGAGATGGATCAGACAGAAATGGGATGTATGGTCACTCCAATCCAGGCATGTAGCCGGGGGGGGGGGGGCTTGAGGGGCTTCAGCCCCCCCCCGAAATTCTCATGGTGGTTCGCGAAAAGGCCTTACTGGTGCATTATTTAAACTGTTATGTTTATTCATATCATGATCTGATCACCATACTCAATATATCCCATATGCATGGGGGTATTGGGGTAATGATACAAAAGGTTTGCTAGGGTAGACCCTCTTTCACTCAGACTCAGCCCCCCCCCCGAAACTCAGCCCCCCCAACCCCCCCCCCGAAAAAACTCACCCCCCCCCCCCGAATCGAAATCCTGGCTACAGCCTGCTCCAATCCAAAGGCACATCGGAAGAGCCAAGAGCATCTTCATCCTCCATCACACCACAGGATAGCAGGTTGGTCTTGGGAAGGTCTAAGAGCTTCCCTTTCCAACAGAGAAGAACAACCACCAGTACAGTACTGAAAACAACTCATCTGAAGCGACCGCCTCAATCTCCTTATGGCAAGGCAAGCTCTGGGTGCTGAAAAGCATTGAGTTCCTCCTGGCGCCTGTTCTCCATACATACCTTCCTCTTTTGTGGTGGGTCTTTCTCGCTGGCGTTGGATGGCTTCCGCCGCAGCATGGTGCTCCCTCCAGTGCCGGCCAAGGAATGGCCTGGACAAGAGCAAGGCTGGCTCAGAGGTGGTGGGCAGGGGCACGAAGCAGCACCCGCCGAGGCCAGGAAGTCTGCAGGAAATCACTGCATCACAAGGGGCCCCTTTTCCCAGCAATGGGGCCTCCAGAAAGAGCAGAAGCGGGGCCCAGCCCTGCGCTTACACACTTCGCACAGGAAGGAAGTGGCGGCTTAACATGCTCAGAAGGGCTTCGCTTGAAACCGGGTGAGGGCGGGGGACGGAGAGGCAGAAAAGGGACCCAAGGTGTCTTTGCAGAGATGGAGAACGAGAGTGGATACATACCAGGTTGAGCACCTTCAACGTTGCACCTTGCAATTGTACCAATTTGCCAAGGTTGTATTTCTGCAGACACTCATAACCCCACATGGCATTCATTGCCCTTGCAAAGGCATTCGACACAGTAATTGCAGTGCTCTCTGGACCATCCTCCAAAAAATTGGGTGCCATGACAAATTGGTGAACATCCTGCGGCTTCTCCATGATGACATGATGGCAACAGTCTTGGACAGCAATGGCTCCCAAAATGACCAATTTCAGGTGGAATCAAACAGTGATGTGTTATTGCCCCAACCTTATTTTCCATCTCCATCACTATGATACTTCATCTTGTTGATGAGAAGCTTCCCACCGGAGTGGAAATCATCTATTGGACAGATGGCAAGCTATTTAACCTCAGCAAACCAAGGTCACAACAACATCTGTTATAGAACTCTAATATGCTGATGATAATGTAGTCTGTGCGCATTCAGAAGAAGACCTTCAAGTCACTCTAAACACCTTTGCAGAAGCATACAAGAAGCTTGGTCTCTCATTTAACATCGAGAAAACCAAAGTGATCTTCCAGCAGTCACCAGTCAATCCCTTTGCAATTCCAGATATACAGTTTAATGGTGTAACGTTAGAAAATGTTGACCATTTCCGCTACCTTGGCAGACACCTCTTCACAAAAGTCAACATTGACACTGAAATACAACACCGCCTGAGCTCTGCGAGTGCAGCATTAATCTGAATGAAGCATAGAGTGTTTGAGGATTGGGACATCCGTAAGGAGACCAAGGTGCTTGTTTATAAATCTATCGTCCTCCCAACCCTGCTATATGCCTGTGGAATGTGGACTGTCTACAGACGTCATACTCAACTTCTGGAATGATTCCATCTGTGTTGCCTCCAAAAATTCCTTCAAATCACTTGGGAAGACAGGTGGACAAATGTCAGCATGCTGGAAGAAGCAAAGACCACCAGCATTGAAGCGATGCTCCTACAACACGAACTCAGCTGGACTGAATGCACGTTGTCCAGATAGAATCATAGAATCATAGAGTTGGAAGAAACCTCTTGGGCCATCCAGTCCAACCCCCTGACAAGAAGCAGGAAAATTGCATTTAAAGCACCCCCAACAGATGGCCATCCAGCCTCTGTTTAAAAGCCTCCAAAGAAGGAGCCTCCAACACACTCTGGGGCAAAGAGTTCCACTGGTGAACAGCTCTCACAGTCAGGAAGTTATTCCTCATGTTCAGATGGAATGCCCAACCACCGTCTCCCAAAGCAGTTACCATAATCCCAACTCAAGAATGAAAAATGTAAATTTGGTGGACAGGAAAAGAGATTTAAAGATGGACTTAAAGCCGACCTTAAAAACTGTGGCATAGACACCAAGAACTGGGAAGCCCTGGCTCTTGTGCACTCAAACTGGAGATCAGCTGTTACCAGCAGTGCTGCAGAATTTGAAGAGGAACAAATGGAGGGAGAAAGGTGCCACGAGGAATGCGCGTGAAGCCAACTTTGACCTGGACTGCCTTCCAGCTAGAAACCGATGTCCTCACTGTGGAAGAACATGCAGATCATGCTTGGGAACAGTGTGGAAGAAGGTCAGATGAGTAGAAGAGAAGAGTATCATGCACCCTGATGTCACTTTACTGCTTTTACGGCATGCCGCACAGAATCAAAGGGATCCCTCACACCGAGATTGGTGACAAAAAGGTTATGGGATTGGGAGCTATTGAGAGGTTTTATCTATTAATAGCTAGAGATGGGAGAATCACAGGGCTTGGGAAGACTGGCAATGGGATGCATACAACTGCAATGCCAGTTGTCCTGCCTTGGGCAATAAAGTCCTAAATGTTCCTAATCTGGTCTAAATCCACACAAGGTTTGTATCCCAGATCCAGTATACCAGTGGTTCTCAACGTTCCTAATGTCGCGACCCCTTAACACAGTTCATCATGTTGTGGTGACCCCCAACCATAACATTATTTTCGTAGCTACTTCATAACTACAACTCTGCTACTGTTATGAATCATAATATAAATATTTGATCTGCAGGATATATTTTCATTCACTGGACCAAATTGGGCACAAATACCCAAAACACCCACATCTGAATAATGGCGGGGTTGGGGGGGATTGATTTTGTTATTCGGGAGTTGTACTTGCTGGGATTTATAGTTAACCTGCAAGCAAAGAGCATTCCAAACCCCACAATGATGGAATTGAACCAAACTTCACACACACAACTCCAATGACCAACAGAAAATCCAGGAAGGGTTTGGTGGGCATTGAACTTGTGTTTAGGAGTTGTAGTTCACCTACATCCAAAGAGCCCTGTGGACTCAAACCATGATAGATCTGGACCTAACTTGACATGGATACTCAATAGGTCCAAATGTGAACACTGGTGGAGTTTGGGGAAAATAGACTTTGACATTTGGGAGTTGTAGTTGCTGGGATTTATAGTTCACCTACAATGAAAGCATTCTGAAGCCCACCAACAAGAGAATTGGGCCAAACTTCCCACACAGAACCCCCATACTAACAGAAAATACTGTGTTTTCTGATGGTCTTTGGTGACCCCTCTGACACCCCCTCGTGACCCCCCAGGGGTCCCGACCCCCAGGTTGAGAAGCACTGCAGTGTACAATATACTGTGCTGGTTTGAGTCCATTAAAGCCACACTCGCCTGTTTTACTCTGAACCAATTTAGGTCTGGAAAGCCCTAGAGTTCCCCTCTTCAAAGTCACCTTAACAACCTTAACGTTGTTTCAGGCATGTTTAAAACAATCTCTTGCTTTCCTGTCAATCTTACCGCCCACCTTGGATGGTTCCCTTTTCTTACCTCCTTCCCGTGGCCTGAGAAAGTGTGTGAGTGTGGGAACTTGACATGTCCTGACCTTAAAATGAACGAGAAGTGGCAGACAAGACAGACAGACACAGAGGATGGAAAGCCGCTCTTGGCTGCGAGGACCATCAATCTCCTTTTCTCTGCTGAGTGGGTTTGGACAACTTTGGGTTGGAGTTTGGAGGCAGAGAAAGATATCACCAAGCACAGTGCAGAGGAATAGAGATAATGGTCAGAAATATTAAAAATTAACTAGGTCAGTGTTTCTCAACCTGGGGGTTGGGACCCCTGGTGGGGGGTCGCAAGGGGGTGTCAGAGGGGTCGCCAAAGGCCATCAGAGAACACGGTATTTTTTGTTGGTCGTGGGATTCTGTGTGGGAAGTTTGGCCCAATTCTATAATTGGTGGGGTTCAGAATGCTCTTTGACTGTAGGTAAACTATAAATCCCAGCAACCACAACTCCCAAATGTCAAGGTCTATTTTCTCCAAACTCCACCAGGGTCCACATTTGGGCATATTGAGTATTCATGTCAAGTTTGGTCCAGCTCCATCATTGTTTGAGTCCACAATGCTCTCTGGATGTAGGTGAACTAAAAGTCCAAAACTCAAGGTCAACGCCCACCAAACCCTTCCAGTATTTTCTGTCAGTCATGGGAGTTCTGTGTGCCAATTTGGTTCAATTCCATCGTTGGTGGAGTTCAGAATACTCTTTGCTTGTAGGTTGACTATAAATCTCAGCAACTACAACTCCCAGATGACAAAACTAATCCCCCCCAACCACAGCAGTATTCAAATTTGAGTGTATCGGGTATTTGTGCCAAATTTGTTCCAGTGAATGAAAATACAACCTGCACATCAGATATTTACATTATGATTCATAACAGTAGCAAAATGACAGTGGTGAAGTATCAACAAAAATAATTATTTGGTTGGGGGTCATCACAACATGAGGGGTCGTGACATTAGGAAGGTTGAGAACCACTGAACCAGGTCTTTTTAATTACAAAAATGTGAGTGAAGCACTGAAAGAGTTAAATGGATGCAACGACTCAGCACAAGCTGTAGTTGTATATAAGCCGGTGTGCTTGTAGGTTAGTAGGCCTTAGTGTTAGTTTGCCTCAGTGTGAGAGAGGCCTCAGTGTGAGAAAGCCACAGTGGGAGAAAGACCTCAGTGTGAGGTAGGCCTTAGTGCAGGGGTCCTCAAACTTTTTAAACAGAGGGCCAGGTCACAGTCCCTCAGACTGTTGGAGGGCTGGACTATAATTTGAAAAAACATGAATGAATTCCTACGCACACTGCACATATCTTAGTTGTAGTTCAAAAACAACAACAACAACAACACACACTTAAAAATACAATAATTAAAATGAAGAACAATTTTAACAAATATAAACATTAGTATTTCAATGGGAAGTGTGGGTCTGCTTTTGGCTGATGAGATAAGATTGTTGTTGTTGTTGTTGTTGTTGTTATTGTGTGCTTTCAAGTCATTTCAGACTTAGGTTGACCCTGAGCGAAGGCCGGGTAAATGACCTTGGAGGGTGGGGCGTAACATTGCACATAACGGAATACGTGATTCCACACCACATATGTAGTTTTCTGTCACCACTTTAATACCAGGGACGTACTCTGTTTCTGTCCTTTTACAGGTGCCTTTCCTTTTGACTTAGTGAGGGGAAAAGAATTTCCTTTCTAAATCCCTTTACCACCTTGTACTGCTGCAGTTTCCCTTTTAAATTGGCTGGGGCTTTCTTGTGAGCTGTCAAACCTTTGTGCTTTATAGCACAGGCTTGAGACACTCTGGTAAGCAACGAAGTAACAAAGTTTATTTATAGCTTCTGGTTCCAATACTTCATGGTTACATTTGTGTTTTTTTACAGTCTCAAGTCTTACATTCAGTATCATTCACTTGGTTAACTTTTCTTAGGAAACTTTCACTGTTTCACATCAACGAATATGTTACTTTCTTCATATACTCTTGGCTGAACTATATTCTGACTTAGGCCACACTGGCGCCTTTTATTTTTCCTTAAACCTTGAGCTCCATTTCCCAACTGCTTCTCTCTAACCGAGGTTCCTAACTGTTCCTCTTTTTTTTTTAACTGACAAACTCTAACTGCCTCTTTCAAACTTGACTCCGCCCCTTTAGAATGTTCAGTTCTGTAACTGCCATTTGGCTCAGCGGCCTTTTCAAATCCTGGCATACTCTCATCTGCATACGACCAATCGGCTTCACATATGCAAATTAATCCTGCCTTCACTGTTGCTACCCTATTTGAGCCAATTCTTCCCTATCAACCATATTGTAACCTAGAGCTACACACCAAAAATAAAACATAGACCATAAAATTCACTACAGAGGGCCATATCTGGACCCCGGGCCTTAGTTTGAGGACCCCTGCCTTAGTATTAGTAGGCCGTAGTGTGAGTAGGCCATGTGTGAGAAGCTTCGGTGAGAGGAAGCCCCGGGTCAAAGGCCATTGTGTGTGAAGCTTCAGTGTCAAGGGTGCTGTGTGTAAAGCTACTTTATGACGCTCCTGTGTAACTTCAGTGTGAGAGGAGGCTCTGTGTGAGAGAAGTTATTTATCTGCATGAGAAAGAAGCCCAGCATGGAAGCAAAGAAGGAAGTATAAAGAACTTTATTTGTGTTATGAAACCTTGTCCATATGCTTCTTGTGGATTTCAATGGCTTCTCTGTGTAGTCTGACATGGTGGTTGTGAGAGTGGTCCAGTCTTTTTGTGTTCTCAAATAATATCCTGTGTCCAGGTTGGTTCATCAGGTGCTCTGCTATGGCTGACTTCTCAGGTTGGATTAGCCTGCAGCAGCTTTTGACAACACATCTTTTCCTCACTTTTTAGCATTCCTATCCTCTTCATCTGCTTTGTTGGGTTTCATTTTTTATTGTTTTCCGCTCAGCTGCTGCAGAGCACCAAGGTCATGCTAATGTTCCCTGAGAGAGATTGATTGTGGGCAGAAACGAGCGAGAGACGCACACATGCACTTACAATACACACTGCCCAGGGCTGTTACCTACATTATCATGCCACTACATTCAGCTTAAAATGTAACTTGTGTCAAAATCAATGTTCTGCCAATGTGAAAACAGGCCTTGAAATAGTACACAAACTCATCCATCCAGAAAATACCACCTCATTTTGGGATGCCTCCTCGCAAATCTTCTTTCATCATCCTGTGCTGGGATCTTATTGATTTTACCTATAGAATCCTAGCTTAAAGGTGTTTGTGTGTGTGTAATTTCAAGTCTATGTATGGAGGAGAGGAAGCAGGAAAGGGGGTCCATCCCTATCTACGTTTTTAAGGGAGGGGAAGGAAGGATTGTCCCAGGATGGTGTCCAATATGGGGCAGGAAGAAGCAAGCACTGTCAGTGTGTGGATACATAGGAGGGAAGCCATGGAAAGAGTTGCTGCTGGAGTTCCTGGGATCCGTTTAGATCGCCTTCCTTGGGCATGATTGTTGGGCTAGTGGGCTTACTAACAAAAGACCCTCCCCCTCAATGTATAGTAGAGTAACTTATCAGCAGCAGCATGACCCAGTCCAAATTTGGTGTTAATTCATTCAGTGGTTTTTGAGTTATGTTAACCCCACAAACAAACATTGAATTTTATTTATATAAATACACACACACACATCTTACTTGCCTAGTTTGCAACAGACCTCACACCCTCTGAAGGTGCCTGCCATAGATGTAGGCAAAATGTCAGGAGAGAATGCTTCTGGAACATGGGCATACAGCTGATAATCGTGCCATTACTGCTCAAGCAGTAAGCTTTGAGATGATTGAACAGAAGCTCTCTGAAGCTCTAGGCCAGTAGTTCTCAACCTGTGGGTCCCCAGGTGTTTTGGCCTACAATTCCCAGAAATCCCAGCCAGTTTACCAGCTGTTACGATTTCTGGGAGTTGAAGGCCAAAATATCTGGGGACCCACAGGTTGAGAACCACTGCTCTAGGTGCTCTTACTGCCTATTACAGGGAAAACCAGCTGATCCCTAATCCATCTAAAGCACAGACATCCCGAGCTCTGAGGATTACCTGGGAAGGAATCCCACGGGAGCATTGCAGCACACCCAAATACCTGGGAATCACCCCGGACCATGCTCTGACCCACAAGAAGCACTGCCTGAACATCAAGCAAAAAGTGGGTGCTAGAAACAATATCATACGAAAGCTGATTGGCACAACCTGGGGATCACAACCAGACACAGTGAAGACATCTGCCCTTGCGCTATGCTACTCTGCTGCTGAGTACGCATGCCCAGTGTGGAACACATCTCACCATGCTAAAACAGTAGATGTGGCTCTTAATGAGACATGCTGCATTATCACGCGGTGTCTGCGCCCCAAACCACTGGAGAAATTACACTGTTTAGCCGGTATTGCACCACCTGACATCTGCCGGGAAGTAGCAGCCAATAGTGAAAGGACCAAGGCAGTGACATCTCCAGCTCGTCCCTTGTTTGGGTATCAGACAGCATGTCAATGACTTAAATCAAGAAATAGTTTTCTAAGATCTACAGAGACACTCGCTGGAACACCTCAGCAAGCGAGAGTCCAAAAGTGGCAGGCTTAAACCCAGAACCTCAACCAATGGCTGATACCAAATGAGAGACTCCCCCCTGGGCACACAGGAAACTGGGCGACTTGGAAGGCGCTGAACAGACTGCGCTCTGGCACCACGAGATGCAGAGCCAACCTTCAGAAATGGGGCCACAAAGTGGAATCCACGACATGTGAGTGTGGAGAAGAGCAAACCACAGACCACCTGCTACAATGCAACCTGAGCCCTGGAGGACCTCCTTGCGGGAACACCAGAGGCACTCCAAGTGGCCAGATACTGGTCAAAGGACATTTAATTAACTACCAAGCTTGCAAACTTTGTGTTTTGTTTGTTTGCTTGTTTGTTAAAAAATGCCATACTACTGTTTGGTCTGCTCTTGACACGATAAATAAATAGCCCGGAAAACTCACAGCAACCCTAGGAAAGGGATGTCAACATGCAAGCAGAAGTGAAGGAGAAACTATCTATGGACCAGAGCCATGTAGGAAAGGAGATGACCATTGATACGGAAGACTCGTATCATGGGTTAGTCCACCCCATTTTGAACTGAGCTCCTGAAACATTGTGCCGCCAGGAACAAGGAGCGCCACTTGCATCAATAAATCCAAAGAGATGTTTCTGAAAAGGAATTAAGTACATTTTAAGATGCCATTGGGTAAACAGGGCCCAACAGCATGGTAATAGCATCTAATAGACAGGTGATTGTGCTGGTACGGTTGTACCAGGAGCTCCAACTTCATTTTCTTTCTATTTAATGTTTGCATGCATTCCAAGGTTTCAGGAGATTTGCAAAAAGGTGACTTCCCTTGGTTTGCAGTTATAGGGCTAGCCACCTGTCTATCATTGTTGTGTTTGGTTCTGCCCCTTTCTCCAGGGATCTGGGGAGGAGAGGGAGCCATTTTTAGTTCAGTCTTACAGAAGGAAACTAAGCTATAGGACGTAGACCAGCTTCACCTGCAGAAAAGCTTCATTTCTTAAGAATTTCCGGGGAAATTCCGGGGGGAAAGTTCCAAAGCTTTGGCTGGGAGCTGACAGCCTCTGAGCCTTACAGCATCCGGGGGAAAACAGCTTTACAGACCCAAAGAACTGCAGCTGGAGAATCTACAAGCCTTGACTGGTAGGTCTACTCAGCGCCCAAGAAGCAGTTTGGATCTGGTAGTAGAACCCACGTCAGCAAAGCTTAGATAGTAGACAGCCTGGAAGAGGTTAAAAAAGGGTTTTCCTTGTTAAAGAAAGAAATAGTACTCCAAGCAAGGTGCCTGTCTATTGTAGACAAGTTAAGAAGCATTTGTTTGACTCATTGAAGATCTGGGAAGTATTTGTTTAATTTGTTCAATAATAAAGGACTTTGTTAAACCTTTCAAGCCTTTTAAAGACTATTGTACAGGAAAATCCTTGAGGGCCTCTCTTTCGAGGCGCCCTGGCTTCCCGTTGGGCACAAAGTGCTCGTCCTATTCAAAACACAATACTTACAGGTCCAGCACACGACAGAACAGTGATACATAAGAAGTGGAAATAGCTGGCTGAGGTTTTACTTCATTTCAAGTCAAGAATCCTGGCTTATTGACCCATTATGTGCATGGGCTCCTGTTTCTCTTGTATCTTACTGCTCCTCAGTCCTTCAAATACCTCTGGATCGTCCTCAGACACCAGGCAGCTAGAATTTGGGAAGTGAAAGGCACTCTTTGAGCAGCAAAATGTTTTGAGCTGGATCTGGAGATATGGGTATGGTTGGATCTCAAACCCATTGGGGAATAGGTTGGTTGCAAACGATGCACAGAGGCTGGAGATGTCTTGAAATGCACCAGAAAGAAAAATATATCGGTCAGTGTAGGGGTGGAAATATCAAAGTGGTCCCTGCATAGTCCTACACCCCAGGCAAAAGGGTGGCGGTTACGGTGCCCATAGCCAAGGTGCCCAGGGAGGCTGCCAGCAGGGAGGAGCGGGAAAGCGGCTGTGTGTTTCGCTGCAGCCATTGGTATTCCTCATCCAGGTGACGCCTCTGGAGTTCGGGGCCAATATGCTTGCGGATGGACTCGTAATAACTGTTGATGTACTGAATCTGCAAAGAGACAAAAGAAAAAGGCGGTAGAGAGAACTCCTGGTGGGTCCTGCGTTTGTGCCTCTTGCCTCTTTCCCATTTCCTTCCCCCCAGTAACGCACCTGCTCTTGAGACAGGAGGTTGATGTCAATGAGATTCCGCGCATAGGGCACCAATGACACCACCTCAAATGTCAGGTAAGGCTCCCCGTGCACCGGATACTGAAACAGACAAAGTGTAGGGGAAACCAGGCTCAGTCCTATCTACCGGCAGTCAGAATAAAGTGCTTGTCTCAAGCAGCAAATTAGACCCTAAACCCATTATTAGTCCTGACTTGAATCCACTAGATTTTTCTATGTGTTGATTCACCATTTAACAATATGGACTTGCTTAGGTGGGATGCCAGCCTTTGGACAGCACTAGCTATGCTTGTTGGGCGAGTGGGCTTATTAACAAAAGACCCCCCTCATAAATGTATAGCAGAGGAACTTATCAGCAGCAGTGTGACCCAGCACCAGTATCCAAAAATTGTGAAAAGAACAAAAAACACAGAGACCAATATTATCTCTTCCTTAGGAAGTTTTTCTTTATATCAAAATAATATGGTTGCACTATTTACAAGAACAAGGTTTCCATAACCTTTTATTATTGATTTAGGATTGATTTGCACACCCTATCCCCTCCAAAATGTCTATCTCCCAGTTATCTCCTACTTTGCTCGTGCCCAGTATTATTTTTAAATTTAAATTTTACATTTGGCCCAGCCATAGGTTTTAAATGCTTGTTGTGTTACTGTATTGCTTATTTTTATTTTTGCTTATGAGTTATATTTTAACTGTTTTGTATTGTTTGTTGCTATTGCTTTATTATTGTTGTATTGTGGGCTCAGCCTCATGTAAGCCACACCGAGTCCCTTGGGAGATGGTAGCGGGGTATAAATAAAGTTATTATTATTATTATTATTATTATTATTATTATTATTACACAAATAAAGTTCTTTATACGTCCATCTTTGCTTCTGCAATGGGCTTCTTTCTCATGCAGATAAAAAGCTTTGCTCTCACAGAGGCTTTTCTCACACTAAACTTACACAGGAGCTTCACACAGTAGCCAGCCTTCACACTGGAGCTTTACACGTGAGGTCTTCAACCTGGGCTTCTCTCACCGAAGCCTTCTCACACCACGCCTCTCACACACTGAGGTTTACTTCACATTGAGGCCTCTCTCAGACTGAGGCCTCTCTCAGATTGAAGCCTCTTCATACTGAGGGCAACTAAGCTACAGGCAGACCTGCTTATATTGAACTGCTGTTCTGTCGCTCGCTGGGCCTGTGAATAATTGTCTATAAATAGGACGTGCGACTTGAGCCCAGCGGAAAGCCAGGGCCCCCCAAAGAGAAGTTCTCAGAGGTTTTCCATCACAAATGATCTTTAGATGGCTTGTGAAGTATAACAAAGTCCTTTATTAATGAACAATCAAACAGAAACTTCTCTTGTCTTCAGAAAGTTAAACAAATGATTCCAGGCTTTTATGTAACTGGTGGCTTCCTAATCTTGTCCACGAAGGACAGGCAATTGTCTTCAATCACTGATTCTTTACTTTAAAGGAAAATCCCCTTTTTAACTTCTCCCAGGCTAACTGTAATCTAATTCTTACTGATGTGGGCTCCGCTACCGGGTCGAATTGTGTCTCGAACGTCGAGTGGACCTACCAGTAAGGCAGTAGATTCTCCAGCTGGAGTTCTTTGGTCTTTAGGGCTGTTTCCCTGGAAATCTTTGGAGATCTTTGGATGCTCTTAAGACTGTTCTCCCCCGGAAAGTCTTAAGGGTTGAAGCTTTTGTACAGGAGAAGCTTGAACACGTCCTGTACAATTAGCTTTCCTTACTGAGACTAACTAAAAATGGCTCCCTTCCCTTCCCAATTGCCCTGAGCAAGGGGCGGAACCAAAACTTATCAATGATGGACAGGTGACTTGCCCTACGACTGCAACCAAAGGAAGCCACATTTCTGCAGAATCCCTGAAACCTTGGACTGCAAGCAAACATTTAATACAAAGCAAATAAAGTTGGAGCTCCTGGTACAGCCGTACCAGAACAACTGCAGCTTTTGCTGAATCATTGCATTCATTTAACCCTCACATTATTATAATTAAAAATACCTAGTTAATTTTTAATACTTCTGAAAATGCTATCATTGCATGTTTTACTGCCAGGGATGTGGAGAGGCACTTGTGAGATTTCCTGCACTGCTAAGATTCACCGGTTTGGAAAACACTAAAGATGGACCCATCAAAAATTGGAAGGAGCATTACCTTGGTCTGCGCTTCTACCACGAGTGCAACATCCTCAAGCCGGATCCCAAATTCACCGTCCAGATAATAACCAGGCTCTGGAGAAAGCAAAGGAGAAGGAGGAAGACAAAGGATGAGGCTCAAGAGCAAAGAGGCCTGGGACTCCCCTATGGCTCCAAGGGCTTGGGAAGATTATCTTTGGGGGCAGAAGGTTCCCCACCAGGAAATTGAAGACCTTTTGGTACCCAGATCCACACAAAAATGGAACCAGCATTTGCTTAACAACTATGTGCTGTCACGAGCTGGGCCTGTGAATGAGTCTGTAGACAGGATGTGGTTTCTGAATGCCCAACGGGACACCAGGGGTACCTTGGCTGAGAGGCCTTTCGGATTTCCCCACACAAAGTTCTTTTAAAGACTTAGAAAGTTCAACAAAGTTTTTATTGTTGCTTAAATCTTCAATAAATCAAACAAATACTTCAAGGCTTTGAATCAACTGGTGGCTTGCTTAAATCTTGTCCACAAGGGACAGGCAACTTTCTTCGTAAACTGTTTCCTCCTTTTACAAGGGAAATCCTTGACCCCACCCTGGGCAATCTGGCTTAAGTTCTGCTGGCATGGGCCCCTACACCCGGTCCAAATTGCTTTATGGCTGCCGTGAGTGGTCCTTACCACACAGAGTCCTTTAGTAGATTTCCAAGAGGAAAGAAGGCTTTCAGTTCCCAGTGAAGGCTGGCTGTAAAACCATGGAGCTGCATTTCTCCAGCAAAGAGCTGGCTGTAGAGTTGTGGAACTAAATTCCCCAACAAAGGCTATGCTGTAGTTCTCTGTAGAGCAAAGCTGTAAAAGACGAAGCTTTCTACAGGTGGAACTGATTCACGTCCTGTACGAAAGGCTTCTCTGTGTGAACTGAACTAGAGGTCCCCTTTTCCCCTCCTTAACCCAGAAAAAGGGGCGGAACTAAAGAACATAATGATAATTGACAGGTCATTGGCCCTATGAGTGCAAACCAAGGGAAGCCACCTTAATGCAAAATGCATGGAACTTTGGAATACATGCAAGCACTCAATAAGAAAGGAAAAGAAGTTGGAGCTCCTGGTACAGCCATACCAGCACAAACTATATCAGCTACAATTAACTTCAGTCGGCAGGACCATCAGTCTGAACGGCAGAGTTTATCATACTTCCTCACCCAGGTGCCATCCAGATGTCTGGCAGCTCTAGTCTAAAACATCTGGATGTCTTCTGATTGGGGGAGGCTGGTTTGACACTTCCTTTGCTGCTACAATTTGGGGATCTGCGGTCCAACAAAGTGTCTTTTCCAAACTCTCTTGCAGACTCAAAAGACTAATGATGGGGCTCCTCCAGACCGGGCAAATGCACGAGGAAATTGCTGGGTGCTGTAGTATCTATTGTTGTAATTCTCTGTTTTTTAAAAATAGTTTCCAGACTGTTGCCCCAGTTTTCTAGCCATCCTCAGCACCAGCTGCAGTATTTTTATTCCCACTCTGAAGAGATATTGGAACAAAAATAACTCTTCCTCCTTTCTCTCATTTGTCTTATATGTAGTTATTGTGCTAAGGAGGATCAGTATAGCATGACAACTCTAAGAAAGTATTCAAATTGCCCTTTCAAAACAAAGAACCACCCCAGAAAAACAAATTCACCATTTAAATATATATCTTTAGAGCTCTAGTGTACATCCAAGCGATCAATATAAAAGAAAGAGATGGGTGAAAACCCAAAAACAGGTAAAAGCTTTACAACAAGAATGCATGTCCATTTAGACCAGTGTTTCTCAACCTTCCTAATGCCGCAACCCCTTAATACAGTTCCTCATGTTGTGCTGACCCCAAACCATAATATTATTTTTGTTGCTACTTCATAACTATAATTTTGCTACTGTTATGAATCATCATGTAAATATCTGATGTGCAGGATGTATTTTCTTTCACTGGACCAAATTTGGCACCAATACCCAATATGCCCAAATTTGAATACTGGTGGGGTTGGAGGGAAATCGATTTTGTCATTTGGGAGTTGTACTTGTTGAGATTTATAGTTTACTTACAATCAGAGAGCTTTCTAAACTCCACCAACATTGAAACTGACCAAATTTGGCACATATACCTGACATATCGAAATTCGAATACTGGTGGGGTTGGGGGGAGGGATTGACTTTGTCATTTGGGATTTGCAGTTCACCTTCAATCAAAGAACACTCTGAACTCCACCAACAATGCAATTGAACCAAACTGGGCAGACACAACTCCCACAACCAATAGAAAATACTGGAAGGGTTTGGTAGGCATTGACCTTGAGTTTTGGACCAAATTTGGCAAAAATACCCAATACGCCCAAATTTTAATACTGGCGGGATTGATTTTGTCATTTGGGAGTTGTAGTTGCTGGGATTTATAGTTCACCTACAATCAAAGAGTATTCCGAACTCCACCAACATTGGAATTGAACCAAACTTGGCACACAGAACTCCCATGACCAACAGAAAATACTGGGAGGGTTTGGTGGGCATTGACCTTAGGTGAGTTGTAGTTCACCTACATCCAGAGATCACTGTGGACTCAAACAGTGATGGATCTGGACCAAACTTGGCACGGATACTCAATATGCCCAAATGTAAACACTGGTGGAGTTTGGGGAAAATAGACCTTGACATTTGGGAGTTGTAGTTGTTGGGATTTATAGTTCACCTACAATCAAAGAGCATTCTGAACCCCACCAACAATAGAATTGGGATAAACTTCCCACACGGAACACTCATGATCAACCGAAAATACTGTGTTTTCTGATGGTCTTTGGTGACTCCTCTGACACCCCCTTGTGACCCCCCGGGGGTCCCAACCGCAAGGTTGATAACCACTGATTTAGAACAATTTCAAAAGGCTGTGTGGTGGGACAAAGAGAATCATACTCTAGAAGAAAGGGGGAAATTAGCTGGCCGTTTCTGCCTCGGACTGAAGAGCCTAGCTTGAGAACATTAGGACCAAGAAGATCAGGTGTCACCTACCTATGGAGGTGAACATTCCCTTGTCTAAAGCCACGTTGCTGGACTGGAAGCCCACCGGCCCTGGAGAGAAAAGGTCAATTACTTATCTCAAACTATAAATGGAATGGATCTTTGTATAAAAGGACTATGATCTCAATTAATGGTGCAAATATGAGTGTAGTCTGAAGAAGAAAACACTGATCACAAAGAAAGAGATTCCACCTAAACATCAGGAAGGACTTTGCAAAGATTAGAGAGGTTTGATAGTGGGATGGGCTTCCTCGGACTGGGTTAGACACTCCTTCACTTCAGGGCAGAGAGTTCCACTGCTGAACAGCTCTCACACTTAGGAAATTCTTCCTAATGTTCAGGCGGAATCTCCTTGCCTGTAGTTTGAAGCCATTTTCTGCGTCCTAGTCTCTAGGGCAGCAGGAAACAAGCTTGCTCCCTCCTCCCTATGACTTCCTCTCACATCTTTATACATGGCCCTCAACATGTCTCTTCTCAGCCTTCTCTTCTGCAGGCAAAACATGCCCAGCTCTTTAAGCCGCTCCTCATAAGGCTTGTTCTCCAGATCCTTGATCCTTTGAATCACCCTCCTCTGGACACATTCCAGCTTGTCAACATCTCCCTTCAATTGCAATGCCTAAAATTGGACACAGTGTGATTCCAGGTGTGGTCTGACCAAGGCAGAATAGAGGGGCAGCATGACTTCCATGCATCTAAACCAGGGATCCTCAAACTTTTTAAACAAAGGGCCAGGTCACAGTCCCTCAAACTGTTGGAGGAGCGGATTATAATTTGAAAAAATATGAATGAATTCCTATGCACACTGCACATATCTTATTTGTAGTGCAAAAAACACTTAAAACAATACAATAATTAAAATGAAGAACAATTTTAACAAATATAAACTTATTAGTATTTCAATGGGTAGTGTGGGCCTGCTTTTGGGTGATGAGATAGGATTGTTGTTGTTGTTGTTGTTGTTGTTGTTGTGTGCTTTAAAGTTGTTTCAGACTTAGGTTGACCCTGAGTGAGGGCTGGGTAAATGACCTTGGAGGGCCGCATCCGGCCCCCGGGCCTTAGTTTGAGGACCCCTGATCTAGACACTAGACTCCTATTGATACAGGGTGAAATCCCATTGTCTTTTTGAGCTGCCATCTGGTGGCGCAGTGGGTTAAACCGCTGAGCTGCTGAACTTGCTGACTGAAAGGTCTCAGGTTCGAATCCGGGGAGCGGCATGAGCTCCTACTGTTAGTCCCAGCTTCTGCCAACCTAGCAGTTCAAAAACATGCAAATGTGATTAGATCAATAGGTACTGCTCTGGCAGGAAGGTAACGGCATTTCATGAAGTCATGCTGGCCACATGGCCTTGGTGGTGTCTATGGACAATGCTGGCTCTTTGGCTTAGAAATGGAGATGAGCACCAACTTCCAGAGATGGATATGACTGGACTTAATGTCAGGAGAAAACCTTTATCTTTTACAGTACTATGACGTACTGCTGTTGAATCAGGCTTAGTTCTGCATTTTAACTATTTCCACATTTTGGCAATACTCTGATACCCAACCCATCAAATATTTGGAGGTGCATGAAATTGTGTATGTCTCCATGGCAGGGGGTTGGACTAGATGGCCTTTAGGGGTACTTGATGGTGATTTTGAGCTCGACGCCACCCATGTCTCTGGTTTCGAAGGGCTGCAGAATTCATCTTCTATTGTCCCTAAGAGTTCTCATGTTGGTTGTTGAAGAGCATCATAGACACAGCCCATCATGCCACTTACATTCGTGAACAGATAGGAAATTGCCGATGCCGTGACCAGTGCCGTGACCGTAATTGAGTCCAACTTCCCAGAGGGGCCGGCGTGCCAGGACCTCCACCATTCTGCCTGAAAGGCAAAAGGCAACTTGTGCTGAACAACAACGGAGAGAGATTCACATACATATTTATTTATTGTCCCTTGTCCCATCCCTGCTAGAAACCCATTCTATGAGGGTTGAATGAAAAGTAATGCCTCCACCCTTGTTACTTGGGTTTGGATGGGAATATTTTAATAAATCAAACGCAGAAATAATCCTTAGAATGTGCTCTTTAACTACCACTATTCACTTTTCCACATAATCACGAGACAACTGGATATATTTCTGCCAACGATGAACAAGTTTTCTGAAGCTGTCACGTAAGAAGTTGACACTTTGTTTCCGCAACCAGCGTCTCACAATTCTCGCATCCTGGATACCCATCATGCACAGATCTTCCAATAGCCAAGCAAAACAATAATGCAACCCACACGTTCTTGTGAAATGCCAATTATGCTTGACATTTCCCTCTGAGTGATACGATTGTCCTGAATCAATCTGTCAACCTTTTGCTTGTGAAACTCAGTGATTGATGCCACAGGACATCCAACTCTTTGTTCGTCACGCAAGTCAGATGTTCTCACCTCAACGTCTTTAAAATTACTCACCCAACAACGCACAGTACTCACATCAACACAATCACCACAAACAGCTTGCATTCTCTGATGGATCTCCTTTGGGGTGACACCTTCTGCTGTCAAGAATTCAATTACTGCACATTGCTTAAAGTCGCATTGACTGACCGTCTGCGCAGGGTTCCATACTTGGCGCTTTAACAACACAACCGTTCAATGCTAAGGCTTCCCGCCAAAATGGAACTGTAGAGGAGAGTCTACTGAATAAGCCAGTACCTGCCGCATACCAGTACTGCCATCTGTTGAGGAGTTATGAAGGTGGAGGCATTACTTTTCATTCAACCCTCGTACCATTTTCCTCCCTTGGTTGCTATACACTAGTCATGGGCAAACTTGGGCCCTCCAGGTGTTTTGGACTTCAACTCCCACAATTCCTAACAGCCTATCGGCTGTTAAGAATTGTGGGAGTTGAAGTCCAAAACACCTGGAGGGCCCAAGTTTGCCCATGCCTGGTCTACACAGAGAAATCCTTACCTGATGTCTTGGGTGGGAAGACGAGCCTTGACAGGTCAATGTTTCCCATTAGCACCCGTGTATAAGCTTCCTAAGACGTGGAAGAAAAAAAGATCATAGAAAAGGGAAGTGTGGAAATGTTGATAGATGAGCCAAATTCATAGAACCAAAGATCTGAAGTTCTCTCAGAGTCTAGCCACCTCTATCCTGTATTTGATGCAGGGAATCCAGAGCTGGAGAATCCCAAAGACAGACAACAACATACATCCCAAGAAGAGAGCAGTTGGGTGAGAAGATATTGTCACAAAGCAGTGGATTTGGATGACTTAAGTACATGAACCAAACTATATGCAACACAGCTGGGCTGGCGAGGATGTGGTCCTCCAGATGTTGTTGAATCCTCTCTGAAATCTAGTTGCAGACCCATATAAGAAGCTCACCAGAGTGGAAATCATCTATTGGACAGATGGCAAGCTATTTAACCTCAGCAGACTGAAAGCCAAAACCAAGGACATAAAAACATCTGTTATAGAACTCCAATATGCTGATGATAATGTAGTCTATGCGCATTCAGAAGAAAACCTACAAGCCACTCTAAACACTTTCGCAGAAGCATATGAGAAGCTCTACCTCTCACTGAACATCGAGAAAACCAAAGTGCTCTTCCAGGAGTCACCAGCCAATCCCTCTGCAAGGCCAGAAATACATCTTAATGGTGTAACATTAGAAAGTGTTGATCATTTCAGCTCCCTTGGAAGCCTACTCTCCACAAAAGTCAACCCTGACACTGGAATACAACACCGCCTGAGCTCTGCGAGTGCAGCAAGATGAAGCAGAGAGTGTTTGAGGATTGGAACATCAGTAGGGAGACCAAGGGGCTTGTTTATACAGCTATTGTCCTCCCAACCCTGTTATATGCCTGCAAAACGTGGACTGTCTACAGATGTCACACTCAACTTCTGGAATGATTCCATCAGCGTTGCCTCCGAAAAATCCTGCAAATCTCTTGGGAAGACAGGCAGACAAATTTCACAGTGATGGAAGAAGCAAAGACCATCAGAACAGAAGTGATGGTCCTCTACTATCAACTCCATTGGACTAGCCACGTTGTCCAAATGCCTGACCACCATCTCCCAAAGCAGTTGCTCTACTCTGAACTGAAGAATGGGAAACAGAATGTTGGTGGGCAGGAAAAAAGATTTAAAGATGGGCTCAAAGCCAACCTTAAAAACTGTGGCATAGACACCTAGAACTGGGAAGCCCTGCCCCTTGAGCGTTCTAACTGGAGGTCAGCTGTGATCAGCAGTGCTACAGAATTAGAAGAGGCATGAATAGAGGCTAAAAGGGAGAAACATGCCAAGAGGAAGGCGTGTCAAGCCAACCATGACTGGGTCTACCTTCCACCTGGAAACTGATGTCTTCACTGCAGGAGAACATGCAGATCAAGAATAGGGCTCCACAGCCACTTACAAAGGCACCACCAAGACACCAGACTTGGAGGGCCATCATCCCCCCGCTCTGGAATTCACTCCCCAGAGATATTAGGCAAGCCCCCACGCTGGCAATCTTCAGGAGGAACCTGAAAACCTGGTTATTCCAATGTTTCTTCAATGATTGAGTGTAGGATACTCCCTGACCAAACTTTGCACGAAATGACTCCAGAAGCATTTTATTTTATGGTTCGTGCAATTAAACCCTTCCTCATCCCCGGATCCCCCTCTCCCTGATAATTTACATTGTCCTATCTCCCAGTGTTTTAAAATTTTATCTTTGAATTTGGCCCTGCCCAGTGTAATCTTTTGTGTTTCAATGTTTGATTTTATATTGCTGTGTCATTTATTATATTGGTTTTGCATTTTATGTATTTTATTTTCTGGTTTTGTTATGCTTTTGTTATGCTTTTGTGTTATATTGTGTTTATAGTACAGTGTATTTGTCCGAACGGATCTCCCTCTACATCCCACCTCGAAGTTTAAGATCTTCTGGGGAGGCCCTGCTCTCGACCCCACCAGTGGCACAAGTGAGGCTGGCGGGGACGAGGAGCAGGGCCTTCTCAGTGGTGGCCCCTCACCTGTGGAACTCACTCCCCGGGGAGATCAGATCGACGACTTCCCTTCTAGCGTTTAGGAAAAAACTAAAGACCTGGATGTGGGACCAAGCTTTTGGCCATGCTGACAACTAACTAAAGACCTGTCGATAGACAAGGACAATGGAATGGAATGGATATATGGACTCTGACATGAGATAGTTTTTATAATTTTATTAGGTATTGATGTTTTATTTTAATTGTTGAATTGTTATATTTTGTATTGTTTGTTGTGTGATTTGGGCATCTAATTGTGCCTTTCCTGTAAGCCGCCCTGAGTCCCCCCCGGGGTGAGAAGGGCGGGGTATAAGTAGATGAAATAAATAAATAAATAAATAAATAAATGGGCGCGGACTCATATAAGCCGCACCAAGTCCCCCTGGGGGAGATGGAGCAGGGTAATAATAATAATAATAATAATAATAATAATAATAATAATAATGAGAGATCATCTAAGTAAGTAAGGTCCTCCAGATGTTGCTGAATTCTCCATTAAATCTAGTTGTTAAGAGGGTAGGTGAAATAAAGAAAGGCAAAACTGCTCAAAGCAACCCAAGGACACTAAAGCAACTGGGAGGTCAGCATGCAGGACCTGCTCCAAAGTCCCCAGGTGTGCTTTCCCAGCAGATGTTGGAAGAAGCCTTACCTTCTGCAAAGCTGTGGGCTCCCCCCACTGGACAGTTCGGGTTATGTCTGTGGTTCCATCTCTGCCGGAGAAAGAGAAGCCCAAATAAAGGTGCCACCCGACATTCAGTGCCACCCGACACCTGGCAGATCCTTTAAGGACAGCAGACTTCCCTGAAGACATCGCCTACAAGGACCAGCCTCACTCTATGTCTGCTTTAGTAAGCAATGTATCTTAGAATGTGGGTTGTTATGAGTTTTTTGGGCTGTCTGGCCATGTTCCAGAGGCATTCTCTCCTGACATTTCACCCACATCTATGGCAGGCATCCTCAGATGTTGTGAGGTCTGTGGGAAACTAGGCAAGTGATGTTTATATACCGTATCTATAATTGTGATTGGACAATGATGTGATTGGACAATGTTTTTAATAGGTAATGTTCATGTTTTTACTGATTTTGCATTGATATTGTATTTTATGGTCTTGGCACCAACTGCGGGCTGAGAGGGAGGGTATATAAATATAGTAAATAAATAAATCTATATAAATAAAAATGTAATTTTCGTTTGTGGGATTAAGGTAAAGTTAAAGGTAGTCCCCTGACATTAAGTCCAGTCATGTCTGACTCTTGGGTGTGGTGCTCATCTCCATTTCTAAGCCGAAGAGCCAGCGTTGTCCGTAGACACCTCCAAGGTCATGTGGCCGGCATGACTGCATGGAGCGCTGTTTGTGGGATTAACAGAATTCAAAAACCACAGGACGAATTGGCACCAAATTTGGACACAAGACACCTAACAACCCAATGTATGTCCTTCACTCAAAATTTGATTTTGTCATTTGGTAGTTGTACTTGCTGGGATTTATAGTTCACCTACAATCAAAGAGCATTCTGAACTCCACCAACAATGGAATTGAACCAAACTTGGCACACAGTTCTCCCATGACCAACAGAAAATACTGGAAAGGTTTGGTGGGCAGTGTCCTTTGGTTTTGGAGTTGTAGTTCACCTACATCCAGAGATCACTGTGGACTCAAACAATGTTGGATCTGGACCAAACTCTACACGAATACTCAATACGCCCAAATGTGAACACTGGTGGAGTTTGAGGAAAATAGAATCTTGACATTTGGGAGTTGTAGTTGCTGGAATTTATAGTTCACCTACAATCAAAGAGCATTCTGAACCCCACCAAAAATAGAATTGGGCCAAATCTCCCACACAGAATCCCCATGTGGGCCACAGCAACGCATGGCAGGGGACGGCTAGTAAATAAATATCTGTGGATAATGTCCACGGTAGGAGAAAGAACTCTTGTCTGATTGAGGCCAGTGTGAATGTTGCAACTGGCCACCTTGATTAGCATTGAAAGGTCTTGCGGCTTGAAAGCCTGGCTGCTTCCTGCCTGGGGGAATCTTTTGAAGCTGCAAGGCCATTAAATGCTAATCAAGGTGGTCAAGCCCCTGGAGATTAATCTATAGTGTAACAACAGCCTCAAAATATGAGAAATTGATCTTTGGAATGGCTCCAGATTATGATTGAGGGTGGCATTATTTTAATAGTGAATGCAATGTATTATATGTTTTAATGTGTGTTTAATTTTAATTTTAATGTTTGACTTAAGTGTATTCTAATTGTTTGTTGTCCAAAAGGCATTGAATAGTTGCCTACATGCAAAGGTGCCTTGGGTACCCTTCGGGGTAGAGGAAGGTGGGATACAAATAGTGTAAACAAACAAGCAAACAAACAAATAAATTGCAACATTCACACTTGCCTCAAGCAGTCAAGACATTGACTGGACATAATGTTTGACTTAAGTGTATTCTAATTGTTTGCTGTCCAAAAGGCATTGAATAGTTGCCTATATGTAAAGCCACCTTGGGTACCCTTGGGGTAGAGGAAGGCGGGATACAAATAGTGTAAACAAACAAACAAACAAACAAATTGCAACATTCACACTTGCCTCAAGCAGTCAAGACATGAACTGGACATTATTCCACAGACATAAAAACCTCACTTGCCTAGTTTCCAACAGATCCCTCAACCTCTGAGGATGCCTGACATAGATGTGGGTGAAACATCAGAAGAGAGTGCTTCTGGAACATGGCCATGCAGCCCAGAAAAATCACAGCAACCCAGTGATTCCGGCCATGAAAGCCTTCAACAACACGTATCTTAGAATGCATTTGCACTATAGAATTGATGTGGTTTGACATCACTTTAACTGCCCTGGCTTAATGGTACAGAATCTGTGGAGATGTAGATTGGTGTAACACCAGCACTTCTACCACAGGGAAAGAGAGAGATAGCAGACTCTTCATACGCACAAATATTGGCCTCCAGAGTCCAACAAGTACATTTCATCCACAGTCAGCTTTCGGCTGGTTGTGTTGGATGGGCTGAAAGAAGAAAAGAAAGAAAAATTGCTTTGAGGAACTGGATTGGTAGTTGGTTCTTCTCAGCTTACATTTAATGGCTAGCAACCTCAGAAGGGGAAAAAAAGAATAAGACAAGGCAATTATAACATGATATTATAATTATAACCTCCACTCCCTTCCCAAGACTGTTGCAACCCTCATCTAATGACCAATCAAGACCAAACTTGGCACACAGAGCCCCCTTGACCCACCCTACATCCCGGTGCTGCTTGAAGGAGGACAGACGATGGATGATGGGACTTGCAGTACCTTCACTCACTTCCTGAAACCACAGTGACACTCATCCAAATACCAATAAAGACCAAAGTTGGCACAGAGAGCCCCCATGGCCAACTCAGCATTCTGGTGAGGTTTGGGGGAGAACAGACTATGGATGATGGGACTTCCACTCACTTCCCAAGATTTCTGCAACATTCATCTAATGACCAATCAAGACCAAAATTGGCACACAGAGCCCCCATCCTGGAGCAGTTTGGAGGAGGATGGACCACAGATGATGGGACTCACAGTACCTTCACTAACTTCCTGAGGCCACTGCGAGCCATATAAATAACTGATAAAGACCAACCTTGATACACAATTCCTTTCTCAAATAACCCGGGCAGCGGTGGGTCCCCAGGCTAGTAATAAATATATGGCAGTCCTTAATTAGTACAAGTTTGGACAATCTGTTTGGGAGTTGTTTCTATTTCTAGGAAAATGGGAAAAGTGTAAGAAACACACTGATTGTCAAATATTCCCAAATATCTGTCTTTATACTGAATACCTGTAATGAGCCAAAGCTGCATTCAAACCACTGGCGGAGATAGTTTCAAAACTCGGCCCTTGGCAGAAGAGTTCTTCCCTGTGAAGGAAACAGAAAGCTGTCTCTTGGTTGCTCTCTCCATTACTCTCTTCGAGGTAAGAGGCAGTAGCTTCTTCCAGTGAGATTATATTGTGGTGGAGCTGACCTTCTCACGTACTCCATGGCCAGTCACTTACCCAGTTCCCAAATCCAGGCTCAGACTGACCTTCGTAACTGGTCCACAAAATTTGCGCCAGAGATTTCGTCCACGGAGCCAGAGGGAACGGTCTTCTCCAGCCAGACCAAGTACCGGATTACTGCAACAGCATCTCGAACCTGTGAGAGAAACCAAAGCAACGAGGGCAAGATACTTCAGCTATGTATCTCTGTGCCGTTGTGTGAAAAAGATCAGATGAATATGGAAGCCCTCTCACCCCCGAAGACCTTTTTATTTCAGGGCATGGAAGCCTGTTCCTCTTCAGATCTAGCTGGATTGCATCTCCCATCAGTGCCAGCCAATGGCCAGAAATGATAGAAGTTGTAATCCAATAACATCTGGAAGGTTGCAGGCTTCCTGCTCTTTTTTGTGTTGCTGTCGCTTCTGGACCTAAACTCTCAGTCCAGAGGGGTCATTCTCCATTTGGTGGTCTTACATACGTGGGCAGCCCGCATCAGTTCCTGCTCCTTGGAGTTCTTGCTTGCCTTGGCGATCATGACAGGAGAATAATTCTCTTCAAGGCGCTTTTCCTGTGAGAAAGGAAAGGCATAGTAGTGTCCACAAGCCTTTCCCAGCCTCTTAAGGGATGCACCTGTGTGCCTCCCCTGCAACAGCCTAGCTGCGGCCCAACCTTGGCCATCAGTCACGCAACACTTGACACGGTTCCTCTCTTGTTTTGATGCTTCCTGTAAGTGGTAGTTCCCACAAACCTGGTACTGGATAAATTGTAAAGTTAGAATCACAAAATGGTAGAACTGGAAGAGAACATTTGGGAGTTGTCCAAACCTCTGTCACATAGCAAAACACTATCAAAGTTTCAATGTTGGTTGATTCACCCTTAAAAACATGGGTTGGGGTCCTCATAGGAATTGTGGACAATGGTGTAATGCTGGTGCTCATCCTGCCAGTCAGAAACAGCACAACCAGTACTGCAATCTCCCTCTGCTTTTGCCAATAGAGAGCACATAAAACCACATATAGGTTGTAATGACATCACAATGAAATATAAAATGCAGATTTGATAAATTTGGATTGAATATGTGTGGGTATGAATAGATTGTATGAAAGGTGGGGCCTAATTTGGCTGAAGACACCATTCTAAATCATTTAATACCTGCTTGCTGGACTGTAATTAAAGGTTGCAAATGAGAACTGAAATGGTTGACCTGCCATAGTAAACTGTGATAAGAACTATGTCAGTGATAAGAGAATTGTTTACATCTGTTTACATCTGTTGTCAACACTTGCTGACCAAAAACCGGATTAACTCTAAAGGAAATTACCTTTGTTTACATTAGTCAAAGACAATGCTCTTTCAAGTCAAACCCAGAACACAACGGTTCATTACCTGAAGACAGACATCTATGTCAGGAGGTGAAGACCCAAGATCATTTCAAACAAGGCAATTATTTACAACATCAGCAGAAATATTCCTATATAAGACTCTAATAATTCTCAAGTGTGACAGACAGCGGAGCTGTTCACCTGCTGCTCCATGGGAAGGGCTGATATGGTGTATGGAGATCTGCTACGGGGAAATCAGGATTCTGGACACTTGGTCCTTTTCTCAAAGGAAGAGGAAGGGGTACAATTTTGGAGTTTTGGATTTTGTGCAGGGAAGTCAGGTTCTGCTGTAGGGAAAATACAGATCTGATACTTGGCATTGTTCTTAGGGAACGGATGCATTTTGGCATTTTAGAAGCATTTTGGCATTTTGGAAGTTTTGGAACTATGCGTTGGCACATTTGCAAGGAAGCAGTCTGCCCTAAGAGATGTTCTTCTCCAGGAGACAGCAGGAGAATTGTGCTGTATGCATGAGGATAACTGCATGAATATTTGTGGTGTGAGTAAAAATTTAATTCCCCTTTGTTTGGATGTTTATTAGCCAATGTAACTGTAAGTTGTTTGTGAATCCAATGTAGTTACATAGAATCTGTATGTCCAATGTCATTCTTTGTGCAAAAGTTCTGTAATTTGATGCCCTTTCTCTTACTGGAAAATGGCAATAAAAAGAACCTGTGCTTTAAAGTTATTGGAAAAGTCATTCATAACAATGATTCATAACAATGAAAATTGCTGGAAGAAACATTAACAACCTCAGATATGCAGATGACAACACTCTGATGGCCGAAAGCGAGGAGGAGCTGAGGAGCCTTCTAATCAAGGTGAAAGAAGAAAGCGCAAAAGCCGGGTTGCAGCTAAACGTCAAAAAAACCAAGATTATGGCAACAAGAATGATTGACAACTGGGAAAGAGAGGGAGAAACCGTGGAGGCCGTGACAGACTTTGTATTTCTAGGTGCAAAGATTACTGCAGATGCAGACTGTAGCCAGGAAATCAGAAGACGCTTACTTCTTGGGAGGAGAGCAATGTCCAGTCTCGATAAAATAGTGAAGAGTAGAGACATCAGACTGGCAACAAAGATCCGCCTAGTCAAAGCCATGGTATTCCCTGTAGTAACCTACGGATGTGAGAGCTGGACCTTAGGGAAGGCTGAGCGAAGGAAGATCGATGCTTTTGACCTGTGGTGTTGGAGGAAAGTTCTGAGAGTGCCTTGGACTGCGAGAAGATCCAACCAGTCCATCCTCCAGGAAATAAAGCCCGACTGCTCACTGGAGGGAAAGATACTAGAGACAAAGTTGAAGTAGTTTGGCCACATCATGAGGAGACAGGAAAGCCTAGAGAAGACAATTATGCTGGGGAAAGTGGAAGGCAAAAGGAAGAGGGGCCGACCAAGGGCAAGATGGATGGATGGCATCCTTGAAGTGACTGGACTGACCTTGAGGGAGCTGGGGGTGGTAACGGCCGACAGGGAGCTCTGGCGTGGGATGGTCCATGAGGTCACGAAGAGTCGGAGACGACTGAACGAATGAACAACAACAATGATTCATATCAACACAGTTTCTCACTTGACTGGGAACAGGCCTTTGATAAAACTAAGCTGTTTGAATGAAGCCACACCAACATACTTTACATTACAACATGGGCAGTTTGCAGGAGTGAGAGGGTTGGGAGTGGCAAATTTCATACTCAGCCTCGGTAATCAAAGCACCTTGGTGCTCAACTTGTGAGCTCTGAACTAGTCATATTTATTTATTTACTGTATTTGTATACCGCTTTTCTCAGCCCATAGGCAACTCAAGGCGGTCAAGAAGGTAAAATTCAATGCTTACAATATCATAAATACAATTATAAGCATAACATATAATAAACAAATCAATAAAATATAAATTCATAGTGTCTCCTTGTTAAAAACATTGTCCGGTCTCATTGTTGTTGTTCCATTTTCCTATGTCAGTTACTCTGCATTTGGAAACACTTGTTCCAAAAGCCACGTCTTGACTTTTTTCCAGAATGTTTAAAGGGAGGTGGCCAATCTAATATCTATAGGGAGGGCGTTCCACAGCCAAGGGTGCCACCACCAAGAAGGCCCTGCCTCTCGTCTCCACCAAACGTACTTGTGACAAAGGCGATAACGAGAAAAGGGCCTCCACAGACGATCTTAAGGTCCTAGATGGTTCATAAAGGGAGATGCGTTCGGACATTTAAGTTGGGCCAGAACCATTTAGGGCTTTATAGGCTAAAGCCAGCACTTTAAATTGTGCTTGGTAGCAAACTGGCAGCCAATGGAGCTGGCGCATCAGAGGAGTTGTATTCTCCCTGAGCGCCACTCCTGTTAGCAATCTGGTTGCCATTCATTGGACCATTTGAAGCTTCCGGACAGTCTTCAAAGGCAACCCCATGTAGAGCGCATTGCAGTAGTCTATACGGGATGTAACCAGATATGTATTCCATATCCCTTGTCTTTCTCTGGGCAGCGGTGAACCCAGGTGGAAAGGGCCAATGCATTGGAGGTTGGGACAGTGGAAAAGAACTTAAAGAGGGGCTGGATGGGGACTTTCAGTTCTTAGAGGCATCTTGCTCATATGCCAACCTGGGCTTCCTATCTGGCTCTTCATAGCGATGACACAGCCTTGTGTCTTCCCTGTTGTCTTTCATCTCATTCCCAAATAGGTCCCGTCCTTCTCCATCTGTTATCTGTGCATCTTTTGTTGCATGGTGAAACCCAGCCATGTTTAATAGCCCAGGGAACTTGTTGTGCTTATCTCAGATGAGGCATGTGTGCATCTGAGTTGTGGCGAGTGGGGAAAATGTCTAGCTTGCCAATGCAATATATCTTGCTCTTGATCTTTTGAGTCTGCACCCTTAGCCCACTCACTACTGGAACATGCTCCCCTCTCCAGCCCTTTTCAGCTCCAGGACTGAACAAGATTCCTCCCCCTTGCTCTTGCCTCTTGTCTCTTACCGGAGGGATTTCTCTGTAGAGAGCCAAAGTGGTGTACTCGGTCCTGATCCAGACGTGAACGCCGTCCTGCTGAACATACTTCCTCAGGCTCTCACTCATAGCCTCATAGTCTTCTACCGTCACACAGAGAAGCCCTGGGCACCCAGCAACCAATGCCTGGGATGCATCCCCACTTAGCCGACTCCGATTCACAAACAGGCTGAAGGCAAATCAAAGGAGGTCAGAAAGACCCTTGCAAAATAGGGGAAAACACAATTACTGTATATACTCGAGTAGAAGCCTAGTTTTGCAGCTCCTTTTTTAGGCTGAAAAAGATCCCCTCGGCTTATACTCGAGTCAAAGTTATTTATTATTTTAGACTGTGATTAGTATTATTTTTATTACATTTATTATTTTATTCTATTATTGGTATTATTACATTTACATTATTTTACTACATTTATTTTACTCTATTTATTATTATTACATTTATTATTTTACTCTATTATTATTATTACATTTATTACTTTATTATTGTTATTATTACATGCATTATTTTACTCTATTGTTGGTATTATTACATTTACATTATTTTACTCTATTGTTATTTCATTACATTTGTTTTATTTATTATTAGTATTATTATTACATTTATAATTTTCTTTATGATTGTTGTTATTATTACATTTATTGTATTGTCGAAAGCTTTCATGGCCGGAATCACTGGGTTGTAGGTTTTTTTTTGGGTTATAAGGCCATGGTCTAGAGGCATTTTCTCCTGACGTTTCGCCTGCATCTATGGCAAGCATCCTCAGAGGTAGTGAGGTCTGTTGGAACTAGGAAAATGGGTTTATATATCTGTGGAAAGACCAGGGTGGGACAAAGGACTCTTGTCTGCTGGAGCTAGGTTTAAATGTTTCAACTGACCACCTTGATTAGTATTTGATAGCCTGGCAGTGCCTGGAGCAATCTTTTGTTGAGGGGTGATTAGATGTCCCTGATTGTTTTCCCTCTTCTGTTTTGCTGTTTTAATTTTAGAGTTTTTTAAATACTGGTAGCCAGATTTTGTTCATCTTCATGGTTTCCTCCTTTCTGTTGAAATTGTCCACATGCTTATGGATTTCAATGGCTTCTCTTTATTATTTTACTTTATTATTGTTATTATTATTACATTTATTATTTTACTCTATTATGATTATTACATTTATTGCTTTATTATTGTTATTATTACATACATTATTTCACTCTATTCTTGGTATTATTACATTTACATTGTTTTACTCTATTGTTATTTTATTACATTTATTTTATTTATTATTATTATTACATTTATTATTTTACTCTTATTGGTATTATTAGATTTACATTATTCTACTATACTTATTACATTTATTTTATTCTATTTATTATTATTATTATTATTATTACATTGTTTTACTTTATTATTGTTGTTATGATTACATTTATTATTTTACTCTATTATTATTGGAAGGATAGGTAAGCACATTCACACTGAAAAAAGTTAAAATAATGGTTTTATCAAAGTTGGTCAGTCTTATTTTAAATTACAGTTTTATGTAAACATTGGAAAACATTTAACTTACTCAATTAATGTAATTTTATTGGTATCTATTTTTATTTTGAAATTGACCAGTAGCTGCTGCATTTCCCACCCTCGGCTTATACTCGAGTCAATGAGTTTTCCCAGTTTTTTGTGGTAAAATTATGTGCCTCGGCTTATATTCGGATCGGCTTATACTCGAGTATATACGGTAGATTAAACACCCACCCATCTATGCACACTACAGGGCCCTTTCTCATCCAGTCCATCATTCCAGATTTGAAGCCCAATTCTCTCCTTGGTGGGGTTCAGAATGCTCTTTGATTGGTGAACTATACATCCCAGCAACTACAACGCCCAAATATCAAAGTTTATTTCCACAAACTCCACCAGTGTACATGTTCTGTCACGCGCTGGGCCTGTAATGAATTGCTTTTATAATAGGACGTGCAACTTGAGTCCAGTGGGAAGCCAGGTCCCCCCAAAGAGAAGTTCTCAAGGATTTCCCACCACAAATGGTCTTTAGATGGCTTGTGAAGTATAACAAAGTCCTTTATTAATGAACAATCAAACAGAAACTTCTCTTGTCTTCAATAATGTTAAACAAATGCTTCCAGGCTTTTATGCAACTGGTGGCTTCCTCAATCTTGTCCACGAGGGACAGGCAACTGTCTTCAACAGTTGGGATGTTTGAAGTTTTTACCATCCTTGTGGGAGGCTTCTCTCATGTCCCCACTTGGGGAGCTGGAGCTGACAGAGGGATCTCATCCGCGCTCTCCCCGGATTTGAACCTCTGACCTGCTGGTCTTCAGTCCTGTGAGTCGCCTTCGGGCTGAGAACAGCGGTATATAAGTAAGGTAAATAAATAAATAACTGTTTCTTTACTTTAAAGGAAAATCCCCTTTTTAACTTCTGACATTTGGGAGTTGTAGTTGCTGGGATGTATAGTTCGCCAATCAAAGAGCATTCTGAACCCCACCAAGGAGAGAATTGGGCTTCAAATCTGGAATGATGGACTGGATGAGAAAGGGCCCTGTAGTGTGCATAGATGGGTGGGTGTTTAATCCCAGGAACATGTGGATGGGGTTTTGTGTTGGGAAGGTGGGAAAGGGAATGAAGTGCCAGCACTGTTGCCAGGAGAGATGGAGTGAAGTGAGGCTCAGAAAATTTGAATCTAGAATAGAGCGATATTGGGAAAAGGTATCTCTTTCAAACTACAACCTACATAATTCCCCAACTGGAATGGCACTTCCTATACTGCCTCAGGGATTCTGAGAGTTATGGCCCAAAAATGTAAATTTCCCAAGCTGTGGCTGTTGCATGGACTTCTTTGGGACGTGGGAGGCATTTATTTCTGGCATTGCTGTCACTTTTCCTAGAGAGACCCCAAAATGACAAACTTGTGTCTCACTTGTTCTATAAATAAATGTTCTGCTCGTTTGCCGGCCACTGTGTCACGCGCAAATAGCTGCATGGATTTTCATCAAATTTGGAGAACATGTCTGCATTGAAATAGAGTCTATTTCAGTGTTTCTCAACCTTCCTTATGCTGCAAACCCTTCATGTTGTGGTGACCCTCAACCATAAAATTATTTTCGTTGCTACTTCCTAACTGTAATTTTGCTACTGTTATGATTTGCAATGCATATATCTGATATGCAGGATGTATTTTCATTCACTGGACCAAATTTGGTACATATGCCCAAATTTGAATACTGGTGGGGTTGGGAGGGGATTGATTGTGTCATTTGGGAGTTGTAGTTGCTGGGATTTATAGTTCACCTACACTCAAAGAGCATTCTGAACTCCACTGACAATGGAATTGAACCAAACTTGGCACACAGAACTTGCATGACCAACAGAAAACACTGGAAGGGTTTGGTGGGCATTGGCCTTGAGTTTTGGAGTTGTAGTTCACCTACATCCAGAGAGCACTGTGGACTCAAACAATAATAGATCTGGACCAAACTTGGCATGGATACTCAATATGCTCAAATGTGAATACTGGTGGAGTTTGGGGGAAATAGACCTTGACATTTGAGAGCTGTAGTTGCTGGGATTTATAGTTCATCTACAACCAAAGAGCATTCTGAACCCCATCAACAAGAGAATTGGGCCAAACTTCCCACACAGAACCCCCATGACCAACAGAAAATACTGTCTTTTCTGATGGTCTTTGGTGACCCCTCTGACACCCCATCGCGACCCCCCAAGGGGTCCCGACCCCCAGGTTGAGAAACACTGATCTAGAACCAAAGAGCATTCTGAACCCCACCAACAATAGAACTGGGCCAAACTTCCCACATAGACCCCCCCATGACCAACAGAAACTACTGTCTTTTCTAATGGTCCTTGGTGACCCCTCTGGCACTCCATCGTGACTCCCCCCAGGGGTCCTGACTCCCAAGTTGAGAAACACTGGTCTATTTGGATGATAGGAAACTCATTTTGGAGGCTACTAGCAAGGAACTACTGTATCATTCATACAGAGTAGAGTGGTTCATCATTTGAAAGACTTGGATGAGTTGAGTTCATAGGAAGTAAGAAACATAAACAGAATAAACAAAATTAAATTTCTCTCTGCCATTTTGTCACAACCAGACCCTTGCTTGGTGTGGTGTGGGGAGGTCAAGTACCTGATATTCGTCTTGGTGAGAAGCGTGTAAGCGTAGAAGACGGGTGTGTAAGGGATGTCATCTCCTCGGAGATTGAAGAGCCCTGTGGTGGAAAGGCAGCTGTTTCTTACCCCTTCCTTTGTGGTGCCAGGACAGCCCTTTGGTTGTTGAAAGGAAGGCAGAACACAAGCAACGAGGTTGCTATAAACATTTGGGGGAGACGGGGACAGGGAAAAGGATCCACAAGAGATCAATTTGTGCAGAACAGAAAGAGATGAAGACAATGAGATGAAAATGAGGACATCCTGCTGCATCACACTGTTGGTTCATGTTCAACTTGTTGTCCACGAAGACTCCAAGATCTTTTTCACATGGAGTGTTGTTGAGTCAGGCAGTATGTAAAAATACAGAATGGGTGACACCTGGCTAGACAACGGTCCATGTGAAAAAGATCTTGGAGTCTTCATGGACAACAAGTTGAACATGTGCCAACAATGTGATGCAGCAGCTTAAAAAGCCAATGGGATTTTGGGATGTATCAAAAGGGGTATAGTGTCTAGATCAATGATTCTCAACCTGTGGGTCTCCAGATGTTATGGCCTTTAACTCCCAACTGGCTGGAATTTCTGGGAGTTGTAGGCCAAAACACCTGGAGATCCACAGGTTGAGAACTACTGGTCTATATGGAAGGAAGTCATGGTGTCTCTCTATTCAGCTTTGGTTAGGCCTCACCTGGTATACTCTGTCCAATTCTGGGACCACAGTTCAAAAGAGATATTGACAAGCTGGAAGGTGTCCAGAAGAAGAGGGCAACTAAAGGATCAAAGGTCTGGAGACCATGAAAAATCCCTATGAGGAGTGTCTTGAAGAACTGGGTATGTTTAGCTTGCAGAAGAGAAAGTTGAGAGGAGACATGATAGTATAAATATGTGAAAGGGTATCATACATGTTTGAAACTGCCCTGTGTCCCTTCGGGGAGATAGGGTGGTCTATAAATAGATCATCATCATCATCAACAGCATCATCATCAGGAAGAGGGACCAGCAAACTTGTTTTCTGTTGTTGTGGAAACGAGGACTCAGAGCAATAGGTTCAAATGACAGGAAAGGAGATTCCACCTGAACATTAGGAAGAACTTCCTGACCATAAGAAGAGCTATTCAACAGTGGAACTCTCTGCCTCGGAGTCCAGTGGAAGCTCCTTCCTTGGAAGCTTTTAAACAGAGGCAGGATAGCCATCTGTCAGGGTTACTTTCATTGCACTTTTGCTGCATGGCAGGACTAGATAGGTTTCTTCCAACTATATTATTCTATTACGTTCAGATTTTTAAAGATATAAAGCAGGGAGGGGACACATGGAGAACTAGAGGGGCTTTTTTTGGCAGCAGACTAGTTTAAGGGTAGGGGTGTATGGTTAATGTGGTACCTATTGCTTTATCTTCTATTAGAAGGAAAATGCACGCTGTTGGGACTTTGTCACAACCAGACTCAACCAGACAACAGTGGGTTCCAGCACTGTCCCAAAGCATATGCATCTCAGGTGGCTTCCTCATTGGGCTTAGTGGCTGGCCACAGCATAGCATTTCTTGTAACCATCTTAAGCTATTTTTATACCCTGTGGCCTAGAACTATCCGCAGTCCCTGGCTGTGGTCTCAGATGAAGGGTTGTCCTACCCAAACCCTACATCACCAGCCTGTTAATGTGGATTTAGCTAACCATAAATTGCATCTTGGTTGGCGCTCATTTGCAGGAGCTGAGAATTGGTGACCCTGTGCACTACAAAGTGTGATGCAGCCAATTCTTCTCCTATTGAAAACTCCATGGTGGCAGAGATAGAAGGACAAGAGACAAGAGTGTGGGTGAGAAGGACAGAGAGATATGCATTGACACAAAGGAGAAGCTTACAAGCCGTTTCCTCAAGACCGGAGAGCAGGACCGCAGTGGGCTTCCTATTGTGATTCTCCATCTGTGTCCGGATATGAGACACCTTCTCCTGCCAGGTACTCCCTGAAGAAAAGAGAGGCAAGAAGGAAGAGATAGAGTTATAAAAGGACAGGTGAATATAATGATAGGCTGAACCCATCTATGACTGTGCGGTCAAGAACCTGATTTAGTACTCCTTCGACATGTTGACCGCTCTGAGTCACCTCTGGGCTGAGAGGGGCGGTATATAAATATAGTAAATAAATACGTAGTTACATTCAGCCCAGAATTTTGGAAGGAACTACTTTCCAATAAATTGACTTGTTACTGATTCTTTTCTCCCAATGGCTGAGTCACAGCTATATTGTGATTATAATGCAATACTGGGTAACATCAATTCTTTCGTTGTGTAATTCTGTGACTGTCTCCGCCCAATCTTATATGTTTCTGTCTCAATATAAAAATCTAAATATGTATGTTTGTTTATTTCTATGCCTACCAGCTTATGGAATTGGTGTTGTCTGGGTTTGCATTTTGTACTGGTATTTATTAGCAAAGACCATTATCCCTCAGGTAGGAAACACATCTGGCTGATTGAGGTCTCCCTGGCAACCCTCCAGTGGCTTCTTCGGGTAACAGCTGTCCATTTTCCATGACCCTTTAGTGACCACTTGGAGTAACAGATATCTCTTTCCCATGACTCTCTAGTGACCTCTTGAAGTAACACTTGGCTTTTCCCATGATCCTACAATGACCTCTTAGAGTAACACCTGGCTTTTCCCATGACCCTCCAGTGACCTCTTGGAGTAACACCTGGCTTTTCCCATGACCCTCCAGTGACCTCTTGGAGTAACACCTGGCTTTTCCCATGACCCTCCAGTGACCTCTTGGAGTAACACCTGGCTTTTCCCGTGACCCTTTAGTGACCTCTTGGAGTAAAAATGGCCCCGGCCCAAATTACCTGTCTGAACGCATCTCCCCTTATGAACCATCACGGAGATTAAGATCCTCCGGGGAGGAGCTGCTTTCCGTCCCGCCATTGTCATAGGCACGATTGGTGGGAACGAGAGACAGGGCCTTCTCGGTGATTGCTCCCTGGCTATAGAACTCCCTTCCTGGTGAGATCAGGTCGGCCCCCTCCCTCCTGTCCTTTAGAAGGATGGTAAAAACTTGGCTGTGGGACCAAGCTTTTGGGACAGAGCAATGAAGCGGCAATGGGAAAGATGACAGGGCCAATTAGATTTGATGCGGATGGCTAGGACGGTTTTAAATGGTGTTATTTAAATGGTGTATTTTAATATTTCGATAAATGTTTTTAATGTTTATGTATTGTATCCAGGCATTGAATGTTTGCTGTGTATATGCTGTGTTCCGCTCTGAGTCCCCTTCGGGGTGAGAAAGGCGGAATATAAATGTTTTAAATAAATAAATAAATAAATAATAAAAGATATCTCTTTCCCACGACCCCTTAGTGACCTCTTGGAGTAATACCTGGCTTTTCCCATGGAGCTCCAGTGACCTTCTGGAGTAACAGATATCTCTTTCCTTCTACCCTTCAATGACTTCTTGGAGTTACACCTGGCTTTTCCTGTGACCCCTTGGAGTAACACCTGGCTTTTCCCATGACCCTTCAATGACCTCTTAGAGTAACACCTGGCTTTTCCCATGACTCCCTAGAGACCTCTTGGAGTAACACCTGGCTTTTCCCATGACCCTCCAGTGACCTCTTGGAGTAAAGGATATCTCTTTCCCACGACCCCTTAGTGACCTCTTGGATTAATACCTGGTTTTTCCCATGGCGCTCCAGTGACCTTCTGGAGTAACAGATATCTCTTTCCTTCTACCCTTCAATGACTTCTTGGAGTTACACCTGGCTTTTCCCGTTACCCCCTAGTGACCTCTTGGAGTAACATCTGGCTTTTCCCGTGACCCCCCCAGTGACCTCTTGGAGTAACATCTGGCTTTTCCCGTGACCCCCCAGTGACCTTCTGGAGTAACAGATATCTCTTTCCTGCTACCCTTCAATGACCTCTTGGAGTAACAGTAGGTTTTTCCCATTACCCTCCAGTGACATTTTGGAGTAACACTTGTCTTTTCCCGTGATCCTCTAGTGACCTCTTGAAGTAACCAATACCTCTTTCCTGTGACCCTGTAGTGACCTCTTCGAGTAACACCTGATTTTCCCCATGATCCTCTAGTGACCTCTTGGAGTAACACCTATCTTTTCCCATGACCCCCTAGTGACCTTTTGGAGTAACAGATAACTCTTTCCCGTGACCCTGTAGTGACTCTTGGAGTAACACAGCAACTCCCACGATCCTCGATCATGGCCTCTAAGCCCCCCAGTATTTTAAGGTGGGCCATGAAGGGTGTGTGTGCTACATTTGGTCTAGATCCATTGCCAGTGGGTTTCTCCCGACTGCCTGGATGTAGGTGTATTAGAACCCCTATCATCCTTTAACAATCTCCCCAGATCCCACCAGCATTTTAAGTTGGTTATGATGAGTACACGTGCCAGGTTTGGTTCAGATCCATTGTCGGTGGATTCACACGGATCTTTGGATGTGGGTGTACTACAACTCCCATCATTCTCTATCATCCCTACAACCATAAAACCAGCAATTATTTAGACTAACAACAAGTAATTATATATTTTAGTCTGGAGACAATAGCTGCAACCAATAACATTTTAAAAGCAGCTTTTCCTCTTGTGATATATTCTTCTCAAGCATAATATCCTAAACTCTGGCAAACAATTCCTAATTCTGGGAGTTGGAGTCCAAAACACCTGGAGGGTCCAGGTTTGCCCATGCCTGATCTAGACCCTAGCATCTTCCACTATCTCCATGTTTGGGTCCTGTGTCAAAAAGAAGGCAGATGGCCAGCTTTATTTCTGAGTTTAAGAACATACCAATGAAGTCGTCTGGGAGCTGGTAGATGATGTTGGTGGGTGGAGGGGGCCTCTGTGACCCCCAGACAGGGTCCACTAGATTGTCATCTATGGCAACGAGGGTCCGATCTGAGCCCTCCAGGGCTTGGAGGTAGCTGTCCCAATCATCTGAGAAAAGAGCACATCAAGGGCATAGGTACACAGAATCTAACCAATCTGCCCATGAATTTAGATCTGTTTTCCTTGGACAGGAGCCATTGAAGTAGAGCAGCGTTTCTCAACCTGGGGGTCGGGACCACTGGGAAGGTTGCGAAGGGGTGTCAGAGGGGTCACCAAAGACCATCAGAAAACACAGTATTTTCTGTTGGTCATGGAGGTTCTGTGTGGAAAGCTTGGCTCAATTCTCTTACTGGTGGGGTTCAGAATGCTCTTTGATTGTTAGCGAACCATACATCCCAGCAACTACAGCTCCCAAGTGTCAAAGTCTATTTTCCCCAAACTCCACCAGTATCCATATTTGGGCATATTGAGTATCCGTGCCAAGTTTGGTCCAGATCTACCACTGTTTGAGTCCACAGTGCTCTCTGGATATGGGTGAACTACAACTCCAAAATTCAAGGTCAATGCCCAACAAACCCTTCCAGTATTTTCTGTTGGTCATGGGAATTCCGCATGCCAAGTCTGGTTCTGAAAAGGTCTTTGAGTGAAATTAGCAATAGCTAAGCAAGGGGCTTTGAGTGAAGTTAGCAGTAGCTAAAGCAGTTCCAAGACACACGGAAATTGGAAAAATTCACTACCTCTGAGGATGCTTGCCATAGATGCAGGCGAAACGTCAGGAGAAAATGCCTCTAGAACATGGCCATATAGCCCGGAAAACCTACAACAACCCAGTAGCTAAAGCCTTTAGTAAAGAAACATAAGAAATGTACCCCCTCCCTGTAGAAAAGAAGCATCATGGAGGAAAATGTTTTAAAAACAAGAGGTGACATGTAGAGGTCATACAAAGTTCGAGCTTACATAAGAAGTTGGTTTGTGGTTAAGCGCAAAGTCTGCAAGTGCAAGAAGGTACTTTCCATCAAGGGAGGGGGACTGGAAAGAGAGTACTTTCCATGACCAAAAAACCCCTTGTATTACCTGAGTATAAAGGTTTGCAAAAAGCCGCGGAGGGGCGTGGCAGTCTGTGGAAGCACTTGCAGAAGTGCTGTCTGTTCGCCTCATGCTGATCAGCTTGAATAAACGGTGTCTTACATGAACCTATTGGATTCTGTGGATTTCTATTTGATTCCATTGTTGGTGGAGTGCAGAATGCTCTTTGATTGTAGGTGAACTATAAACCCCAGCAACTACAACTCCCAAATGACAAAATCAACCCTGCTCCCAAAACCCCACCAGCATTCAAATCTGGGTGTATTGGGTATTTGTGCCAAATTTGGTCCAGTGAAATACATCCTGCATATCAGATATTTACATTACGATTCATGACAGTAGCAAAATGACAGTTATGAAGTTGCAATGAAAATAATGTTATGTTTAGGGGTCACCACAACATGAGGAACTGTATTAAGGGGTTGTGGCGTTAGGAAAGGTTGAGAACCACTGAAGTAGAGGACGACAAGAGCAGCCATCCTACTACTCCAGTATGCCAAGTGTAGTAGAGGCTGACAACAAAAGGAAAGAGACCATGGGAGTATTTCAAGGTGAGGAAAGTCTTCTATTCATCACTGCCATTCCTTTGTGACTTAAACATAGCTTGGAATTGTTGTGATTTCAGCTACCACAAGATCCAGTGGGTATTTATGGGTCACATTTCTCAGAAATCCAAGGACAGTATGACGAATGGCCATAGAAGTTGGAGGATTGTGCTCCAAAAAAGCAACTTTCCCAAATTCTGGATCTGAATATCCTCTGGTTTTTTGTCCTCATTTGATTCAGCTCTGAGGTACGTCTTACCAATGGAAAAGAGGTAAGGGTCCAGTCCAATTTTCCCCCCAGCAGGAACTTCCTTCAACATCCACTGCCCAATTGAGGAAATCCAAACTGCAAGAGAAAGAGGAAACCACCAGTGACTCCTTGCATTTCCGTTTGTGTGTGTGTGTGTGTGTCAGGAGCAACTTGGAAAACTGCAAGTCGCTTCTGGTGTGAGAGAATTGGCCGTCTGCAAGCACGTTGCCCAGGGACATTGCCCGGATGTTTTTGATGTTCTACCATCCTTGTGGGAGGAGCTGGTTTAACCCATTGGGCCCACGGGAGCTCCGTCTTGTTAAACATTGAGCATTTGGACCACCGCAGCAGGAACTTGTGTTGATGAAGGAACCACAAATCCCTGGGAAAACATATGAAACCCAGGACCAGTGGAGCAGTAGCAGACGTTGAAGTGTGAGCACTCCTCATAAGAGCATTGTTGTACATCTTCAAGCCATTTCTGAATTATGGCAACCCTAAAGCGAACCTTTCATGACAAGCTTTGTTCACGGGAGGTTTGGCCTTTGCCTTCCTCTGAGGCTGAGAGAGTGTTACTTGCCCAAAGTTACCCATGGATTATTTCTAAATTTAGAGAGAAAGGTAGCTTCAGAACTTTGGGATCAATAGCGGCCCTTTGTACCCAATTTTCTACAGGATTCAATCAGCTATTTCCCATCTCCTTGTCAGCTAGTATATAGCCTTAGGGTAAGGAAACAGAAGATGATGGCAAGCAGAAAGGCTCAGACGATAGCCAACCTGATTTCTGCAATTCCCAGTTGCAGTCCATCTGGCGCTCAGCTTGGATCCAGTAACGGCTGTCTGTGAAGAGGGCCGCCTTCTGCAAAGTGACCACCCCGGTCCCTAAAACAAGAAGGCAGGAAGATTAATTCTTATGGGAATCCATATCTAAAACCAGGGGGGTTGAAGCTATTGTGGAAACACATCTCTTCATGCAAAATTTAGATTTGTCCCCAATACTAAATTTTCCATGTTGGAAATCGCAACCTTCTATAAGCCTCCCATACTAGTTATCTGTTTATCCTATGAAAACACAACCTGGGGATCACAACCAGATACAGTGAAGACATCTGTGCTTTGCTATTCTGTTGCTGAGTAGTACACATGCCCAGTGTGGAACACATCTCACCACGCTAAAACAGTGGATGTGACTCTTAATGAGACATGCCGCGTTTTCATGGGGTGTCTGCGCCCTACACCACTGGAAAAATTACACTGTCTAGCCGGTATTGCACCATCTGACATCCGCAGGGAAGTAGCAACCAATAGTGAAAGGACCAAGCCAGTGACATCTCCGGCCCACCCCGTTTGGGTATCAGCCAGCATGCCAACGACTTAAATCAAGAAATAGTTTTCTAAGATCTATAGAGAAACTTGCTGGAACACCCCAGCAAGCAAGAGTCCAAAAGTGGCAGGCTAAAATCCATGCCCGATACTAAATGAGAGACTCTCTCCTGGGCACACAGAAGACTGGGTGACTTGGAAGGCACTGAACAGACTGCGCTCTGGCACCACGAGATGCAGAGCCAACCTTAAGAAATGGGGCCACAAAGTGGAGTCCACGACATGCACGTGTGGAGAAGAGCAAACCACTGACCACCTATTACAATGCAGCCTGAACCCTGCCACGTGCACAATGGAGGACCTTTTTATAGCAACACCAGAGTGGCAAGCTACTGGTCAAAGAACATTTAATAAAATGCCAAGTTTGCAAATTTTTTAAAAATACAATACACTGTTTGGTTCACTCCTGACATGATAAATAAATAGTTATCTGTGGTGTATATGATTCAGATTGCTTACTATATTATATATGTGTGTATTGGTTTGCAGTTTTCTTTTAACTCTATGTTTGAGGTTGTGGGAGGGACTGCAGACCATGTGACCAGATCTGAGACTATTCAGACTGAGACTCTATGTTCAAGCTGGGTTTAGAAAAGGCAGAGGAACGAGAGACCAGATTGCCAGTATCCGCTGGATAATGGAGAAAGGCAGGGAGTTTCAGAAAAACATCTACTTCTGCTTCATTGACTATTCTAAAGCCTTTGACTGTGTGGATCATAATAAATTGTGGCAAGTTCTTAGTGGGATGGGCATCCCAAGGCACCTTGTCTCTCTCCTGAGGAATCTGTACAAGGACCAAGTAGCAACAGTCAGAACTGACCACGGAACAACAGACTGGTTCAAGATTGGGAAAGGCGTACGGCAAGGCTGCATACTCTCACCCAACCTTTTTAACTTGTATGCAGAACACATCATGCGATGTGCGGGGCTGGAAGAATGCAAAGCTAAGGTTAAAATTGCTGGAAGAAACATTAACAACCTTAGATATACAGATGATACCACTCTGATGGCTGAGAGCGAGGAGGAGCTGAGGAGCCTGCTAATCAAGGTGAAAGAAGAAAGCGCAAAAGCTGGGTTGCAGCTAAACGTTTAAAAAAAACCAAGATTATGGCAACAAGAATGATTGACAACTGGAAATAGAGGGAGAAACCGTGGAGGCCGTGACAGACTTTGTATTTCTAGGCGCAAAGATGACTGCAGATGCAGACTGTAGCCAGGAAATCAGAAGACGCTTCCTTCTTGGGAGGAGAGCAATGTCCAGTCTTGATAAAATAGTAAAGAGTAGAGACATCAGACTGGCAACAAAGATCCGCCTAGTCAAAGCCATGGTATTCCCTGTAGTCACCTACGGATGTGAGAGCTGGACCTTAGGGAAGGCTGAGCGAAGGAAGAGAGATGCTTTGGAACTGTGGTGTTGGAGGAAAGTTCTGAGAGTGCCTTGGACTGTGAGAAGATCCAACCAGTCCATCCTCCAGGAAATAAAGCCAGATTGCTCAATGGAGGGAAGGATATTAGAGGCAAAGATGAAGTATTTTGGGCCTAAAGAAGCAAAGCCTAGAGAAGACAATTATGCTGGGGAAAGTGGAAGGCAAAAGGAAGAGGGGCCGACCAAGGGCAAGATGGATGGATGGCATCCTTGAAGTGACTGGACTGACCTTGAAGGAGCTGGGGGTGGTGACGGACGACAGGGAGCTCTGGCGTGGGCTGGTCCATGAGGTCACGAAGAGTCGGAGACGACTGAACGAATGAACAACAACAACACTCTATTTTAGAAGTCTGTGTATGTGTATTTGTGTGTGTATTTAGTATAGTGATTGACTATGCATTAGACAGAGACACGACAACCCAAAAATGCCTTGGAGAACTTACTGTTTAAACTCTCAACCAATAAGAAATGCACCTGTATGCTGAATACATAAAGTTTGTAAGTAAATCAACTATGTTACTTTTAATGAAGACTATTTATTTTGTCTCTTGAGAGCATGATTTAAAACCAAATATATTTTATGGGAGAGCAGACTTTTGGGGGGCAACTGAAACAACCCTTCTGAAGATCTGCTACATGTATATTTTGTGCATTGGCATAAATCTTTGTTCTTAACAGTTCAAAGAGATAACGAGGTATATCAGTCTAACAACTGAGAAACCCAATTTGCCTTGCATGAATACTAGTAGATATATATACCACTAAAGAGAAGATTCACTCAGGAAGATCACACTTTACAAACAGTTGTGATTGTTCCAAATGGTGTGAATGCCAATTAATCTGCTGCAGAGAGTTCCACTGTTGAACAGCTCTTCTTATGGTCTGGAAGTTCTTCCTAATGTCCAGGTAGAATCTCCTTTCTTGGAAATTTGAAAACTGAATCGTAGTCTCCAGCGCAGTGGAAAGGATGCCTCTTCCTCTTCCTTATGGCATCCTTTCACATATTGAAACCTGGCTCTCATGTCTCCTCTCAACTCTCTTCTGCAGCTAAATAGACCCAACTCTTGAAGCCAATCCTGATAGGACATGATTTCCAGACAGTTGCAGTTTGGCGCTTTACATAACATGTGCTCACATCAGCAAAAGAGCAAAAGATACAGCAGAAGCAAGCCACGGGGGATAAAATGTGCTTATCTAATCTTATCTAATATAATCTAATGTATATACCTATAATATTGAAAACTGCATACCAATATGTGGTCACACTCCCCTTGAAGGCACAGGTTCACAGCTTGGGAGTTCTCCTGGATTCATCACTGAGCCTGGAACCCCAGGTTGCAGTGGTGGCCAGGGAGCGTTCGCACAATTAAAACTTGTGCGCCAGCTGTGCCCGTGCCTTGGGAAGTCAGACTTGGCCATGGTGGTCCACGCTCTCGTTATATCTAGGATAGACTACTGCAACACACTCTATGTGGGGTTGCCTTTGAAGACTGCTCGTAAGCTTCAAATAGTCCAACGAGAGGCAGCCAGGTTAATAACTGGGGCAGCATACAGGGAACATACAACTCCCATGTTACACCAGCTCCACTGGCTGCCAGTTTGCTACTGGGCACAATTCAAAGTGCTGGTTTGGGCCTATAAAGCCCTAAACGGCCCTGGCCCAAATTACTTGTCCGAATGCATCTCCCCCTATGAACCATCACGGAGATTAAGATCCTCCGGGGAGGCGTTTCTACTCGTCCCGCCATTGTCATAGGCACGATTGGTGGGGACGAGAGACAGGGCCTTCTTGGTGATTGCTCCCCGGCTATGGAACTCCCTTCCTGGTGAGATCAGGTCGGCCCCCTCCCTCCTGTCCTTTAGAAGGATGGTCAAAACTTGGCTGTGGGACAAAACTTTCGGGACAGGGCAATAAAGCAGCAATAGGACAGATGACCAGGCCAATTAGATTTGACGTGGATGACTAGGACGGTTTTAAATGGTGTATTTTAATATTTTGATAAATGTTTTTTAATGTTTATGTATGTGTATGTGAATTTGTGTCCCAGCATTTAATGTTTGCCATATATATGCTGTGCTCCGCCCTGAGAAGGGTGGAATATAAATGTTTTACATAAATAAATAATATAATATAATATAATATAATATAATATAATATAATATATTACTAATAATATAATGATATTATAATTATATATTTTATATTAAATATAATATTTCTAATAATGTTATCGTACAATGTAATATAGAATATTAATATTGTGCTATGATAATAATATAATATATTGTATTTACTTTTTACTTGTAAGCCGCTCTGAGTCTCCTTTGGGGTGAGAAGGGCGGCATATAAATGTCGTAAATAAATAAATAATCTTGTTTTCAGTGTCATTTCCATATGTTTTTTAAAGTTCCCTAACTTTTCTATAATTTGGCACTCTATCAGTATTGGTTTTGCTTCCTTGTGCCCATAGGTTTAGCTAGTGAAAGCTGAGCAGGGAAGCTGAGTAGCGGGCCTGGAAGAGGACTTACCTGAGGACCCCGTGAAGCCTGTCATCCATGCGAGCCTCTTGTCGCGTTCTGCAATATATTCGCTCTGGAACAAAGAGGAGTTCTGAGTCAACTGATGAGTGCAGGGGTAGATGTCATATAAGAGAAATATAGCAAGCTGATTTATGCTGGGACAGACTAATTGTTGCCCATCGAGCCCAGTGCTAACCCTCTGTTCAGCAGCACCTAGGTTTCAGGAAGGACTTTTTCCTAATCCTATACAGCAGGAATGGACAAACTTCAGCCCTCCAAGTGTTTTGGACTGTCTACAGACATCACATGCAACTCCTGGAAGGATTCCATCAGCGCTGCCTCCGGAAAATCCTACAAATCTCTTGGGAAGACAAGTAGACAAATGTCAGTGTGCTGGAAGAAGCAAAGACCACCAGCATTGAAGCGATGGTCCTCCACCATCAACTCCGCTGGACAGGCCACGTTGTCCGGATGCCCGACCACCATCTCCCAAAGAAGTTGCTGTACTCCAAACTCAAGAATGGAAAATGGAATGTTAGAGGGCAGAAAAAGAGATTGAAAGATGGGCTCAAAGCCAACCTTAAAAACTCCGGTATAGACACTGAGAACAGGGAAGCCCTGGCCTGTGAGTGCTCCAGCTGGAGGTCAGCTGTGACCAGCAGTGCTGCAGAATTTGAAGAGGCACGAATGGAGGGCGAAAGAGAGAAACGTGCCAAAAGGAAGGCACATCAAGCCAATCCCGACTGGGACCGCCTTCCACCTGGAAACCAATGCCCTCACTGTGGCAGAACATGCAGATCAAGAATAGGGCTCCATAGTCATCTATGGACCCACCGTGGAAGATTATCCTACTCGGACAACGAGGGATCACCTAAGTAAGTAAGTTTGGACCTCAAAATATGTGAAAATAGAGTGTGCAGGTTAAGTCATTATCCACAAAGATCATGCTCAATCTGATTCCTTAATTTTATAGTTGCAGTACAAATCTTTATCACTATTAAAGTAATCCATGATTCCTTATCCTCTGTTGGATATTTTAATAAATAGTATTCATTATAAAGAGAGAAAAGTGTGATATAAACAAAGAAACAATAAAAGTAAAGGTAAAAGTTTTCCCTCAAAATCAAGTCTAGTTGATTCCGACTCTGGGGGGGTGAGGTGGTGGTGCTCATCTCCATTTCTAAGATGAAGAGCCGGCATTGTCCATAGACACCTCCAAGGTCATGTGGCCAGCATGACTGTACGGAGGGCCCTTACCTTCCTGCAGAAGTGTCACCTACTGATCTACTCACATTTGCATGTTTTCGAACTGCTAGGTTGGCAGAAGCTGGGGCTAACAGTGGGAGCTCACCTCGCTCCCCGGGTTTGAACCGCCAACCTTTCGATCAGCAAGTCCAGCAGCTCAGTGGTTTAACCCACTGCATCACCAAGGGGGGCTTCTTTAGCATTACAAATCCCATAAACATCCCAGGCAATATGGCTCCTGCTTTTATATGGCAGGCGGAAGCTGGGGTTAACAACGGGATCTCACCCCATCCCACAGATTCGAACTGCTGAACTTTTGGTCAGCAAGTTCTGCAGCTTAGTGGTTTAACCCGCTGCGTCACCACAAATATTCTAATTCAGCTTTCTCATCTCCAATCGTGGCCAAAAATCATGACACAGAGGTTGTAGATTTGTAGTGCAAGACACTGAGAACTGGGAAGCCCTGGCCCTTGAGTGCTCCAGTTGGAGGTCAGCTGTGACCAACAGTGCTGCAGAATTTGAAGAGGCACGAATGGAGGGTGAAATTGCATGGAGACCATGCAATTAAGGAAGTTCAATATACAACTCCAGGAGCCTGGTCATAGGAAGGACATGGCAACCTTTACCTTACCATGTGAGCATCAGTGGCAGGGATGATGTAGGCCGAGAGGTTGTGGCTCTGCATGTGATGCCGCAGGACGCGCAGCCGCTCGCTTGTCTCGATCGCTGTTGGGGGCAAATACTGACATCGCAAAGGGAGACGTTATAAGCACAGCCTTGGATATCTGGAACAAAGATTAAGGACCCTTCTACACTGCCATATAAAATCTAGATTATCTTCTTTGAACTGGATTATGTTGCAGGGTAGACTCAGATAATCCAGTTCAAAGCAGATAGATGGCAGTCTAGAAGGGGCCCAAAGTGGTAATCGAGGACTGGGAAAATCCAGGTTCAAGTTTATGTTTGGTCTTGAAACTCTTGAAACCATATAATCTGTGAAAATCATGAGTAGTTCATGTTTTACCAGTCCGTACACTGTCTTGCTAGAGAAAGAAAATATGCCACACAGATGATTAATAAAAAACAAGGAGTTTATTCCTTGTAATGCAGAGCAACTTATACACAATCATGTGAACAGTTGCATTGACTCACACAATGTCCTTTGGGAGAGATTCAAATGGTCTTTAGGTGTCCATGTGGAAGATCCCCTTCCATCAGCACATGAAGCAAGAACTCTCTCTCTCTGTCCCTACACAGCTCTTGCAAAGCTAAAGCCTAAACATGTCACTGTTGCCAAAACTCCCAGGCTCAGCTAGCTTCTTCAGCGTGGCCCAACCAATCAGCTTCGTGCTTTGCATTTTCAGTTAACACACTCACCAACTGATTTTTGAACATACCCTAACATAGGGTTGTTATAGGTTTTTTCGGGCTATATGGCTATGGTCTAGAAGCATTCTCTCCTGACGTTTCGCCTGCATCTATGGCAAGCATCTATGACCGCATAACACCAGAGAGGAAACAAACAAGGACATCTAATCACCTCTCAACAAAAGTTTGCCCTAGGTACTGTCAGGCCATTATGTGCTAATCAAGGTGGTCAGTTGAAACATTCACACCTAGCTCCAGCAGACAAGAGTCCTTTGTCTCACCCTAGTCATTCCACAGATATATAAACCCTTTTTCCTAGTTCCAACAGACCTCACTACCTCTGCCATAGATGCAGGCAAAACGCCAGGAGAAAATGCCTCTAGACCTTGGCCATATAGCCCGAAAAAACCTACAACAACCCAGTGATTCCGGCCATGAAAGCCTTCGGCAGTACATCCCCTAACATAATCCAATTTCTGAATCTAGATTACCATATATACTCGAGTATAAGCCGACCCGAATATAAGCCGAGGCACCTAATTTTACCACAAAAAACTGGGAAAATGTATTGACTTGAGTATAAGCCGAGGGTGGGAAATGCAGCAGCTACTAGTAAATTTCAAAATAAAAATAGATACCAATAAAATTATAATAATTTAGGCATTAGTAGGTTAAATGTTTTTGAATATTTACATAAAACTGTAATTCAAAATAAGATCGTCCAACTCTGACTAAACCATTATTCTAACCTTCTTCGATGTAAATATGCTTACATGTCCTCCAATAATAATAAATAGAGTAAAATAATAATAATAGAGTAAAATAATAATAATAATAGAGTAAAATAATAAATGTAACAATAACAATAATAAATAGAATAAAATAATAAATGTAATGATAACAACAATAATAAAATAAATGTAATAATAATAATAATAACAACAAAGTAAAATAATAAATAACATTGACTCGAGTATAAACCGAGGGAGACTTTTTCAGCCTAAAAAAGGACTGAAAAATTAGGCTTATACTCGAGTGTATACAGTATCTGCTTTGAACTGGATTATATGAGTCTACACTGCCATATAATCCAGTCCAAAACAGATAATTGAGATTCAGAATCTAATTATATGGCAGTGCAGATGGGGCCTGGCATTCCACTTAGCTTCCCATTTGACCTTAGGTCAGTGATGGGCAACCTTTTGAGCTTGATGTGTCAAAATTTGCCAAAAACCTGAGCATAACTTGAGTGTGGTGTCAACTTTGAGAAAAAAACCCATAATTTTGCAATATTTATAGTTTAAATAAGAAAAATGTGTATTCAATGCTGAGTTATGGAGTGAACAATGCTCAAACATGCAGATGTTAAATTTGTAGAGCCTTTTGCAAATTTAAGGATGGAATTAGATTGGCTCTTATAAGGTGTACTTCTCTGTATGTGGCCGCGTGTCATCAAAAATAGCCATGGGTGTCAGTGCTGACACACGTGTCATAGGTTCACCATCACGGCCTTAGGTAGTATAATGTCTTGGACTGCCCCATCCACCCCAAACAAGAGACATATCTGTTTCCAATGGGGTTAACCATTTTACCGGAGGAGTTGCTGTACAGTTTCTGGTATCTTCCGATGAGCCGGACATTTTTGGCTGGGGATAACCTGAGTTGAAAGAGAAAAAAAATCTTTATATAAACTTGGGGGGGACAAGTAAGGGAGTCAACTGGCTGAGCATTCACCAGTTGTCTTTGTTCTGTTGCCATTGCTTTCCTAGAAAAATGAAAGCAAGGAGTAGGTTCGTTATTTGTGGAGTAATTTTGTGCACTACTATTAGGACATTTCCTTTTGTATCTCTGCTACTAACAAGAGTGCAGGCTCCCCCCCCCCCCCTTTCTTAATGGGAAATAGAACCTCCATGGTGTAAACCCTTTGTGCTGGCAGGACGGAAGACCGACAGGATGAGCTCCCTCTGTCAGCTCCAGCTTCCCATGCTGGGTCATGAGAGAAACCTCCCACAAGGATGGTAAAACATCACAAATATTCGGCCCTAGGCAACGTCCTTGCAGATGGACAATTCTCTCACACCAGAAGCAACTTGCAGTTTCTCAAGTTGCTCCTGACATGAAAAAAAAATGGGAAAGTTAATGGGAAAGGCTCGAATATCATGAGGATTGGAGCATGGATGAGCTCCCTCTGTCAGCTCCAGCTCCTCATGCACGGATGTGAGGAAAGTCTCCTACAAGGATGGTAAAACATCAAAAACATCAGGGCGTCCCCTGGGCAACGTCCTTGCAGATGGCCAGTTCTCTCACACCAGAAGCGAGTTGCAGTTTCTCAAATTGCTCCTGACATTAAAAAAATGGGAAAGTTAATGGGAAAGGCTCGAATATCATGAGGAGTGGAGCGCAGATGAGCTCCCTCTGTTGGCTCCAGCTCCCCATGCCGGGATGTGAGGAAAGTCTCCCACAAAGATGGTAAAACATCAAAAACATCTGGGCATACCCTGGGCAACGTCCTTGCAAACAGCCAATTCTCTCACACCAGAAGCGACTTGCAGTTTCTCAAATTACTCCTGACATTAAAAAAATGGGAAAGTTAATGGGAAAGGCTCAAATATCATGAGGACTGGAGCATGGATGAGCTCCCTCTGTCGGTTCCAGCTCCCCATGCAGGGATGTGAGGAAAGTCTCCCACAAGGATGGTAAAACATCAAAAACATCTGGGCGTCCCCTGGGCAACATCCTTGCAGACGGCCAATTCTCGCACACCAGAAGTGACTTGCAGTTTCTCAAGTTGCTCCTAACATGAAAAAAAATGGGAAAGTTAATGGGAAAGGCTCAAATATCATGAGGAGTGGAGCGCAGATGAGCTCCCTCTGTTGGCTCCAGCTCCCCATGCCGGGACACAGGGAAAGCCTTCCACAAAGATGGTAAAACATCAAAAACATCTGGGCATCCCCAGGGCAATGTCCTTGCAGACGGCCAATTCTCTAACACCAGAAGTGACTTGCAGTTTCTCAAGTCGTTGCTGACACGAAAAAAAAGGGAAAGTTAATCGGAAAGGCTTGAATATCATGAGAGGTTGATATGTGGTAAGTATCCCAATTGGTGTCCTCAAGACTACATTGAAAAATAACAAATTGCTATAATTTATAGAGTAGATGCAACTAGAACTATCAAGCAACCAGCAACATAATAAAATAAAATAAATAATAATTTAAGTAAAATTGAAAGAGAATGGCTGAAGAGTCAATTGAGGTCATTCAGTCCTATGTGTGAGTTTGAGGAATGGACAATACCTCTGTAATCTGGGACCTTTCTCTCTGGTTTCGATTTTGCTTGCAGCAAAGTTGTATCCTCAGTTATAGCCTGATTTTTTGCATTTGCCATGTTGTTTGTCTTTCACGGATCTTATTTGACGGTGTGCAACCTGACCAGTAGCAGGAAGTTAAACTGCTGATCTGCCAAACTTGCTAAGCAAAAGGTTGGCAGTTTGAATCCAGGGAGTGGGGCGAGCTCCTGCTGTTAGCCCCAGCTTCTGCCAGCTTAGTTCGAAAACATGCAAATGTGAGTAGATCAATAGGTACCACTCCAGCAGGAAGTTAATGGCGCTCCATGCAGTCATGCTGGCCAAATGATCTAGGAGGTGTCTACAGACAACGCCAGCTCTTCAGCTTAGAAATGGAGATGAACACCAACCTTCAGAGTCAGACACGACTGGACTTAATGTCAGGGGAAACCTTTACCTAACCTGACTTTGGTTGCATCTACAGAGTAGAATTAATGCAGTTTGATACTACTTTAACTGCCATGGCTCAATACTATGGGATCCTGGGGGTTGTAGTCTTGCAAGGCCTTTCTTTAGCCTTCTTTGCCAAAGATTGCTGGTGCCTTGCCAAACTACAATTCCCAGGATTCAGTAGCACTGAGGCATGACAGGTAAAGAGATGGCGAAAGATTGCAGTCAATTCTTTGGATGTATCAGTCTTCCTTTGCAACATTGAGGTTGTCTTCCAGGAAAGAGTGCACATATATTGTCGAAGGCTTTCATGGCTGGAATCACTGGGTTGTTGTAGGTTTTTTGGGTTGTATAGCCATGTTCTAGAAGCATTCTCTCTTGACGTTTCGCCTGCATCTGTGGCAAGCATCCTCAGAGGTTGTGAGTGCACACTTTTATATGGAAGTGCATTTGCCATTCAATTGGCAAGGATGGCAAGAGACGCATCTGCCGTAGGAATTGGCACCAGATGTGCCACGTTCTTCCTCTTGGCAACAGGCTGAGGTTGACATAATCTAAACAGCACACAACTGTTTTTCTTAGTCCGTAAACACATTTGGGGGATGCTAAAGAGTTGGAGCTAAAGAAGAAGTGATGCCTGATCTGATTTTCCTGGCCATGGTCCTGTGCTTTTAAGAGCTGGCTGGTGGCAGGCAGAAATTAAACTTTTCTCCAACCTTTTTATCTCCATGCCAAGAAAGATGCAACATTCTTCTGCTTAATTTTCAAAAGGCATAGGAGCAGGACCAGTGAGAAAAAGTTGGTGACCCTTGAAGAAATGGGGCTTGGTGGCTGGGGAAAGGGAGCACACAGTATGCAAAAAGAGCATACAGAAAACACATGTATGTATAAGTACATACCAAAATAAAAGCCCTGATTTATTCTGCTAATGGACCAACAACAGCTTATAGATCGGGCATGGGCAAACTTTGGCCCTCCGGGTGTTTTGGACTTCAACTCCCACCATTCCTAACAGCCTCAGGCCCCTTCCTTTTCCCCCTCAGCCACTTAAGATCATCTGGGGAGATCCTGCTCTCAATCCCGCCTGCATCACAAATACGTTTGGCGGGGACGAGAGACAGGGCCTTCTCAGTGGTGGCCCCTTGTCTATAGATCGTCCTTCCCAGAGAGATTAGATCGGCCCCTCCTTTGCTAGCATTTTGTAGGAAGGTTAAGAACTCACGACCTCTGAGGATGCTTGCCATAGATGCAGGCGAAACGTCAGGAGAAAATGCCTCTAGAACATGGCCATATAACCCGAAAAAACCCACAAGAACCAAGTGATTCCAGCCATGAAAGCCTTCGACAATACAAGGTTAAGACCTGGTTGTTTGAGCAGGCGTTCGAAAAGGTGGTGTAACAAATATTGGAACATGGAACGACTGGATGACGAGATTGGATCTTGATTTTAAGTAAGAGACGCTATGAGTTAGGTTGTATTGACTTTGTAATGATTGTATATTGATGTATATTGTTTTATGATGTTTAAGCATTGAATTTTTGCTACTGTAAACCGCTTTGAGTTGCCCGAGGGCTGGGAAAAGTGGTATATAAATGGAGTAAATAAATAAATAAACAAATAAATAAATATAGATGCTGTTAAGTCACTTTGGGGATTTACAGAGAAGGGCATGATATAAATCAACATGAAATACAGCTGGCTTCCAGTATCCACAGACCCAACCGTCCAGAGTATGATAGTATTTAAAAAATATGAAAAGCAAGCCTTGGTTTAACTTTTTATAATATCCTTTTTCATGGGAGAATAGGATTTGGGGATCCACAGATTTCAGTATCCATGGGGAGCCCTGGAACCAAAGGCCCACTGCAACGGAAAATACACTTTACAAGTAATGAAATAATTTATTGTCGAAAGCTTTCATGGCCTGAATCACTGGGTTGTTGTGAATTTTCCGGGCTGTATGGCCATGTTCCAGAAGCACTCCCTCCTGATGCTAAACCCCATTTTCCTAGTTTCCAACAGACCTCACAACCTCTGAGTATGCCTGTCACAGATGCAGGCAAAATGTCAGGAGAGAATGCTTCTGGAACATGGCCATACAGCCTGGAAAACTCACCACAACATAATCAAATATTGTTTATAATTACAGTATTTCACATTTAACTATTGCGATCTCTTGCAGGTGCTCTGAAGAGGTAAAACTGCAAAGCCAGTACAGCAGTTTTCTCAACCTTCAGAATGCTGCGACCCCTTCGTGCACTTCCTCATGTGGTGGTGACCCCCAACCATAACATTATTTTCCTTGCTACTTCATAACTGTCATTTTACTACTATTATGAATCGTCATGTAAATATCTGATGTGCAGGATGCATTTTCATTCACTGGATTAAATTTGGCACAAATACTCAATAGGCCCAAATTTGAATACTGGTGGGGTCGGAGGGGGGATTGATTTTGTCACTTGGGAGTTGTAGCTGCTGAGATTTGTAGTTCACCTACAATCAAAGAGCATTCTGAACTCCACCAATGATGGGATTGAACCAACCTTAGAACACAGAACTCCCATGACCAACAGAAAATACTGGAAGGGTTTGGTAGGCATTGACCTTGAGTTTAGGAATTGTAGTTCACCTACATCTAGAGAGCACTGTGGACTCAAACAATGGTGGATCTGGACCAAATTTGGCACAAATGCTCAATATGCCCAAATGTTAACACTGGTGGAGTTTGGGGAAAATAGAATCTTGACATTTGGGAGTTGCAATTGCTGGGATTTATAGTTCACTTACAATCAAAAGGCATTCTGAACCCCACCAATGATAGAATTAGGCCAGACTTCCCACACAGGACTCCCATGACCAAAAGAAAATACTGTGTTTTCTGATGGTCTCTGGCGACCCCTCTGACACCCCCTCGTGACCCCCTCAGGGGTTCCGACCCCAGGTTGAGAAACACTACAGTACAGCAACGGACCCTTCGAAATCTGTCCTTTCCTCATTCAGGTGATATACAGCCTGCAGGAAGAACCTCACGATAAGCAACCATTTGTGAAATCTAACAGACTTGAATAGATTTTGACTATATTGAATGTAAGGTTTGCTGAGTATTTTCCCAGACTTCCGCAGGAAAGCAAGATGTTATCAAGAAAGTGTACCAAATAGACCAGAAAATAATCCCTGAAATGGTGACCTCACGTGCCAAAACAGCCCACACATGGTGTCCATTCTCTTCTCTCCTGGGTTGTTCTGAGTTTTCCGGACTGTATGGCCATGTTCTAGAAGCATTTGCTTCTGACATTTCACCTGCATCTATGGCAGGCACCCCCAGAAGTTGTGAGGTCCTTCCAGAATGCTTTGGGAACATAGCAAAACAGCCTGTAAAATCACAACAATCCATGGAAGCCTTCGACAATACATTTCTTTCCTATTCACCACACCTGTAGGGTGGAACAAGTCTTGCCTTCTTGTATTTATGCTATGGGAAAGGGAATCCATTCCTCATCCTTGCATACGTACCATGAAGAGGAACAAGAAGGGAAATCCAGACCAACAAGAGACCTGGGATGCAGACCATGGCTTTGGACACCTTTCCAAGATGACGTTTCTGAAACCAGGTAGTGAGTTTGCCTCCAACGATGCTTGAAGTGTGTCAAAATTATGGGAACAGTATGAGAAAGCCTAGTACTTTCCCAGATATTATTGCTCTCTCGACTCCAGAGAGCAGACTATGCACCAGATAAAACAAACAGATAACAAGGTACAGGATGGAGACACAAAGTCCAAAGCAGCCGAAAGTCCACCTTCTCTGATTTACTGTGTTTTCTTCGAAGCCGAAAGCAAGGCTGCTCTAGCCTGAGGACAGAGCTACATATTAGCAGATTATTTACTACGATGACTCTCACTTTAAATAATGATAATCGCTACTAAAAACATTCTGAATCTTTATTGTATTTACATCTCAACAATGTTGCCTTCCATTTTCTGCTCTCCTTCCTCTTCTGACAGCTGCCTGATTCATTCCACCAAGCGGTCTTGGTCTATTGCAGTTTCAGAAAATCTATGTTGGAACATGCAAGCAATCAGTGAGTGTGTGTGTGTGTCAGCTGTAAAATACGATGCATGAAGCTGATTGGTCGGACAATGCCTGAGGTCATAGCTGAGCCTAGGACTTTTGGATACTGTTGCATTTTTGTTCAGGCTCAAGCTATGCAAGTGCAGAGAGAAGGAGAGAGAAGGCGAGATGGACAGACTGATTTGCTTCTTGGCTGCTGAAAGACAGTCTCTCATATGGACACAGAAAGGACCATTTTAAATCTATATAAATAAAAATGTAATATTCGTTTGTGGGATTAACAGAACTCAAACACAACTGGATGAATTCACACCAAATTTGGACACAAGACACCTAACAACCCAATGCATGTCCTTCACTAAAAAAAACACCTGATTTTGTCATTTGGGAGTTGTAGTTGCTGGGATTTATAGTTCACTTACGATCAAAGAGCATTCTAAACCCCACCAATGATGGAATTGAACTAAACTTGGCACACAGTTCTCCCATGACCAACAGAAAATACTGGAAGGGTTTGGTGGGCAGTGTCCTTTGGTTTTGGAATAGTAGTTCACCTACATCCAGAGATCACTGTGGACTCAAACAATGATGGATCTGGACCAAACTCTGCAAGAATACTCAATATGCCCAAATGTGAACACTGGTGGAGTTTGGGGAAAATAGAATCTTGACATTTGGGAGTTGTAGTTGCTGGGATTTATAGTTCACCTACAATCACAGAGCATTCTGAACCCCACCAACAATAGAATTGGGCCAAACCTCCCACACAGAACCCCCATGTGGGCCACAGCAACGCGTGGCAGGGGACGGCTCATAAAAGGACATTATGTGAGTTGGTGCAACTGATCATATTGTACATAAATTGTTCTGAACTAAAAAGAGTAAACTACTTGTTCTTTATTGTTTTATCTGCGTGGCATATTTTCTTTCTCTGGCAAGGCAGTGTGTGGGCAGATCAAATGTGAACTATATTACGCCACAAGCTACCCATTTTAGCTCTGAAAAAGAAGATACATCTAGGAAAAGGAGGATGCATGGCAACCTTACCATATGTTCTCCAGCCCTGAGTTAGAATTTACCTTTGGAAACAGGTCTTCGAAAGAGGGTTGGCCCAAGGCATTTGGCTGCCAAAGGGAAAGATTGCCGTTCTTCCATTCCAGGTCCAAAAGCTGAATGAACCAAAAATTGCATCTTTTTTTCAGGTGATGGGAAACAGCTGAGGTATGTAAAATGGCCAATTCATTCATACACACACACACATACATATACATATATGAATGAGAAGACTGATAAAATAGCACAAACATGATGAAGGCAATAGTGGAGATGCACCGGAGCAGATGTCACTTTTCCTGTGATGCCAAAATAGGAAGAAAACAATAGTGAAGACAGAGGGTGGCACTTTAATAACAGAATAATTTAGGTATCTCTGAGTAGTAAATGGATTAAACTCGAGGGCCTTCCACACAGCCATAAGGTAAAGGTAAAGGTTTCCCCTCACATTAAGTTTAGTTGTGTCCGACTCTGGGGGTGGTGCTCACCTCCATTTCTAAGCCGATGAGCCGCCGTTGTCCATAGACACCTCCAAGGTCATGTGGCCAGCATGACTGCATGGAGCATCATTACCTTCCCAACCAAAGAATCCAATCACAGTTTTCGGCTGATAATGGCCACTAGAGTGGTAATTCTTAGTCGATTTTAATTGTATTGTTTTAATGTTTTTAACTATTTAAAAGTATTGACTGTTTGTTTTTATTATGTATATACTGAGGCATCACATTTCTGCCTATTGGAAGTTGCCTTGAGTCCCCCACAGGGGGTTGAGAAAGTCGGGATACAATTGATCTACTCACACTTGCTTGTTTTTGAACTGCTAGGTTGGCAGGAGCTGGGGCTAACAGTGGGAGCTCACCCCACTCCCCGGATTCGAACCACCGACCTTTCGGTCAGCAAGTTCAGCAGTTTAGTATTTAATATCAAGGCAGATAATCCACAATATGAGCCCCCGGTGGCACAGTGGGTTAAAGCATTGGGCTGCTGAGCTTGTTGACTGAAAGGTCACAGGTTTGAAGCTGGGGAGCGGCGTGAGCTTCCGCTGTTAGCTCCAGCTTCTGCCAACCTAGCAGTTTGAAAACATGCAAATGTGAGTAGATCAATAGGTACCGCTCCGGCGGGAAGGTAACGGCACTCCATGCAGGCATGCCGGCCACATGACCTTGGAGGTGTCTAAAGATAATGCTGGCTCTTTGGCTTAGAAATGGAGATGAGCACCCCCCCCCCCAGAGTCGGATACGACTGGACTTAATGGCAGGGGAAAACCTTTACCTTTACCTAATCCACAATGTATGCTTTGAACTGGATTATCTGAGTCCACACTGCTATATAATCCAGTTCAATGAGGATTTTATGTAGTTGTGTGGAACTTTGGTTATGCTGGATTAGGCGCCTCGCTTCCACAGTGTGGATGTATCTTTTAAAAGCATCAATGGACTTTTCAGGATTTTGTTTTTGAACTTTTAAGGCATTATTGTTTATTGTTTATTAATTGTGTAATGTGTTAAGTTGTTAACTGTTTTTATACTGTAACATTGAATTCTGCTGTCTCTTATTGTTGTGAACCGCTGTGAGTCGCCTTCGGGCTGAGAACAGCGGTATATAAGTAAGGTAAATAAAATAAATAAATAAATAAAACTCTGCAAGGACTTTTCAGTATTGTTTTGAAATGCACATTTGCCAAATTCATAGCGGTAAGATGCTTTAAAGGAGATTCTCAACGTCCAAAGAGAACATTTCAGGGAGGGACTGTCACCAAGCACAATACTGCACAAAGGCTGTTCCTTCCACCTCTGTGGATGAAAGGGAACGGCCTGGCTACGTGTGCATCCTCAGGGATGCTGTTGCCATGGGAACGGCACCCGTAGCCTGGCATTGGCTGGTACCCGGTGCTTAGCTGCTGCCTTCTCCTCTGTGTGGACGGAAGAGATGATCGCGGGGAGAACACCTCTCTTCTGCTGCCATTCCCTCCTAGGCTTCCCATGACAGAGGCTTTTGCTGCCCGTGCTGGCCGTGCCCTTGCTCCGACTCTGCTGTCCAAGAAGGCAGCTGTCAGCAAGTCTCAACCTGCCTTGGTTATGTAAGTGCAATAAATAGTTATCAAATTGCAGCAGACTTGGCCAGCCACCACAGGCCATGGACACAAATTGTAGTCCCTCTAGGACAGTGGTTCTCAACCTTCCTAATGCCGTGACCCCTTAATACAGTCCCTCATGTTGTGTGACCCCCAACCACAACATTACTTTCGTTGCTACTTCATAACAGTCATTTTACTACTGTTATGAATCATAATGTAAATATCTGATATGCAGGATGCATTTTCATTCACTGGACCAAACTGGGCACAAATACCCAATACACCCAAATGTAAATGCTAGTGGGGTTGGGGGAGGATTGATTTTGTAATTTGGGAGTTGTAGTTGCTGGGATTTATAGTTCACTTATAATCAAAGAGCATTCTGAACTCCACCAGCGATGGATTTGAACCAAACTTGGCTCCCATGACCAATGGAAAACCCTGGAAGGGTTTGATGGGCATTGACCTTGAGTTTGGGAGTTGTAGTTCACCTATATCCAGAGAGCACTGTGGACTCATGCAATAGTGGATCTGGACCAAACGTGGCACAAATACTCAATATGCGCAAATGTGAATATTGGTGGAGTCTGGGGAAAATAGATCTTGACATTTGGGAGTTGTAGTTTCTGGGATTTATAGTTCATTACAATCAAATAACATTCTGAACTCCACCAACGATAGAATTGGCTCAAACTTCCCACATGGAATCCCCATGACCTACAGAAAATACTGTGTTTTCTTACGGTCTTTGGCGACCCCTCTGACACCCCCTCACGACCCCTTCAGGGGTCCCAACCCCCATGTTGAGAAACACTGCTCTAGGAAGCAAGGGAAAGTCAGTCCAGAGGAGGTGCCAAAGCACTTGCATTCGGAGGGCAGCTCTCTTTCCTTCACATGGCCGCCCAAGTCAGGGACACTCTGCTGTCCCAGATCCATGTGGGGAGCCTCCCGTGACTTTGCCAACGTGCAGAAATGCATGCACAGATTCCTAGAAGAGCTTCCGTCAGCCACGCGCTGCTCTTAGCGACGGCTTCCTTGCCTAAAGAGCACCAGCCTTCTTCTCCTGTTTCTGCCTTTGCTGCCCGTCGGCCTTTGAGTCACCTGCCAATTTATGGGGACCACCTTAATTTGCAGTGTGGCTCCAAAGGGAGGGCAAAGTCTCATCTGCTCTTGGAAGCTAAGCAGGGTCAGCCCTGGTTAGTCCTTGAATGGGAGACCACTAATGGATACCAGGTGCTGCTGGTTGTCTTACAGAGGAAGGAACTGGCAAACTACCTATGACTTGTGTTGTCAAAGTCTTCTGTGGCTGGAATTACTGTGTTGTTGTGAATTTTTCAGGCTGTATGGCTGTGTTCCAGTAGCATTCTCTCCTGACTTTTCGCCTGCATATGTGGCTAGCATCTTCAAGGTTTGTTCATAGGTCGGCTGGAAATGAGGCCAGTGGAGTGTCACTTATACAGAGCCCATGAATTCTTCATAGTCTTCTTAGTTCAAGACAACTCATAGGTGGTTTTTTTGTGAGTTTTTCAGGCTGTATGGTCA